CACTCAGCTCCGCGATTTCGGATATATTTCTGAGGCATTCCGTTACTCAGCTCTTTTATACACCGAACGTCTTGCATGTCCCAAAACACCAAGCTCGCATCTCAACTTCCAAAATTTGGTCAGCCAAGTCTTGTTCTATGTAACAAGTTTGGAGACCAATAGTGGATGTGAGAAGTTCTTGTTGTGGCCCCTTTTCATAAGCGGGAGTGAGTGTGTCAACGAATTGCAACAGAGTATTGTAAGAAGTAAATGCAGAGAGATTATGGGGAGGTCTGGATATCTTAATAACTTGGCGGGATTGGAAGTTTTGGAAAAGTTATGGGCAGAAGGGAAAGATGGTAGAGCATCTCCGGATGCGATGAGAGGTCCAGGCGGACCTTTCAAATGGAGTAAGCACATGGAGGGCATTGAGGGTGAGTGGATTATGGTTTGAGTTGTCTATATGGTTGGGGTATTTGTTTATGACGACTTGACGACTACTTGTTTTCTGTTGTTACGATGATATCCATTGTTGTCCATGTCACATTTATCATGTCTTTCAAGTACGTTAAGCTACGCGAGGCCTTTTTTTATTTTACATGTTTATTATAGCCACAATGCTCTTTTCCTTTGCACAATCTGGAGAGCGATTGTGTGTGGTTGTTGATTTTATCTACGGGGGGGTGCTTCTGGTGCATGGAGTGGGTGGTCGGCAGGAATAATGGGTATTGGTCGCGGGCTGGTATGGATACGAAAAAAAAAATGATGGAGCAGGTGGGCGTCACGGGTGCGGAAAATGAAGGATGTCCACTCAATCATGTTATGCCTGCGCCCTTTGTCTCATGAGTTACGAATTATGTCATAGGAAAGAAACTTTATAGACAATATGAGCAATGTTTGATATTGTAGACGTTGATTTCACACAGTGGATTATTGAATGTATTTCGTCCGGGTAACCTCCTCAGTCCATACACAAAACCATATGCATTCTTGATCTCTACCACAACAGGTTTTCTCTCATACTTCAATTTGTTTCTTGACGGTTTGAATGCACTTCGACGTCACGTCATGTCTTCACATACAGGCACATGTGCAGTCACTTGTTTACAACGTACAGATTAATATACAACAAATGCACAAGGCCCAAAAGTCCTCCTATTTCACATTGATCTGCATATGCACCGTTCATCTCTAATCACACCGGTCCCGAAAATAAATTATGGGAAGCGAAGATACTGAATAAACGAATAAATTTTAACTCCGAAAGTGGGATTAGCCTATCTTTCGTGATGCGATATAGAATTGTCGAAATGCCTCAGTTGCAGATAAACCAAGCATTTTCTCGCATATACGAGAAAAAGCTTGGCTTAAACTTAAAAAGGAAAATTGTGCTTCCTCTCGGTACTTGAACTGGGTCCATCAAGTGCCAAGTATAAGGATAGGGACGGAGTGGAGGGATTCTTTGCGGATTGGTGGAATCGAGTGATTGAGGAAGTGGAAGTGAAATTAAGCAAGTCTAAGCGTTGCTTAGTGGGAGGTCGAGATCAAGGTCGTGGACGGAACGGCACGGTAATGGGATTTGGAAGCAATGTGATTGATTGATGGATGCGAAGTGGGCGGATGGAGCTGTGACATAAATGAAGGAGAGGGGAAATTTCCTTAGCGGGTCCGCTCTTGGCGTTATCATTGCATGCCCAGACATATCTCGGAACGAGACCGTGCATACAAATTGAAGATGTTCAGGTTCATGCTTGAACTTTTGGAGGTAGGAATATCAAGTCGATAATCTACTCCGTGGTCCATAGCCTCAGTTGTGGTGTGCGATTGACGATCCCTCCGTTGTACAGGTTCGGATCTGGTCCCTTTTTATGGCTGGCCACAGCGCTTGACATGCGGGATGATCCACATGTAATATCGACAATCTTTGTTGGCAGCTTAAAGTTAATTAATGCAGATCATCTACTCTTTTTATGTGTCCAACGCCTTCACCAAGGTACCGAAGCCTCGGTTTGCGGATATGTTGGTTTTAGAAGTCTCCTAGTTTCCGGAAGTCAAGATATGAAGGGGTCTGGAACAGGCGTTCATTTCTCTCAAGATACCTACAAATCTTTCGTTTGGAGGAGATACAGCCCATGTGGACATTTCCAGCGCCTGTAGAGAGGGTGATCTGCACCTTGCCCAAACTCTATAATCCCGATGCAGATATTTATCGATGCCAAATTACCATGACACTGGCAAGATATTGAAATGTCGAAGCGACTGGAGAGTTTGTATGCCACATGAACTCCGATCCTTCTCAATCGATGGAAGTGAGGCCAGCCAGAATTTATGGACCAGCCAAGCCTTAAATCAAACTCAAAATATCAAATATAATCTCATGTTTTGAGTAGCGATTTTCTCTGCGATTGCAAAGAAGCTTTTTGCTATAGCTGGTCAACACCCTCATCCCATGTTTGAAATCAACTTGTTGTCAATATACCTGATACGTGGAAAGAACAAGTCGTAAAAATTTATTGGAAAGGCTCTACATAGGTAGGCAGACGCCTGTCCAGGCTCAATTTCTTTCTTTGTTCTCCTTCAAACATTTTTTACTTCAGTGTGCAGTGCGAGTCTCATTGCTCCTTCCTTGCGGTTCTCAAGAAAATTGGAAAGGGATACTTCGTTCTTATCCTGTTCGATTCTCCGAGACGCCGTTAGAAGATGAATTACTCGATTACAACATTATACCTTAAGAAGAACATTGTAAAAACTATCAAAAAACTATGCCCGGCGGAACGCACCCCTTTGAAGTCACAGACCAGAAGGCCACAATAGCTAAGTCGCATAACACCTATTACCACTGAGATTGGAGGACACAATCCATAATCCAGCATAGAATGAATTCGATGTCTGGAGCTATAGTGTGATAACCACTGTTTCCATTAATAGCAACCAAGCGGTGTTGAACTAGTCGATTTCCATACAGATGAGCTGAGAAATTCAGATGAAGATGACGATCCAGTCCATTCCAGCTTGACATATCATCAAGTTTTACAAACACTACTTGCAGCCGCCTGCATGAAAAACGGTACCATTGTATCGGCCCAATTAAGAGAATTGACAGAGCTCAATAGAACAAAAACAAGTCCTTGATGATTGGAACACGAATCCTCACAATACCATACCATTCTTCCATTCAGTCTTCCCTCCAGGCTAGGAGACACAACACTTCGATAACGATGTTTTTGATTCTCTACACAATAAGTACCCTCTTTAAGGAGAAGTAATCAGAACGCTCTAGAAGGATGGCTAAAATAGAGGCTTGGCACCCATGGGTTATTTAGATTATACGAATACGAACTTGGGAGCTCACACCCACGACCCCGGTTCCTATACTGAAGGATGGCTCACTGCATTATCAAGGAGTCCCCTCCTGTAAGTCACAAAGGTAGCGTTCGACGAAGATGTACTTTGCAAATCTGAGACGCAGAATTTCGGAGAGAAGATTATCAAAGTCCCTTGAAAGGAAGAAAAAACGTCGGCACTTCGACAGTTGATCAGGCTAGTGGCTCCTGCAAATAATTCAAGATCAAACCCCGCGGCAACCTCCACACTTCTCCTATAGCCTAATGAGCATTTAATTATGCAAAAATATCTGGCGAGTACTTACGGATCTTCCTTCTAGTTCGATGTGTCTTTATTTCAGGTGTTGATCAGGAAAGACGGGCCTATCGGGGTACTTTAAGGGGGTAAGAATAAAGTTTCTGTGTCGATCAATTACTGAGTGAGTGGCACATGGGTTCAATTTGAGAGAATTACCCAAACGACAGTCGAGATTCTTGAGCAGACCAACGGTACGATTTCCTGCAAGATTGTCAGTTACGGACCTGTGATGAATGAAGCCAGGACCAGGCACATAAAATGCGCTGCTCGCGCGAGTAAAGAGAAAATTTTAAAGCAACTTCAAGAGAAAGATCATAAACTGAACATTGCTACCATAGACTGTTACCGGCTCGAAAGGCTTAGGACATTCAGGCACCGCTAAGTTTTGAGGTCTCAACCTCAAAGCCAACTCCAGGACGACAATTAAGAAAAAGTGACGAGAGCAAAAAGTGATTTCTTTTTCTGTGCTAGATTTTGATATGATCCGGTGCAACCAAGGTCTATAAAGGATGGTAATATGTTTCGTTCACTCTCAAGTATGAGCTCTAAAGTCTGAATTACAGTTGGACAATCAGTGATCCTGCATTCCTGGCTTCAATTGGAACTTTCCAATCCTCTGAAATACTAAATATGTTTCAAATATTTAGTTGTTTCAAATATGATAGTTGACTGAAGTTGTAGCGACAAGCATGGAAGAGATCGCCTCAAAGTTTCCAAAACAATCTTATACGGCCAGATACACCAAATAGAAAGCCTAGGCGAAAGGCCTAATTCACTTTCAAATTTTAGTCTGCCACGAAGTTTCTAGAGGGGACCTGGCAGGCTCACGGAAAGCCTCGCCTAAGGTTTCTCGAAGACTATGTTTGAGAAAGATCTACTTGCCAAGCGATCATTGTGAAGAGAAATTTCAACGTCATCCCTTGTGTAAGAAAGTAATCGGGAGTCTAATTGGTGAGATAGAACTCTCCTCAATTTGATTCACATCATACACCACAGTTCGGTGACTTACTGATTGATTTTGATGTAGGGATGGGCTTTGTTCCAAGACAGACCGATGGCGTCGATCTACAATGTGGCAGAGATGCATTGGCCATATCAATTTCGCTTTTCATGTAGCATGATGCCGATAAATTATATAGCAAGACTTGGTGCAATCAACGCTCAAGGAATCTCCGAGTTGCTTTCCACGAAATAGGCACAAATGTTATATGCAGAAGAAGGCTGGACTGGGATTGCGCCTTCCGACCACGACACTTGGATCACCGAGAGGCTTACACAATTCTTTGCACCAGCCGGCTGACCAGATGGTATGATCCAACGTCGACTGATGCTATCATGGAACAACTGTCAGCCTGTCTCACGATTGCCGCTCTGAAATCATGGTTTCAAAAATATATACCACGCCGAATTTTAGCTTGACGCCGTCTGTGCACTACTTCTGTTAACACTCTTTAGACTGAAACTGGAATTGGGAGCTGTCGCGTCAAAACATCCTTCTGCAGATAGCAGCTCCGGCCCGTCAGCGATAATAGTGGACAGCAATGCTGACGATACTAGCCCAGCTGTTTGGGTTCGTAATAACGGATTGGGTTCAGATGGGGAGAAAAATGGTGCCATCCAACAGATTGGTCATTGGCAAGGCTTCAGTTCTCCGAAAAGAACCCCCCCCCCCCCCCCAAAAAAAAACTGAGAGATCCTTCAGAAGTCATTGGATGGGGAAAGCTTCATCTTGAGCAAGTTTTGCAAGTTGCAACTCCAAAAGGGGCTAACCCAATAGCTTTCATACTCCACGATACCTTACACTATTTCTCTGCATAAGAAAGCATGAAAATGAGAATTGTTGGAAGTTCCTTGGAATAAGCGAGTAATTTTCAATCGATCTGCATGCTAATATCAGACCGCATGTCTATTGGCATTTTTTTCTATTGAAAATCCAAGCCGTCGCAACTCCAGTCCTCGAGTTACATACCCATTTGTTAGAAACTTTGGAGAAGAACTCAGTAATCTTACCTCTGAGAACTCTTACTGGAATGAAGAAGAACCGATCGATGAGCCGTCAATCGGAATGGAAGGAAATTGATCAGCCGCTCATGCTACCTCATTTTACGGAGTACGGGACCTTCAGATCAGACCGTCCGGCTATGTAGATCATGCATGAATGACAACGTGTTGAGCGAACACAAAAAGAAGCAACGTGATGGTATGTGCCATTTCTCATTTATTTTCATCGTAGTTCTGCCATAATCGACATTATTTCTAACTCACACCGAAAAAGGCCACCAAGCAGTGCCTGTATTGCAGTGGACTCGGTATATAGACACTCTGAAAAGCACCATCATTGCCGAGAAGTGGAGATTACCTTCGTTAGAGATCATGTACACGAATAGACTCATACAGGAGTGTAAGATTATCAACAGTGAGGCGTGGCAGGCCGAATATAAGCTTTCATTGCATGAGGATAATAGAATATACAAAGCGAATTCAGAATCCCAGACCATTTGAATGTTTTGATTGGATAAATGAATCGAAGACTTCTGATTGTCGTACTGTATTTCGAACTATTGAAAACCTTGGTCGAGTATGTATATCTCTCTTAGAGGCGTCGACATGACCGGCAAATTTTTGAGATCTCTTAGCCCTTCGCCTCAATTAAATCCTGAACTCAAGTGGGAAATTACTTGCTGTCTATGATTGCGTCAGTCTTTCTGTCAAGTCACATGATCTAACTTTGGCTGACATACCTTTCTCCTGACGAGGTTCCATGGTAGGAACCCGCAGACAGGTTCGCACTCTCCAGAAGGTGGATCCTATAGAAAACTAATGGATTATGATTCGAGTGAAGCAGCTGCTGGTAGATCACTGATTTCATCCTTGAACCACTGGTTTTCTTGTATTTTCCGCGAACCTGGTCTAGTGGACGGAAAATATCCTTAGTACATTGAAAGAGACATACCGAGCTGGAACACTTGATAGCCCATCCCATGGAGTACTTTCATGGTCACGAGGGTATGTTATTACAAATTCTGACTTGAGTTCCCTCAAACTGGGAATATCTCCAATGAAAACACGCTAGAAGGTTTTCTTTGAAATCTTTTACCGGTCGCAATTTTCTGACCTAACAGCTTCTCGGTACCAAAGGATTTCACACCTGCTCTAGCATGCCCTGCTGATAAGCGCTTGTTCTGGGATAACTTCGATATGATTGATTTCATTGTGAAGGCGACGTATGTTAAATGGCAGTCGCGATCGAGCATGCTCGCTGAGAACACTCAACCAGCTCATTTGGGGCCAGTGAAACCACGGGAGGTGTTGTTGGGAACAATTGCGACATTTTACTAGTATCTCGCAAACAACCGGTTGAGACGATGTCCAAACCAAGAGCTTGCAGTAGATCCAGATACTTTGAACGACTACTAGTCAATTGTCAAAATCCCACTTGAACAATAGGGCCTTGGTGTTCGAAATCATCTGAATCACGTTTTCTCAATGCGAAATCATAACTTAATAAATACACAACAAGTAACAAATTGTATTTTAACTAACCACTACGATTCTGTCTCTTACTAAGCAAGGCCCTCTTCTCCCTATTGCTGCCAAGGTCAAACATCTCCGTGGCTGGAAGGCACCCCGCATCCTTTGAGACGGCATTTAAGTTTACGTCGCCATCTTCCAGTTGGTGACCAATTGGCGCCATCCACCTTTGTACATACTTCTTGCCTGGTCATGATCATATTTAACCGCGTCGTGGTCCTCCCATCTTTCATGCTCTTCATTGACCAATGTGTGGCTGTCCAAAGTCTCATCATCCGAACCTTCTTCATCGGAGAAGTAGACAGGAATCCCAGTTCTCTGAATGCAAAGATTGAAATAGTCCGCCGCAGCAAATCCGAATCCCCATTTTATTATTTGACGAACGTACTTTCGGACTTGCTCTTCCTGGGCATTAGGTCGAACATTGTTGTCCATCACAAATCCAAAGTCAATGGCTGTTCACAGCTTGCTGTACACGTAATACAGCTGGTCGTTACTCGCACTTTCTGCAAAGAACAGTTCCAGATCTTCTCTCGCATTATTGGTCCGACACATCTCCTGGAATTCGTCTGTGTAGATCGCTTCTGCTATCATGCTCGAAGTTACGTTTTGCATGCGTTCAAGAATTTCTCGCTCCAATTGCGACGCATATGTGTTGACAGCACGACGGTAGTGCGCACGTTCGTGGCTATTGCCAGAATACCGGGTGAGATATGTAGGCTGTATACGAGCGAATTCATCAGGCTCAATGGCTCTCTGAGGCAATTGTACACACTTGACAAGGCTTATTGTCACAGGAGGCAGATCGGCAGTATACTCAGTCTTGACTTTCAATCTCTTTTGCTGGCCTTCAACTTTGGGTAACTGGTTTGCAGCAAGGAAATCTGACACAGGTCTGTGATCTATGTTTGGCTGATAGTAAACAAACCAGTGAGTGTTGTAGTGAAATACGCAACATTTAGATGCTTACCTTGACCTTTTGGCTTGCTGATACTAACTTGGGTTCTTTCCACGCTGCTGGATGGCTGTCTTGATCTCTTAAACTGTTAATGTAATCTCCCGTCGCACGGAAGTCGCGATCATGAGTGATCAGTGGTGGTGGCACGAAAACCATATTGACAGATCGAACGTTACTTGGAGGAACAAGAGGAAGAATTCAAGATCGAGAGTTGCTTGGAATTGAGAGTTGCTTGGATGTACAAGAAAAAGAATTGAAGACGGAAATTGATTTGGAGGAAGAGAAAGAAGATTTAAAAAGAATTGAGAAAAGAAACGGAAAGGAGAGAGGAAATTTCAATAAGGAAGTCTTAAGCGAGCAGGTCTCGTAAACGATCCTTCCCTCTGATGTACCAGAATTATTTCCATCTCGACCAAAGTATTCAAGTATCTGGTCAATTAGAATCAAAATGGCAGGCAAACATACCGAGTTGATCTCTCTTGATGAAGAATTTGAAAGTACTTACAAGTATGTCATCAGCCTTGCCCAAGGAATTGTCGACACTCCTGGATTCTGGCGTTGACTTCTCATCACTTCAACAGAAAACACAGCAAAAGTATTATTTCCAAATTTTACCCTTTCAAATGATGATAAGTGGGCAATAACTTAAACAGTCTCAAAAGCAGCCTCTAGATTATCAGCCTATGAGGTCCAAGTTTCTCCAAAGAGAGCCAGTAGGGGCGAATGGCCCGGATAACCCGCATGTACCACACAAGAAAACACCTTGGCACTCTTTACAGCTTGTCAATGCCATATAATTTCTCAATCATGGAAGGTACAACGATCAGCCGATATCCTGCGAGCTAGCAAACTTGAAAGATCACCCAAAACTGAATCTTCACTTTCAGTTTTGGGAGACGTATCCTCATCATTCTTAACCATCTCCATCTTGATACTCGATATTTCTGTGTATACATGAGTTTTTGTTTCAGACCGACCAGATAGTCTCAATTATTTGCATCTTTCAACGTCATGCCCGAGTTTCCACCATCTCTATCCCTTCTCCTCGCCGTAATAGAAAGTCACTCCCTCCTATCACACTTTGCAAAAATAGAAGAACTTATCGGAGTATGGAAGAGAATCGAAATAAAAGATTCTAGCCGAAGAACTGTGAAAGAAAAGGTCACCAATGTTATCAAGGCAGTCGTGCTTGGTGATGAAGCCGCCGTAGGTGCAGCCACTAGAGATGCAGATTCGAAGGAACTTGGAACTGTAGCAGGTGCAGTCATTCATGTTGTCATCAGGAGTAAAACTCGACCTTTTCCTGTTGCAAACTTATAAACTATCACTAACTTTGATACTAAGAAGCTGAAGTGCCCCCTGATTGGCGCTGGGAAGGTCGTTATTACGAAATTGGTATGATTCAATTGAGCTCTCATAGAAATCGAATCATTTGCACAATGTACTAACTTGATGCCAGTAGCATATACCGAAGATAATTGAAACGATCTGTTGCGGCTGTTGTGCGATTTCACACCGGAAATCGACGTACACGCAGTGGCCATTAACATAGACGTTGACAACCATGTTGTTTGGGAGGTTCCACGCACTTCTTTCATTATCCGGGAATCATGTTAGATATCACCGTTTGCAAGCCTCCTTTGTGGGCTGAGCAAGGCGAAGTTCTGTTTGACAAAGAATACTTCATCTTGGAGAAGGATCCTGCGCATGGATTTTATTTCAACCGACAAGTCAGCTTCCAAAATTGGGGTGTGGCAGAAAGCAAGACAGAAATGCCGTCAACAAGACCAGAAAGATGTCATTTGTTTTGGTTCAGAACAACAACCACAGTACAAAATGGACCATAAGCTACACGAAAAAACTGGGCTGGAAAGAAGGAGGCGGCTTGGGTGTCCATCATGAAGGCGTTGGTTGTCGAGTATCCAAAAGCTGTGAAAATTGAATATATTATTCAGCGGCCTGGGATATCACAAACTCTTGAGGGCTACAGAGGAAGGTGAAATGGTTTTTTGCCACAATCCTCGAGACGAAGCTCATTAGGAGGATTACAACTTCGACCTATCAAAGCCGAATTACGAAGAGTACCATTACTACAAACATGAGATGATATTCGTCTCACCGAAAGACAACGAGGAAACGTTGGAGATGGCTGCCGCAACTTTGCTAGGAGTCCCCGCGAACCATGGAATGAATTCCACGTGAGAAAATAGCAACAGTCCGTAAGAACGCCGAAATGGAAGCTTTCAGGGAGTTCAGAAAGCGGGGTGTGTTAAAGGATGGGGAGTGGGTATATTCAAAGCATGAACGATACATGAAGCGCGCTGCAAAGCAGGCGACTTGGCTAGCCAAGTTTTCAGAATTCATCATTTCAACGGCAAACTCAATTAATCTGCTGGAAATTGTTAATAGAGATGGAAGCAAGGAATTTCGGGTATGTAAATTAACGTAAGACTTACAACGAACATCCACCTACCATAGAGATTTTTGCATTTAAGAACACATAAATGAGTTAGAAAAATTCGACAATAACGAATAAGCTGTTGATGGTTTATAATTCATGGAGATATAATAAGCCATCACAGACTTTAAGAGAAAGCTTCGTGTTGTGGAAAATGGAACTTTAAATATTGGTATCTTTTTATCATGTACATACGCGACGACGGCGACAACAACAACAACGATGGCTATGACCCCATCTACCATAGTGGAACATGCTAACAGCCTATTTGCTTGCATAGAGCCTATAGTCTTGTGCCCAAGTTGATATGAACGGCTTTGACTTGTGAATAAGCTAAAATAAGTGAAAAAAATCAGTAAAAAATCGAAATCAAATCGGAACGACGTCGAAAGATGACGAGATTGATTGGAAACAGAGGGGTAACTACCAATTAATCCAGCCTCTCCCAATTCCCTGCCAATACCACTCTTTGTTTTGACGTTAGCAAGTGATACACGCGTTTTGAAAATGGCAGGAAGGTTGACATACCTGCTTTACGCCTCCGAACGGAATCCTATAGTCTGAATCTTGACTGCTGTTGATCCAAACCATACCCGCTTCGATTCTCCTGGCAAGCTTATGAGCTCTGTCTAGATTAGTTGTAAAGATTGCCGAGCCAAGACCATATGTCGTGTCATTAGCCATTTCCACTGCTTCTTCCTCAGTTTTGAAGCTAGCAATGGCACAGAATGGTCCGAAAACTTCCTCTCTGTAAATCCTCATGCTTGGCTTGACATCTGTGAAGACAGTGGGGGTAATGAAGAATCCCTTGCCTGAAGGATGGGCGTTTGTGAAAGCTTCACCTCCGGAGAGTAGTGTGGCACCTTCATCTTTACCTATTTGAACGTAACCTAGTACGCGGTCGTACTGAGCTTTGGTGACTTGCGGACCTTGGAATGTGGTTTCTGCGAATGGATCACCAACGACCGAAACTTCTTTGACTTGCTTTTTAAAGGCGTCAATGAACTTATCGTAGATAGAATCCTGCACGAGGATTCTAGATGTGGCGGTGCAAATTTGACCTTGGTTCGACATAATACCTTGGACGGATTAGCAAATGGGAGAATTGAAGGATTGTGCTACAGGAGAAAAGAACATGACACGACATGTGGCTTTCGGAATAAAAACGTACCAAAATGCGCCCATTTGACGGCCTGGTCAAGATCTGCATCATCGAAAATCATCAAGGGAGATTTTCCTCCCGTCTCTAAAGTGATGTTTTTCATGGTGCCAGCAGCCATCTTCATAATTTCTTTTCCTGTGCTAGTGCTACCGGTAAAAGCCACTTTATCAATATCTTGATGTGTTGCAATTGCAGCTCCCGCTTCTCTGCCATACCCGTTCAAAATATTTACCACGCCTGGTGGGAAGCCTGCTTCCTTAATCAAGTTTGCGAGGACAAGAATACTCAACGGAGTTTGTTCCGCAGCCTTCATCACAACAGCATTACCACATGCCAAAGCGGGACCTAATTTCCATGCAGCCATACCCAATGGATAGTTCCATGGGATAATTTGGCCACATACTCCTATTGGTTCCTTAATTGTATATGCAAATTTTGCAACACCAGTGTCTATCACTTGTCCATGTATTTTATCGGCGTATCCACCATAATATTTGAAAACAGCTTCCACCTCGTTAACATCCGCAACGGCGTCATTATAGATCTTTCCATTGTCCCAAGTTTCGATAGTTGCAAGTAGTTCTGTATGTTCGGCAATGATAGTGGAGAGTTTAATCATGAGGGAACCGCGATCGGTAGGGGACATATCGCGCCATTCAGGGTTACGCATAGCTGCTCGAGCTGCTTTGACTGCGGTATCGACATCTTCTGCTGATGCAGCATATACGGATGCAATTTCTGATTCATCTCTAACCATGAAGTTAGCAGAGTCGTAATATGCCGAGTTGAAATTTGACATACGAGGGATTAATAGATGTAATCTTTTGACCTGTGCTACTCTTCACCCATTCATTGTTGATGAATAGACCAGTTGGCTGAACGTATTTCTTGCCATTGGGGGCAGTAAGCTCAACAGTAAGATCAGACATCTTGGCAAATGTACTGCTGAAAGATCTGTGATAAGGTCGTAATGGAAGGATAGAGGACTTGGCAGAGAATTCGGTCTTCACTCGAGGAGCTGCACTAGATAATTGCGAGGAGAATCTTCGAAATGCTGTACTACGCAGATATGATTGCAGAGGAGGGATAACTTTGAACATCTGAAGGAGGAAGTTCAAAGACTAGAGGAGATACAAAGCTCTTTTATTGAAGTCACCATAGGTGGTGCAAGTGCGGGGCTTTTTTGCTTCTGACTATTGTTGGTTCGCAGGTTTGTCAAGGTTACAGCTTGGTGTATTGGTGCTTGGTGGGATGAAAAGATAAGGCCAATGATAATCAGATTCTAGTGGAGTTCTTCGGCTGGCCCTTCCTATAATGTATAAGCTTCACGAAGCTGTAGCTCCCCCGCACCATTACCGACGATTGTCTCCCCCATCTCAATAGTAAGAGCAACTCTTATCTATTCAAGACATCTATCTATATTCAATTTCAATCTTTATTAGACATTGAGATGATGATAATTGTGACAGGTTTAGGATTTGATATGAGATTCTCCGGTGCCTCGAAAAGAGCTGTTTGCAAGTGAGACCTGTACATCTCGGTTTCTCTTATCCATACCTAGGTATGCAAGCTACGCCTCTCGCCAGCTTAATTCAATCACACAGCATGGAAAAGGTCAAAGATGGGAATCAAATATGTTATTAATTTTGGCAGTAATGATTTCATCTACCTATATGTACTGAATGATGTAGAACGTGGTGGTTCCAGGGTCAAATAAAGGCTCCTCTAACTCCCCATGGTGTGCTAAACTTGAGGTTATACACAATATCGTTGTACAATCTGATGTTTTTTGTATATGATAAATCAACCTTCCTAGCCCCGGAAAAGCAATATGGTTTGCAAATACAACCTTCTTCCTTCCAAAGCCCCTTTCTTACATGTCTCGGACCCCAATTTTGCCTCCATCCTCGCTTCAGCGTAATATTAAGTGTATATATTGATATGCTTCGTAATCCTCCCACCAGACATTTTCCCTACTTGTCTCTGGGAATACCCACACCCTACTGCCCAAACAAATAAAATAACACTTCTGAAATTAACACCGCTCCTACCAATTCCCAATTGAAAATGGTATTACAAAGTAAATGATGCTTTGACCAATTCCCACTAATTGTCCACACTCCCGTCAGAAAAGAAATGTCTCGCATTTACAAAAGAAACAAACGAAGGTAAGGAACATAATTAGCCGCCAAGGGGTATAATTAACATAAAGAGATGCAAATATCAAAATAAGAAGGTTCGGTCGCCCGAGGGTATGCAGTTCTTTTTGCAGAAATCTTGCGATTGGTATGTATAGTAGTGTCGTTTGAAATAGCGTAAATATACAGGTGACAATCAAGTAAGTATTGTAGATAGAAGAGATCGATTTGTATATTGGAGAATGTTTCTTTGATTAAATTCGGAAAGCGGATTCGTAGAATTTGGAAGACTTTTTAGCAAAGATTTGAAGTGCTGTTGTTTCCATCAAGTGTATTATAGTAAAATTAAGTATAAAATTTATCGTCGTCCACCGTTTTCCTGTTTGGGCCAGGCTCGATCGTATGGCCCTCGCGAATAAGAATCAAATGAAGGAGGACCAGCAGATAACGATGGAGTCGATGCTCCTGTGGCTGTACCAGTTGAAAGATTATCGATGCGTAGAGGGGGCAGACTAGGCAACCCTTGTCCATGAGCGGATTGGAAACCACTTTGAACGGGTGGTAGAGTTGACGCTGGAGAATGCGAGTATGGTACGCTCATGAATTCTCCTTGGGCATCAGTCCTCCGACGTCTTGGTGGCCTTTCGCCATTGTCAGGACCTTGAAAACTCATGGATTGCGCACTTGGTGGAGGAGGACCAGGATAAGACATTGGCCTCATGGAACGAGGACTCGGTGGCCCGTGAAGTGCCATATCTCTAGTCCCAGGATTTCGAAGTAACATATCCCTGAATCGATCCCGTTCTCCCCGGTAAAAGTCTCTCTCTCCTTCTGCTTCTCTCACTCTTCGTTCAAGATCTCTAGTCTGCGATTGGAGTTTTTCGATGTTGGATGAAGCCTCCTTCTCCTTTTCCTTTCTACGTTGTCGGAATCGCGCCGATGCTCCTGCGTTGCGCGCACGCTTCTCGTCAGCTAAACGCGACGCTTGGTGCGTGTCCACGGGTACATGATAAGCCACGCCGTGAGCCGTGGTTATTGTCAGGACACCGTAGGGCTCGGAGGCAGAAGCCTGCCTCGAGCTTGGAGTGGAGTGGAGTGAGGAACCAATCTGAGAAGCATTGTACGGACCTTCTGATGCCGCAGGCGGTGCTTGTAATTGTAATCCACTCCCTTGTTGCACTGATGAACCAAAACTGGAACCTGGAAAATAAGACCCACTTGTCTGAGGATTCTGCCCACTTTGATGATAAGGATAACCGGACGCGGGGGAAGTCTGGCTCGGTGTTTGTGAAGATGCTGAGATGCTGGGACTAGCGCTATGTTGGACACGTCCTGGAACTTGCATCTGAGAATTATCTGCTCGTCGTTCTATTGGAGTTGTGCCTGTAGAGGGAAACCCATAATGTTGGGCGTGAGATTGCCCGGATGGTGTTGCTAAAGGAGGATTTTCTGATACTGGAGTTTGCCCTTGTTCCGGCCTTCTCGGTGGCAAAAAGGGTGACTCTTGTGCATTGATAGTCCCGTGAGCCGGCGCTCTGCCTATACTGGCAGGCCGAGGTGATCTGGGTGTTAGCATTCTGCGGCCTGGGCCCCTTGGGAAATTTGGGTTAAAATTGTCTAAGGAAGGCGAAGTGCTGATGGGAGGACGATTGGAGTAAGGATGAGTAGCTGCCACCGAAGGACTTGCAGCAAAATGTGAAGTTGGTCCGGCTGCTGTAGAGATTGGTGAGTCTGTAGTACCACCACTCAATCGGCGACTGGGAGTTGCGCTTTCAGGTTCTGTCGGGTTCAAAATTGAATGTACACCAAGATCGCGCGATGGTCCTGAGGACTTCCAATCCTCTCCAGTTGATACTGGCTGAGGAGTCCGTGATGAAGGGGAAGGTAGTGTATGATGAGGTTGTGGTAATCCTCGGTTGCCCTGATCTAATTGTCTGTCTGCTTGTCGCCCTCCATGTCGAGGATCATCTCGCATCTGCACAGGTGGGAGAGTAATCTTTTGACTTTCTGGTGGTGAGCGAGATGCAGGACGAGACGCAGAAGGCCTCTGCGACATCGAGTCCTGATCCCCTAACCCTTCTTGGTCTCGAGGACCGGGACATTGACGTTTTCCCTCTCCCTCCCAACTCTGCTGGTAGCTGTGAAGCTTAGAAACAAAATCCGAAAGTCGTTGTTCAAGTAGTTCAGAAGATTGTGTTCCGGGAAAACGATTTAGCAATGAAGACGCTTCCGCGTTATCGGCAAAAGCAACGAAAGAACTTTCGCGCAATGGGCGACTTAGAGGACCTTGAACAGCCAGATCGAATATCTATGGCGCTGGCTTGCCAATGAGGCTTTCCAGCGAGCGGTGAGGGGTCAGCTCTTTTTCTGCTATTCTCAGCTTCGTCACTCGAAGGGTTTAGATTCAATCGTCAAATGAAAAAGCAATAATTGTGCGCATGAATGATTATTTGGGATGTATTTGTATTGACTCCTGTGAGGTGAAGTGGTTCGACAGGGATTCTTTCGGGAGCATAAGATGTGACCGTGAATATGTAAATATGGAACGCGGGCCTTGCCTCGAACCAACAAAGGAATGAATGACTTGTAATACTGTGAGGCAAACTCACTGAGCATTAGAGATGAACAGAGTGGATGCTATAACCAGTAGTGTGGAACAAAACGAAGGCATAACGAGATAAACATACAGATAGGTGGAGATTTTGAGGGTTGGCGCACCACTCACAGTCCTTAACGAGCAAAAAAAGCTTTATGAGTGGTTGGTGAGCACCGATGGGATGTCAGAATCTAGCTCTGTCGGGTTTCTACAGGTTGATGCGGCAGTCTGGTCGTAAAGGAATACCAAAGAATGTAGAAATCGGTGATGAATGACTATAGATGGAAGAATGTGGTGGATGACGCTTTTAGCTCTGCACAGCTTTCTGCATGAGGAGGAAGACCCCAAGCTTTGTGGTTCTTCGAACCGTCCCAGTCCCACGCTCATTGCTCACAGACACTGACCCTACCCTTCACCGCACCAGCACCCACAAGAGTTCATGGAATTGTTTCCAGGGTCGTAGTGAGGCGGGTCTTTTTTTTTCTCGAGGCATTAGCTAGGGTTGCTTGTTGGCTGCAGGCATCGTAGCATTATCAAGGTACCAGGGCTTAAACGTATCCTTTTGAGATGATTCTTAACAAGCCTAGAGGTTCACAATGTCCCAGGAAACTATTTTCTGGAGCCATACCGTGCTTGGTTCCAGCATTCGGAAAGCGGGAGGCCACGCGCAGAAGATCCTTGTGTATCACGTTATATTATATGGATAGACTACATTAACATCCTCCTTTGAGCAAAGGGCGCTTGTTAGAAAAACTTTAGTTGCTGTACCTTACCTAGGTGGGTAGATGTTCTTCACACATCAATTTGTGACATAAAGATATAGATACTTGGGCGCATAGAACGATAATGCATCTAACGCTACACACATCTTGGTAGATGCATAATCTCCCCGCTATTCAAGCACCATACTCTACGACCCCTTCATACGAATTCTTGTTTGACGTACTGAAATCGCTTTGCCGTACTAAATCAGTCTTCCTTTCGGTGAAGGTTATAGAACCATGAAGGATCTCACTAGAAAAAGATAAGCACTTCTTTCTTCAACAATCAGTGCGCTGAAGGAATGGAAAGTAGTAAATTGGGGGTGGGAGGTGACGCTATCCTGCATTAGCACGGTCAAAACATGGTGCTGAAGCCACGGTCTGTGAAATGGAAGTTCCCTGTAAGCTGTAGTTGATCGAGTTCCTTGCTAGTCGAATTAGTTACTTTTCTACTTATACTAGTATAGGCTAAAGCTGATGGGAAGAAGTCGTTGCCATGTTACGCCCTGTAGAAATAAGAAACTTTGATTGATGGATATCATATCGCTTTGCATTAGTACATCCGCAGTCTGCAGGACAAAATCAGTGTGGTTGGTAACCTTTCAACGTGGTGACCAAGTGACCACAGCCTAAGTCTATGTGGAAACGATACACATGCATAGGAAATCCTGCAAGTGAAAATGTAAAGAAAAAGGAAGTAGACGAAAACGGCCATTTCTCGCTCCCAATTCTCCTATTTGATCGATTTCTACAGTTTCTGATATTTTATAGGGAGAAAGCTTTGATATTAGCATGTAAGACAGGTGTCTATTGGCGGATTGATTTGCAATATTGTTTTCTCTTTTTCATCGCTACACGCCACCGAGTAGAAGGACCCGAGAATTCTGACAGCAGGGAGGGAAACTGCATAGCATAGCGAACATGGCTAATAATATTAGAGAGAATTTCGAAGCTTCAGAAATAGTTTCTCTTGGGCCTCGAGATCTGCCACATGAACCACCACATCACATTGGGAGTTTTGACATGCAAACTTCACAGGTTCTACTGAATTAGAAGGAAATTTACGACAATCATGGAAATTATCCAGGTGAAACTTCTTTTTATAATAGTTTAATTTCCTACCCTGTGTTCCAAGCAAGAATGATTTTCCTGAACCCCTCTTGTTGAATTTTAGATAACTGATAGTTGTGTGAGATATATAGTTGAATGGTCTGAATCAATTATGTACCATCCTTCGGAAAGTTCTATGATCGCCCATTAGCTGTAACCACCTCGTACGCCAGGTACAGCATGCACACAATGATGTCAAATCGGAAATATAGCAACATTTTAAACATTTTACCTCTCTCTCTGCTTTTTCTAGAAGAGAAATTTATTGAACTAGAACCTTGAAATGGCGGACCTCGGTGATCTTTGATCTTGCTGCAATCTTAACCCATGTCGACACATTTGATCCGGTGGTCGTACGCTGGCTTGGCCACACTATGTTTCCACACTTAGTTTGGACCAGAGCACCGGTGAGCGGCAGCAAGATGAGCTGCATAAGTTCCAGTCTCCTACGCACTGATGTATGTGTATTTGGGGGATCCTTGAGGGCGCCATCGCATGGAAGTGTAGCCATCAGATTCGACAACCGTTCCCAACAATTCGATATAAGGTATTTTTAACCAAAACATTCGTCAATATCAATCGCCTGTCCCGATCAGATCACGTAACGCGGACAAGAAAGTAAATCACGGAACAAGACAGCGCATATTTGATTTATTTCTTTGCACCAGAAAGGTTGGTCCCTTTCATCCGGCTCTACAGAAAAAGGAAAGTCATGCGCCACGCGCCGTGCCGCTGACGATACTACCTCGAAAAGATGGTCCGCATAACAATTACACAGCGCGCATAGCTGCCCAAAAGGCATATGTACCTGATCCACAGAGATCACATCTATTGTCATATGATGCCCGTAGATCCAAACTCAAACTCGATGGCACAATAGTACAATTTGCGAGTGGTCGTGCCGGCCTCATCTCATTATGCTTGTGTTGAATGCTTACCGGGGCAAGAAAAGTCTTTAACCTCAAATTTGTTGATGAAATACAAATGGATGTGATGAAATGGGACTTGTGTATGATAAACTAACCTCTTCAGCAACAAGGCCGACCGTTCTGTCTCATAGCTTCGGTGATTATGGATACGCCATCTTCGTCCTTCGGCGTCTTCCACGATTGGTTATGTCTCTCCGTCTCTTTGTGCGGACCCTGAGCTCGTTACCAAGCTTTCATGAAAGTCCAAAATTACCAAATACTTAATCCAAGCTCGAGAGATACTCTTTTCATCGATTTCTTAGTAGGCAGAAGTTCCCGAGGTTTCGCGAGCTTTGTACTTATCGACAAGATTGATATCTTCGCTGGATACCTCACCGACGAGCTTGAACTTGGGGAAACTTTTCTGAAACTCGAGAGTCGATGAGAAATTGATGAAGCCAAACTTGGGAAGGTCGCATACCCACTCTCAATCTAGGTTCGAACTATTGGAACCTCATCTTAGCGTTATTACCTATACCATAGACTTTATTTTAGATCCCCGTACCTAGAATTGGTCCACCGAGAACAACAATAAGAACATCTTAACCTTGATAATCTCGATAATCTTTGAACGGGTCACCAATCCTTTACCTCAGCAAACAAATAGACGAGGATTGATGAAGGGGTACAATCCATCTTCTACAAAAATTCCATTAATTCTCGGTAGCACCCCCGAATCCTATGGGCAGGCCTACATCGTCTAGGGATTTTAATTAAATGATTCTGTTTGCTCAGTCTACAATTTTGATTGATGTTGTCAACCCCGGTGAGTTGTGTGTGAATAAGCTTGGCGCTGTCTGATACTTCACTATCAGTTTTCCAGAACTTCCGACGATCCACATGTTGAAATCATTTTACTTTTCCCTACCGTATCTATCAAGCTTTCAAGGTCATCGGGACTTCCGTTTTGAAAAACTAATACGGCTCAACAATCTCCATTTTGCTTACCATCAATTTTGGAAAAGTAGGTTGACAGAACCGAAAAAACGTCATGCCATTAATCAATTCGGCCCTTGGCCCCGATGCATCTTGATAAGTGAGGGAGACAGTATAGGACAACGGTTTATGCGAGCAAGCGATGCGAGCTCGTTCACATCACAATTATGCAGACCATATGATACGACTGTGATTGAACTAAACAACACGCAACCACGCAACCATCAGACCTAATTGGAAAATCTAGGGAAACAGTTGTGATTATACAAGGTGAGCCGTCGACAATATGGATCAGAGCAATCAATCACCGATTTCTGCCAACCCAATTGATTGATGAAAAGAGATAAGTCATATACTGTGAGTCCAGTACCGCAAATGGATGCGAATGTTGAGGCGAGCTAGAATGATTGGCCCTTCAATGCTTGGGTCCCTTGAAGATGCACGTTATAAATTCCCGCACGTGCAGATACCGCATATGTACTTCCTAACGGACACGCAGCGGGAGACAGTCGCAGCAAATGACAGTCATGTGCTTTTCGGAGCCAATGTCATGAATTCAATGCCCCGGGGCCATGTCAAGCGCGATTACTTCGACTCTTAAACATCCCAGCCACCACGTTCGATTCGGTAATACGAAACTCCAAAAATGAAGAGGCTGGGACTTGGTTGATTTGATAATAGTGATCTGAGCTTCCGAAGTTATCAGGCCGCTTTACGGCTATTTGTTGTATTTCAACGGGGACTATTGACATACTACTCCAGAGGAGGATGCAAATCCCAACCCTTATCAATATCTTCGCGTGCAAAAGAATCTTGGAATGTATATTGATTCTGGATTCCATTGAAGTTAGTGGTCAATTCACCATTATGGGTATTGGAAGAAAAATGATATTCACGTCTTTCACCATGCCTGTTATCACCAAACTTGATGTGTACGCGATCCCCGTTTGGGAGTGACACAACATTAACAACTTGATTCCAGAATGAAGGAAGAACACAACCCAAGCAAAAAAGTATCTGCTTGCTTATATTAAGCTTATCCGTGCGTCGCCATCTGCATCTCGTCTGGAAGCAATAATGGTCACGTGAAGGTGCCCCGGCATTTGCCATCGGGGGAGATTCGTCAATTGCCTCAGCAACAGTTTGGTTCTCCACACTATCCTGAGCCTGCGAAAAAACGCATGGCGAACAGCGGTCTGCCTGCTTGTCTTTCCTGCTGTTTGGTCCTAACGGGTCCTATCCGAATCTGCAAGTCGCAAGTAAGTCTTATGGGGCTCGGGATTGACTCTCTTCTTGCGCAATGTGACGAGATAGCGCCAAGTCGACGATATTTATGCGTGCGTTCACTTGCAGCTTTATCCCCATACCGAATCATATCCACCTTTGCCACGCAATTGTCCCAATTGGGATTACGGTATAGATCCGCGACTGTCGGTGAAAGGCGAAGAGACAAAAAGGGGATCTAGCCCCAGCGGTGAAGATTCTTCGCTGGCGCCAATAGCAACATCATCATAAATGGCCAGCATTATTACTTGTGCTTTACGCGTCGTCAAAACCACTACCAATCTATGTTCATCCTAAACTCGAATAAGCATTGCAACATGATGTACAGAAGTAGAAGCAGAAGAGTGGCAATTGAGTTTTTCCACGTCTTGAAGGAGGTGATTACATGCATCTCTTTGCTGGCAAGCTCAGACACGCATCACTAGGTCAATAGTTCTGCATTTACGCGACTAGGACTCAGAGAGCTCTCCTCGGAAACCCAATAAGTTCCAGTGATTTTTTAGTCTGGTGGCTCACCGCAAAACATAATGCCTGATAGCCGTTGAAACAGATTGTCGGTATAGCCTTTCGAGATATTAACCTGCAATTGCCGCGAAGACTTCTATCTCCGAGCACTCGAAGAATAATATGCAGTTAAAGGGCATACATATATACCAAGCTTCTGCGAATGATTCCAAAGTTTTGGTTCCGACTCCGCGGTTCCGACAAATTTAAACGCGATAATTTATTGCACAGAATGGGGAAATTCCGCCTCGGTGGATTATGACGGGGGATGAATTCACGACAATGTGTTTAAACCTTGATCCTCAATTAACATCTACGGCAACGGTGGGCTATCTACACCATGCTCTCATCAATCCTACAAAGCGGGGTCATCGGTAGAGACCGAGAAACTCGGTTTTATGCACGATAATAATGGAGGAAGTGGACGATCAAGAATTGGAGGACAGCGAGAGCGACACGTCAGAGAAGCTGCACCAAAGCTCTTCTTCCAATGCGACGTGTTCGTTCTGTTTCACAGGTCACATGTAGCGGAACTACATAGAGATAAAGCACAGGGAGTATACAATACAATCCTTCCCAATCCTTCATCAGGCTTCACGTGAGGACTGCGACTAGAGTGTCAAATGGTCCGTCCTAGCAGACTGGCTGGGGACTTTCAATACTCGAAACAATTCAACGTTTGAAGTGATTTCAATACCCAAGTCTTTTGGTTGTTATGATGAGTTTCGGGAGTGGAACAACTCTGATTGTCTGACTAATTCCGGACAATAGAAACCTTGAATGTAAAAGACAAGAAGGATAATCAATGAAAGTAAGCAAGAGTAAGATTCCACAGATAAACGATTTTTCCAAGGAAGAAGTGTTTTCTACTACCTCCTGATCTCAATAGCACATATTGTTCCCGCAGTTCCAATGGACTCACAGTAAATCTGCCAAAATTTGCGCCTTTTGCAACGACGGCAAGAGGCCCGGAATACCGGATTTTGCCAAAAGCAATCAGGAATTACGGCACAACTTATATGAAAGCGATGACATATAAAATTGTAGAAGTACTTAGTCCTATTTCTCTTTCTAAGAGTTCCGCAGTGATATAATTTCATTCCATGTCAGGAAGCAATATCTCGAAGTCTCAATTCTCGCTGAAAAGATTTTCCGATGTGACATCACTTGCTTCCCCACCAGATAATCGCCGTGCCATATATACAGCCAGTAACAGCTGTAGTACTCAAGTACCTCAAAATCTGTAGATCACCCTTCCACATTCAAGCAGCAACTAAACTCGGATCTCAGTTCACGATATCGTTTAGTAATGTCTTCCATACAAACATGGACGGTCACGGAACCATACATCAACCCACACTGTGGGCTCGGTGAAGCTCCCTTCTATGAGCCTTCCACCAACACACTCCGCTTTGTGGACATCAAGAAGAAGCGTCTCCATACAATCGATCTGAATGTTGGTCCATCGTCTCTTACGACCATGCAGCTAGATATTCCTGTCGGCGTAACAGCTGATATTGAGGGTATAGATTGCACCGATAGGATATTGGTGGGTGGTAAAAGCGGGATCTACGTACTTAGAAGAAGTGATGGAGAGATGAAGTTATTGAAGAGGTTTTATGATAGCGAGGAAAAAGATGAGAGACTGAGGAGTAATGACGGGGCCGTAGATCCAAAAGGAAGATTTTGGATAGGGACTATGAATGACTTTTGGGTGGGGGAGCCACAAAGTGAAGGTGGGTGACATTTTTATTCCCGACTAAATACTGACCATGAGCCTGAGCTATGAGTTCCAAACAAGCACCAAGTGGGTGTGTAAAACCTCTCGGTTCCAGTTTGTAGTCTGTTGCATGTGATCTACCCCCTATCTATCCCGAATCATGTCAATTGTGCCCTCACCCTATGCATTCTTGCCGCTAAACTCGACGCCTTCAGGTACAATGTTCCGCTTCGACAATAATCTCACACGCCATACTATTCGTGAAGGTTTGACAATTCCTAATGGAATTGGCTGGTCTGCAGACCAAAAAACTATGTACTTTACCCATACAACCGAGCAAACTATCTGGGCGTACGACTACGATGCCTCGACTGGCGATGTGACCAACAAGCGGGTATTTTGGAAACTCGATGGAGATGGAGAGCCCGATGGATTCAAGTTCGACTCTGAAGGGAATATCTGGCAATGTATATTCGGCGAAGGGCGTGTGCTGAAGATTGATCCTCAAGGCAAAGTCGTTGGCGAAATCAAGTATCCAACGAAGTGTGTGACTTGTCCCGTATTTGTGGGCACTGAGTTGTGGGTCACGAGCGCAAGTGATGGGGGCGACGAGTATGCGGGAGCACTATTCAAGGTCGACGTTGGGATTGGCGGGCTAAAGGACTTCAAGTTCAAGTTAGCTAAAGGAAGTGCGGAGCTATGATTCTTCGGACCCGAAGTGTGATTCTTCAATTAGATGAATGGTTATGGAGAACATGTAGATGGAAACTAGACTACTGCACTTACTACTTTTGGGCCTAGTGTTTCCTACCAGTTTTCACAGTGGCTTGACTCAGGAGAGAGCAGCAGAACTCAAGTATCATTCGTACAATCTAAATGAATATTGAGTGCATCGGTGGCTTATCTCGGGGCTGCGACCTTCGAGGAACGTGAAGGAAGTCTTTGTGGCAGTTTTCGAAAGACGGAAACATATTTTTACTCCAATGTTTTCAAACAATGAAATTCCGTGTGCTTCTGTGAAGATAAGGAATCAATATCCTTGAAGAAATTTGATAATTCACTGTCAATTGTAGAAGTAAATATGATAGAAGTTCGCACACTATAGGCTTAGCGTCCCGGCGCGCTACCATAGGCGACAAAATCTTAAGTTAACCTCTAATATCAAAATCGCTTCTCCAAATACCTGCTATTCCTTTGCATCTTCAACACACTTTCACTCATTGATATTGTTTGCTTGTTGAACTATAAAACTATCAAACCGTGGTGTTGCCAACGACTCTCCGCTGTCTTTGACACAGGTACCCTTTTGCTTCACAATCTCTTTCAGCGTCGAGAAGCCCAGACTTCCATACAACCTCATCCATTTTGAGTCAAATTTCAACAGAGGTATGCAGTTCTTCATTCTCCAGAAAGAGTGTCTGGTAGTCTAGGCAGCAGTCCAAAACCGAAAGGCTCTTTGTTCTTAGAATCATCCAAAGCTTCCATCCTTTCAAGTAATATGTTGTTGTAACTTGTTCAAAATTTTCATCTTTCAGAACACTGGAGTTTGGGTTTGATCTATCTTCGATATCTTGTCAGAGCTCAGAAAAGAGTATGGCTACTTTCTTGAGAAACTGTTTACTAACTATATAAATACAGTATCTATCCACCATACTCCATCAAAGATGACAGGTCCACCTAAACACAAAATGCGTTCCAAGTCCGATTCTTATTCCTACGTCATTGATAAAGCAATGGATATCGAAAAATCTATGGGACATCAAGAAGTTATCAAGCAAAGCATTACTCAACGTGCAACATCTTTCTCTATGGGACATCAAGAAGTTATCAAGCAAAGTATTACTCAACGTGCAACGTCTTTCGAGCGTGGAAATGCCATGAACTGGTACAGCAAGTTTCTCGCCAAATGCTACTTCGAATTTCTCTGTGCTATCGCCATTCTTACCTTGATCCCTGTCGTTATTATTCTTGGCTTCAATTGCTACTCCAATCGAACTGAAAGTTACGTGTCTGGGCACAAGTTTCTCGTGTACGATTTCAAGGGTGTTGCTCCATTGAATAACAATTTAGTCCTCCAACCAGGAAGACATATCTGCGATTCAATTACCGATAGTGCTCAATGCCACGAAACATACCTGGAGTATGATATCAGTGGATTTGTCTTCTTGTTTGTTGGAATGATTCTGGTTTTCTCGGTTACATCTAATATAGTCCATAGGCGTTTATGCACAGAGATTGAGAAATTGCAAGGCAGATTAATCAGATATGAAGATTTGTTGAACAATGAGGGACAGCTGTACACTAAGGTCATATCAGAGATCTTATCCGGGGGTTTGAAGAAAGAAATTCTAGAGAAGGACAGTCAAGTTACCAATGTCAAAATGGCTTGCAAGAAGGACTCTGCTGATGCTAAATTGGAGATGGACCACGAGAAGGAATACAATCAAAAGAGAAAACAACTTGATGATATCATTCAAATGAATCTTTCGGAGACTTTGGGACTAGAACCATGCGACTAAAGCTTTAATGTATTCTAGGGGTTCTGCATTCGAGAGAGTTCAGTGTTCAAGAATGACAAGGACTGTTTGCATGTTGCATTCATAGTTATCATGACAATGTAAATGAAAGGCTCCTTTCAATAAACTACTCTGTTCCCCCATCTTGTGTAACTTGGGTGAAAGCTCTATGAAGTGAGATATCTAAGTTGTGTGAAGTTACCATACTGCAAACTCATAGATTTAATATCCATAAGAAAGCTAGAAGTTAGATGAACCAAATAGCACAGCACAATCTTGAATAATTCACACAAGGCTGACTTGATATAAGAAGATAGTCCAGCCTGCTATTCTGCCAGTAATAATAGTTTGAGGAGTCTCGAGTATCCAATTATGATTTTTTTCTAGGCGGTGAATATTTTAACTAAAGCCTCGAGTGGTGAATATATCTTTCACTTTCGGTCGCATTCCCATCTTCTTTCCCACAACAACAACAATTTCTTCAATCCCATTATTTCGAGTGAGAACTACTTTTCTTGTTGGATATCTGAGATTCTTTCTCATTTACCTTCAAGGAAAGCGTCAAGATCTTCTACTCACGTATAATATCATAATTCAGAGCATCCACTCTTTGGCATCGCCTGTACAGTATTTGAACTCTCCTAATAACAACATCTTTGCAAAAACACTTCAAGGTTCGAACTTACTTCCAACAATTTTTCTTTCAAAGCTCTGCTCCTACTTTTGCATCGAGTCTGAGAATTTCTATAATACCTCACTATATTTTCTTCAGTTGTTTGCTCGAAATTAATACGAGTCATGTCGGAATCCATGTGAGAATATCCTCCCCTGATTACCAGTTCGGATTCTCAAAGAGATACTAACGCTCAGGAAGTGAGACTGCTGGCAATAGCTTTAAGACGTCCCCGAATGTTGCGCCTTCGCAATCAAGGTAAGAAATTCCACCATCCTCTCCTTAATCAATTTGAAAACACGAAAGTACTAATATCTCGAAGTGTAACAACCGCCGAGGGATCTTCTCTTTCGTCGGAAAATGAGGTCGCGATTGCTCGTTGGAAATTCAACAGAGCGAGAACCGAAAAAGAACACGCGGCTTTCAGAGAGCGCATGCAATTTCAGTCGGCCGACTTTCATCGATTTCTCGCGGAAACAGCTAGAACCTCTCCAAAAGTTGCGGTGCCTTCTCCAGCTTGGGAAAGCATCCCCTTTCCTATCCCTGTAAGAACCCCTACCATTGTCGAGGAACCTGATAATCAGCATTCCGAGATGAATGCCAGTTTCGATGAGATTCAAGAAGTTCCTCGTCGTCAAGCCACTCCAATGGACTTTGGACTTGGTAGTCAACAGAATCAAGCAACTCTTGACGTTCCAACTTTTAGCTTTGACCGTCCATCTTTCGATGACAACATCGGAAGCATTGAACTACAGTCATTCCCAGAAAGTGAGCTTCGTACCAACTCTGAACATGCTGCCGGTGACCGAGAGGCAATGATTACTGTTGGTGCAGTCTTTGAACTTCTACGCAATCCGTCGGATGTTCGTTATCCTTTTGCCAGAGCTTCTAACATGGCTGCTGTGAGTGACAAAAATTCTTTCTATCAAGAACCCCTAACTAATTTGAATTTGATGGTAGGTTCAAAACACTCCCCACTCCGACTATAACCGCTCCGGTACTCACGTTGATACTTTGGGTGGATACGACGATGGATCTTTCAACCAAGCTGGTGTTGGTGCTAAGGATGAAAAGGAAGACAGAAACTGCTTGTTTTTGCCGTTTGGATGGATCAAACGCAAGCTTAGTAACATCCGTCACCTACTCTGATGTTTTCCGTTTGGATCAGTTGTCAATTGGGTAAACTATTTCAGTTTGAGTTGCTTGAGTAAGTATGTATGCATGACCGGTCTTAAGTTCTTTTCAAAGCCCTCTTTTCACTTCGGGTGTACCAGTAATAATTTACTTTATTTTCTTTCCAAATTCACTCTTGATGAGCATTCGCTAACTTTAACAACTTATAGTTCTGGAGTACAAGAGCTCTTCCATCACATCAACTTTCCTCTCGATTTCGAGCCTTTGTTTCTACCTATCTACAACTGGTAGTGTTTGATGACTCTTAAACATCGTCATTATGCATTCGAGATTTCATTATGCATGTTAAGGATTGGTCTTCGGCATGGTCGATATGAATTCACGCTGCACTTGCGAGTGCTTCAGTTATGGAGGAAAAAATTTATATTGTACCTGTTGTGATTTTCAAAGTCTGTTTCTTCCACAGGATAAGCGCTGTGGTAATGGTTGTAATAGTTTGGAGGGCTCTTGCTTGTGAAGTGCTTTCAACTTTCATGACCAGATCAACTGTAAATGTGCAGAGGAATGACTTAATCATCCTACCATGCAATAAAATTGATCTATCGAACTATAAACTTTCCCATCATTTTATTGGATATATTTGCTGGCAGTGTGTGACTTCATATGTTTACGGTGATGCTTCATGAAGGATCCAGCAATCTGGGATACCAAATTAGAAGTAAGCTTTGGATGTCCAAAAACAATTCACTATCCACAATGAACTCGCATATCAAGCAAACTCAATGCTCTAATTGAATCCAGCAATTGAAAGATTCTATTGAGGGTCTGCAGTCCGGTCTATGGGGATTTTAGACCGAACATATTTTGCCGAGCTACAGCTGTTTCAAATTTGGATATGCCATTATTCTACTATCCAACTTACAAGTCGTACGGTCTCAAAGAAGCTGGTACGGCTAGCTAAACTAGCTCATTATCTTTCTGTCTTACGGTCCGAGTATACCGCATCTTTGGAATAATGATCGTGCCGAATTTATGGCCTTCAACGCTCATCTTCCACATCTCATCAACAGCAACATCAAACCAACATCGCAACTCAAATCGACATCAACAACAACACCGGATCCCAGAATCACAGCATCAAGGTCAACGTCTTCGAATCACGTATTTCGATCCATCTCACCGTCGTTAGTCGGCGTCATCACGATCCATAATACCATCGGAATAACTAATCTCACAGATTTTCTACTTCTTAGAAGCTACTAAACCATCCCTTTCTAACCAGTTATGATCCCTTCCCAATCCCTCGAAGGTCAATCCCAGGCCCCGGAGTCGGTACTAACAAAGCTTCACAGCATCTACACAAAATGTCAGCGACCTATTACCTGCAATCTCATGAATGGTTGAGAAAAGAAGAGCTCACTCGAGCTCGCGAACGAGAGTGGCATCACAACAGCATTCGTAAGCACCAGAACTGGAACGACATCCGATTTCAACTCTCGCCTCAATACCGCAAATTTATGCACTACAAAAACTTTCAGATTCAACGACAGGTAGAAATCGATTATCTAGCCGAGCAAGCGAAAGAACTTTATCTCAAACAACAGGATCCGGAGTGGCAGGCCGAGCAAGCGAAATTAAAGAGACGGGAAGAGTATAGAAGATATGTGGTGCAAAATGATTTGGTACATTGCATGACTTTGGAGGAAAAGTTTGAAAGAAAGATAACAAGAGCCAGAGAGAGAAAAGCTGCTAAGTACCAGGAAAATTTGCAGCGGTATCTCGCGGAATGTGATCGTCAAGATCGTCAAGATCGAGAAGATAAGTTGGCCTACCAAGCTATCGGGGGCTTTGCCCTTTTGTCGGTTGGTGTTATTCTGTTTTCATTCTTTTGTTAGATATTTTCGAGGTCGAATGGTGGGCATGAAGACAGTTTCATGTCCGATTTATTAATGAATAATTGGAAGAGTGATCTTTGGAAGAAAAGACACTACGTTGTCCAAGAAGTTGGGGAGATGTACATATTTGAACAGTCAGTTTGATATTGCACAAAAGGATGGAAATCAAAAATTATGTTAGCAATAATTCAATATGTAAATTCAAACTACTACTCCAGGTCATGATTGATAATGGCATCTTTTTTCACAAGTCTATGTAATATATCACGCTTCGAGGGAAGGGTTCATGAGCGTATCCGAGCCGAAGGATGGGCCGCGAGATCGAAGTTTGAGTGCACTACTTTGAAGCTTGCTGATCCACACATAATATAGAGCGTCGGAAAACGGGAATTATATATGTATATTCAAATTGCACTCATATCATGTGAAACTTTCTGGAGTCTGAACTATATACACCTCTTTCATTCTTCGCAGAACCGTATTTTGTCTCTTCATTCTTCACCAACTGTTTTACTATGCCTCAACAACCTAATTAGAGTACAAAGAAGTGACCTGGTACGGCTTCGATGAGTCTAATACGGTGCAGCTAGTATCTGAGATTCTCATTCATCACCAGATCATATTCGGCGCGTACGGCTCGTACGGTTAATAGATGATCACTAATTAGCGATGTTCTCAACGATGACACTAGTCAGTTACGTGTTGTATACTTTGCATGTCCTCACATACATAAGCACTCAACTCTTCTAATGGAAATAGCTTTCTTCCTTCTACACATAACACTTTTGAAAGACCAAGTCAAAAGATCTTCCTTCAACGCAAAACAGACACATTTCAACTTTGTCATAACATACCACTATAAAGTCAGATCCACTCAGCCCTTGACTCAAGATTGAATCAACATACCCTCAACAATCCAAGTCAAAAGATTTACGAAACCTCGGATCATCAAAGATGTCTTCTTCTCGATCCCGTGAACAAGATTTCGATTCCGACGCAGGTACCCTCGCCGTCAGCAATAGAAACAGCACATACTCCACCAAGTCAGCTGGTCCATTCACTGATGAAGGCGACTTAAGCAGCGGCTCTAGCTACAACACAGCCAAGTCCTCTAGCAAGTTTCTCAATCAAGATCACTTCGACGATGTCAGTAAGGATCTTGAACTCGGCACACTTCCTACGATAAACCCAATTGTCCAAAACTCTACGCACAATAAGACAGCTCGTCGAGGCAATTCCAATACCCTTATGAAGCGCATGCGCCGCAGCAAGTACCACGATCTCTGTATGGTCAGCATCTACTCTTTTGGACTCTGTACCGCTATCCTGTTGCCTATCGCTTTGATTCCAGTCTACACAAACGATATCAAATTCACAGTTTCGGTTGACATGAAGAATATCGAAGTTGTTAACGGCACCGTCAATTACGGAAATGGTACGACTGCTCCGGTCAACGATTTCAATCTTTTTGGTTCTAATCTTACAGTTGCGACTTGCAACTATATCGATGCTAATGATTTGTGTACGAATAATACGCATCACCATGTCAGTATCTTGTGGCCTTGCTTTATTCTGTTTGTGATCCTATTGTATAGATTTATCTGGGATATCGTTGGTGCCAGATATGGTTTGGTCAAGATCAGACTTGGGAGAAGAAGTGCAAATCAGTAAATGGATCTATCATCCATGGAGTGCTGAAGTTAGGAGCAGTGGGCAACGGGTGGTAGAGAGCGGATGGCGGATGGGGATGATAGGTGATTTGGTTATGGGGCACAGAGTTCTTTAAACGATGAACCTCTCGATACTCCCCGCTGTTGCTTTTTTCGCGTCTCTTCCAGTTTTCTGGAGAAAGCGTAATGAATCTCTTTTTAGGTTGTTATGGCTGGGGGGAAAAATGGACCACCAAGAAGCCTCTTGTGGACTGGAATCTCGTTCTGGGTTCATTGTCGGCGTCATGAGTGGAAGGGTTAACTGGGGATAGGTTGGGAGATTAGCTTGTGAATTCTTCTTATGTTGCAGCTTTGCACAATGAGCCTTCAGATACCAATAATTAATCAATTGATAATACCACCTTTCAGTGTAATATTTTGTTCCCGTGAGAGAAAATTGATGACTGGCCCAGAATTTAACATTCGACTCGAAAAATTAGACAGATTACGCACGGCAACTTTCTACTGACTAGATAAACGAGCATCTTCATAATAAACGAGCATCAGTATGAAGACATACTGACACTGGGGAGATCAAGAAAGAATAGTTTCCACTCAAAAGGCCTTCGGTCGAAAAGATGGAGAAAGAAAGGGAAACTCCCGAGAAAAGTACCACAGGAAGAAATTTTCACCATGCTCGATTATTTCTGTGACTCATCACTACATTCATCACGAAAAATGAGACCTCAGCCTATGATTGTTTTCGTTGTTCCGGCAAAGCTACGCTCAAGAACAATTGAGGTTCTGTATTGGATGCGTGAACACCTCCTACGTCATTCATAAGAAATCGAAAAGGCGTAAGACATATCTGCAGCGACCCAAGAAGCTGTGGTAAGCCAGGGCACCGCATTCTCAGAAGCAGAAAGCTTGAATCAATTGGGATTGATCATCGCTCAGCTGCTGAGAGGGGTTCACTCCTTGGCTTTTATTACACCAAAAGAATAGATACATCTTCAACATTCACTTGGTTATATATAGTAAACTCACTGGTCCTTGTGGAGCTAACAAATTGAATGGGGAAAGAATTCGGTGTCACTTTTGCTACATTTGACTCCCTAGGTGGAGCGACATTCATCGCTCCAGGTACGATGATTGCCAAGAAATATGCATCTTCGCAAAATCTCAGGGACGAAAAGACTAAATTGAATCAACGGGTGGTCTAAGAAATGTTGGGATTGAAGGCATATGAAGACTTTGGAATGAAACATCTTGTCGGAAGGGTCTAAGTGTGGAACAAGTATTCCAATAATGAATATGCTAGCTACTATTGAGTGTGAGTTGAAGTGAGGAGTATTTCACCAAGCTAGTACTACTGCAAAATATATATTTGTAACAACTTTTAAACGGAATCGTTTGCTTTTCTTGATATATTCGTCACAAACAGTAGGATCAATAATGCAGGCAGCCTTCGGTGATGTGAGACTAGCAGATTTGGAATTTTCCAAATGTACCCAGTGTTCAATTGTTATAATCGATATACACAGAAAATAAGAAATATTATTAGACATGAAAGAGTATCATCGTAGAAAATCATCCAGCCTCTCACAAATTTGTGATGCTCAATATCATCTCAATATGGTTCACGGAAAGAGACTCTTTCCCCTCTCTTGCAAGTGACACTGCACATGAGATCGCATTTTTAATTTGTCGTCCATTCAACTCAAGTCTCGCGAGTTTCTTGATATCAGCTGGATCGATAGTAAGAGTTCCGTTTTGTTTCGAGATAGTGTTGATGAAGTTGGTCCAAACGGACACGCGGCTAGATTCCGTGAGATCAGGATATTCGACAGAGAAGTGTATGCAGCCTATTCTGGTATTAGATCAAGAGCATTGCTGCTAGGGATATTACGTACTTTGAAAGGCTAGATCAATTTCTGACTTCCGATTTGTGGTCAAGATCAAAATCCCCTAAAATACGCAAGCCTTCGTAAAAAGATACTGACGAGAGTGTCGCGAGCAAGATCGGTTCCTCGTGCTCCAAGAAATACATCCGCTTCATCTATAAGTAGAACACAACACCATCGTCTACTGATCTCTAGTATCGTACCTAGACGTCTATCGACTTCATCGGCAGCGATTCCAAGCTCTCCTGTGCTGACTTGGTACAAGGGACGGGAGGTAACTTCAGCAACAGCCTCAGCAGTTAATGTTTTTCCAACACCAGGACCACGGCTGAGCAGTCCAACGAGACCTTTCCCTTTATTCTCGATGATGTCATCAAAGGAGGCTTCATCTTGTCGGTGATCTCTGACCAATGCGTGAATCAATTTTCGTCTAGTCTCATCAACAACCAGCTTCTCAAAAGCATCCTCATTCCAAACGATATCTTTCAAGCCATTAACAGAGAATTGACCCCAACATTTGTGAGTCAAACTGAAGCCATTGATCCAGTTTGCGCAAATCATTAATTGATCATCACGCGAATCCAAACCCTTACCAGTTATACGGTTTTCTCTCCGGATACGTGGTTGATTCAGACTCGACCAACGATTATTGGACTTCCAAGCCTCCGGATCGGCCATACCACGACCATGAAACTATCAACTTGTTAGTCTAGAAGCTCCGAAAGAACATATTGACATACGTTAGCCTTCTGAACCTTCATTCTTCCATCTGCAAGTTCATAATCTTCCAAACCATAACTCAAAGTATAATCATGACAAATAGCATGAGGAAGAGCTAGTATCAAGGACGAATACTTGCGCCCTTGTTGAATTAAGTTATCGCGGAAGTTATCTGGATTTGCATCATGTTGAATGGGATATACCTCCAATGAAGTATTCTCATTGCACCATCGAATAGATCTATTTCGATGTCCAAAAAGCCGTAACCAAAATCTTTTTCATCATGAGAGATGATGCGGCCGTTTAGGTTGAAATATCGCGTACCATTCGGTCTTTCACGATAAGTCCCACTGACAACCCTCAAAGCCTGACTTTGTGCTATGAGCCTAAACTGCGTGGTCGCCACGTAATCTCCTGGCTTCATCAAAGCCCATAGAAGGTCATATGTAATTTCACCATTATCAAGCAAAGACTCCAAACTTTGTATCTGGGGACCAAAGTCTTCATTTATGAACCGCAATGCTGAGAAATTAGCATATGAGATTACGGGGGAAGTCGTTGCCAATGTTTGCCTGAAATATCTCTGACATTATCTGCTCTCTTATGCTGCGAAGTATTGGGACAAGCATCTTGACGGGGTTACATATACTCCAGAATTATGCATAAGAGTACAAAACTTCATAACTTCAGCGCAGTTCTTTACATGTCTACAGATTCAAAGTTTATTCGTTGGAGGTAAGATTTCTGGTACCAGAAATTACATCTGTTATGGATCTAATGAATCCCAGGACAATTCCAATTTTGGCTCAATTCCAGCCGAACCTGGACAGGACCACATCTCAGACGTGTATTCCCAGCCTGGCTTGCCGCTAATTGTGATAAGAAGCTGGAAACCAAGTATAGCGATTTTTTTGGTGAATGGAATCATGTTTTAGATGGAGTTACGAACATGAGAGGCAGGTACCCCGGTGAAATTGATCGGATCTTTTGGGCTTCTATGGGTCCTACAAACTTCTTGTAACATGGTCAAAGCCGTTATAAAAGCTTCATATTTCAGACTACAGATGGAGAGCCCGATCTGGAAATGCCTTCTCGATACTATGACGGGATTGATGTCGCTGGTCAAAATATGGTGGTATTAAAGATAGATAATTTGTGAGTACATGTACCATTTTTCATGCGAACTGGGGTTGTTGACTTTACGTTAGGGGGAGCAGCTCCGAAGAGCTTGAATTTACTTGCCAACAGTGGAAACTTGGTACTGGTCGTCCTAAACTTACAGGGTCGCAAAAACTCAATGCATCTCGCATGAACTGGTGTCTGTACGATCATCCAGTCAGCAAAAGGGCGCTTGGGCGCCCTGTTCCAGTTTCTCTGACCCCTGATCTTCAGTATCTGCGAATTGGCTCGCAGCTATTTGCTAAGCAAAATGACAAATATACACCAATTGAATTATTCGACAAAGAACTATACTTTGAGGACATGGCCAACTCTGGCCCACATATCGCCGTATCAACAAGACAAAACTTGACGCACGAGAATCTTGCTGATATACAGGCAAAAGAAGATTTGATTCTTGACTATGGGGATTATCTCGTTCAAAAAATGAATCAACAGCTGGCCAAGGGCGAGGAAAAAGCTGCAACCAATATCTCGACGGCTCCAGCTACCACTCTCCAGGAATCGCAATCAAGTCTGTCTAGCTCTTCCTCAAGCAATAGTTCTGTTGTATCACTTGTAATCGAAGATGATATCGACAATGATAAACACAAAGATGAGAAAACCACTATTGAAGAGTTTGATGATCTAGTGGATGCTTCTGATATCAGTTCAGATGGTAATTCAGCAGAGACAGATTGGAGTGAAGGGTCAACATCAGGTGATTCGGATGAATTAGACGACGAGGATCAATGGAACGATTGGGCCAACGAGCGAGTCAACTTTGAAGATCTCAATAACGAGTTTGATGACTCCAACTATCAAAAATCAAATGATGTTGATGATTTCGGCTCCGATATTCCAGAAATTCCAGATTACGACAATCTCTTGGATGACTTCAACGAATCGGAAAACGAAGAAGAAAGGGGGGGTATTGATGAAGATTCCGATATCGAGATGATCCTATCCGGAGCACCAAGATACGTTCTGAAACGGGCTCACTTCGAAACGGACCCCGAAGACACAGAGTCGTCTGTAGCTAGTCATTATTCACAGAGTCTTTATAGTGGTTCAGAAAGCAGCAACAGCCAAGGGGATGAAGATTCCATGGATACCGAAGAGTCAGAGAGACTGGAGAATCTCTACCTTGGGAAGAAGGACCTTGGAAAGGACGCACCTCGCGTTTCAATCCAAACATTTGACACTACGATGCAAGACCAAACGCCAATCTTCCACTTTTCTCAACGTGTATCTGGGGGGATATTCCACTCCCGTCCCAACTTTCACCCAACAGCACCACTTCTGGTCTGGCCCTTAGATGACGGCAAAGTGTTGTTCGCAAATTACTTAACCAATACATACTTCACCCGAGAACTTTGCTGTTCTACATACCACTTCTGTCACATTTTTGTCAAAACCAAATTCTCCTCCTGCGGTAGATTCATTCACTTTGCGGCACTCAAAGGCCGTCCCGTTGAAAAGAAACCTGAAATGCATCTCAGTCTCCAAGTTTCAACCCACCAACTTTCCTCCCGCAAAACGGCCAGAAGTCCTCCTCGACTGTTATTCAAGATAAATGTGTCGCTGGGAGAAAGCGCTCGCATGAGTGCGAGTCGACTACCATATACTTTAACGTGGACGGATATAGAATTGTTCTTTGTTACCCGAGGAGAAGAGTTGAATGTTATGAGGATTCCATTATTCAAAGGAGCGGATGATAAGACGATTCCGGTATGTTATACTCAAAATTCAATCTATCTTCCCCGATCTGCAGAATCGAGAAATGTATATTACTTTCCTCCTTCTCCCTCAAAATCCAAGAAGGAAAAAGAAAAAGCGAAAGGAAAAGAAGAAGTTGGGAAAATTATCATCGGATCAAATTCTTCAGTTCCATCTCAAGGATTGATAGTCACAAGAAGAAGTATGGTACAGCCCCCTATCGGTGTATTGGTGAAGGAAGATACTGATCTTGGGGGATGGAAATGCAAGAGTGTGGATTTAGAGACGGATGAAAAGGGAAAGAAGGAGAGGATTAATGTGCTAGGTGGGAGATTGCAGGGGAAGTTTGAAAGTTTTGATTTGAAGGAGGATTGTGATGTTATTCCTTATTTGTTTAATTTCTGGTGGGTGCAATCGAGGTCTGAATAGCTAGAACTTATCTAACGAAGAGAAAAAGGAGGTGTGCGCTTTTGGTAATACTGCGTTTCGCTAATTTTGCATACCTTCACTAAAAGCCCCAATGGCCATTATCTTAACATGCCAAGTTTTGAGACTATTCTTGAGACCGTACACATACAATGACTAGGTGTTATTTTTGTCTGAAGAGTGAGCAAAACTATTGCCGCTTGAGGTGATCACTGAGCTCAAGGTGTCGTTGGTCTACCTAGGTCGGTACTGTCGAGCTTTTCCATTTTCAATCACAATAAGGTGCTGATTGGCATCAAAGAGTATCAAAATAGTGATCTCATCCGCACTGAAGATTAACCTTAGAGTTTCTATTTCATCTTCCTTCTCCCTTTGCAATTCTCATGTTGTTATTCGCTTGTATTATTCAAACTTCCAATTACGATTTCCGCTTCGTCCTGTAGATTTCTATTTACATTCTTACTATCAGAAAGCTTAGAATAAGATCTTCAATTCTATCAACCTCTTTTACATGTAAATCTGAATTCGAGTTTCTATTCACAATTCCACTTTCACTCATTGTCTTCTTGCGTTTGCAAATTCCAATTGAAACCCAGTATTTGTCTTCAAATTATTGTTTCAAGAAAAAGCTGGAGCTTAAACGATTATGTTTTGGTAGTATCACAATGTTGAATTGCTACCACTACTATATTATCTACTCAGGTTGACCCAAAATGTTTTTTTTAAAGAAAAGGCTCCCCCCTACAAGACAGTCGCCCCCCAAGACTAAGTATAGAAAAAAAGTTTTTGCGCAACTTCAATACGGCCTGTGAGATTCCTCTCTTTGTCCATAAGCAAGCCCCCTGTGCAGTCACGAATATAATGATTCCACCTTCAGTTGCATCACCCAACCATATCAACACCAAGGCTTTTGTCACGGGGCAACATCGCCCCCAGCCTGTCTCCTATCTCAATCATTTGTTTTGAAACCAATCTCAACAGAATAAGTTACGGAAAATTCTCGTCAGAACCCACCGCAATTCTATCAAGTTCCACCCCAAAACGAGATTAGGGGTAGATTTAAATGTCATTTTTCCCTCCGGATGTGCATGATCCGAAAGAAAGACTGGGTCCACAGTACATGGTGCTATCAAAGTTGTTTGTCGGTCCAATAAGGAGAAAGCCACTCCAGGTACCCGAGTGGGTAAGATCGAGACATTCTGTTGCACATAGGGAATTTCCATCGATGGTTGTTAGGTGTTGTTTGATGGCTCCCTGGATAGTCGCGGCTTCTGCAGTTGTGTCACAGTTGCTACCAGTCGCGTAATACACCCAAGAAACACCGTCCACTGAATTAAAGTTAGAACACAGTAACTTTTCATATCCGAGGGTTTTTTCCACCAGACAATTAAGATTGCAGCTTTCGAGATATCTTCACAGCTCCTACTCGTTGGGGAAGAACAGATTCTATAGCAGAAAATGACTTACATGAACCATAAGACTTGCCACAGCTGCCTGCGTCTGAGATAGACTTAATTGCGGATCCAATAGCCTTGGAGATAATTATGGCCTGGCTGATGAGGCCGACGCATTGCTTCACGAGAATCAGTATTGTTTTAGGCATGAAAAGGTCAGCGCCCATGGCCCCGTGAATAGAGCCCATGAAAATTTGAAAGAATCTGCAGAACTTTCCACAAGATCGGAGTGTCCAGTTCGGCCTATTAAATGCCCTGAAAGTTATTGAGGGAAAGATGAGGTTGTACGAACACTGGTTGCTGTCAAGACCCGCTCACAGATCCTGACATTTGTGCGAGGAATGAGAGAAGTGTCAGAAGTTGTTGTGTTGACAGGTGTCAAATCATATCTGATCCATCTGTCTGGCATGGGTTGCCCATTGATGGTTGCAGGACCGTCAATTGCAAGCGAGTAGACCGATGTCATGCAACCCATTGCGAGGAGGAAAGGTGATGTGATACGCATGTTTAAATTGATATATAGAGAAGAATGCGAAAGCGTAGTTGCGCTGGCGATAACGTTCTAGTGGTAATAGTAATGTATTGAAGAGAGCTGTGATGAAATGACATTATCGTGGACGAGCTACCGGTATTTGTACAAAATGACAGCCAAGCTTTCAGGTGAGTGCGCTGTTGGCTCTTTCTCGGTCCTTGTGTGCTGGGTATTCTTACTGCGAAAGAATGGAATTCTTTGATCCATACAATTCATCTCGATACCAACAGTTTGATAATCAATATCTGATTCAAGAAGCACCTTTTTGTCAATACTAAACATGTCACTGAAGTTAAGGTGGGAATCAAGTGGAACTCAGTACAAGAAAATGCCTCTGCTAAATTGCGGAATACTATAATCATACTGCCTCACCATTTCGATACCGACAGTTTGGTAACCAATATCTGAATCAAGAAGCACCTTTTTGTCAATACTAAATATATTACTGAAGTTAAGATAGGAATCAAGTGGAACTTAGTGCTAGAAAATGTACCTGCTAAATTACGGATACTAAAATAATACTGCCTCACCCACAGCGTCCCCTACCATAATTCCGCTTGTACTGCTAGGAATTTTCAGCATGATATTCGACAGGTTATTTTTGTCAAAGCTGTTATAAGCACATTCCAGTCTGTATTTAGTTTACTTGAGCTGTGTCTCTGGCTAGATTGAAGTCTCCGATGCTAATTTATTTTTTACTTTTGAATTTTCGGATTTGAGTACTTGGGAATTATATGTACAAACAGCCAGGGAGAGAACTTGTCCGTTGAAATGTGAGTTCCGCTTCCAAAACTCTGGTAGCTCCGCTCCTCACTTAAGCACTTAACCACTGTCTACGGATGATTCCTCCGACTACCCCACATCCAACCTTTAAGGAGGCCTCTTCTTGCATGGGCAATTAAATAAATTCCCGTCTACATGCATGTGCCCTCCACTCCTTCGCACGAGCTAATACCGATATCCTTACGAAGCACAACCTTTACCGGGCATTGAAGCAAACACTTCAGCAAAAGGAGGGTAATACGTATGTTAGATTCCGATTTACCCTGAGAGCTATGATATAAGAGGAATGATTTCCGACAAGGGCTGTAGTTCCCTATTTACATGTGAAAATTCCAGCAGTATTGCAATACCTGGATCAATTTACCAACAAGAACTCACCCTGAACAACTTTTCAATAAGATTCTTCCTATAAACTCAGCGATGGTGCAACAAAAGAGTGCAATTTTGGTTTGTCACATGCTAGTTGAGATATCAATACATGGAATGTTGCTATGGGGTTTTTACCGTTTCTTATCCCCTTTATTTTCAGTCGGAAGAAAATGAAAGTTCTGTAAATAAGCTTCGACCCGGTAAGATCGAGGGCCCAGAAAAGCTTAGTGCGAGTTCTTGTTGATGAGTCTCCACAATAGATGCCAGAAGACAAGTTTACCAAGTGAGGAACGAGTTGTATTGATCTGAAAGTATGATACAACTGTCGATCTCTTTTATGCCCCACCTAGGTGACTAATAAGTCATGCAAGTGACGCCCTTTGACTACTCCTTCTATCCCCACTCACACGCGGGTGCAGACGGCCCGGACCGAATTGTTGGCTGAGCTTTAGATTGCACCGATCAACTTAGGCCACTCCACAGAAAGACAGGGAACTGTGACGCCCTAGGCGGACAAAAACTGCCCACCGAATCTCTCCAAAATCACAAGACGATGAAAGCTTCTTCACTTCAATACTGCATTGTATCACTAATTATGAAGCGAGTGTAGGAAATCTAGATAAATATCAACATGCAATATGTTCAAAGGACTCTATCTGAATCTCACATCATAGTAATCAATTGAATTGATACATGATTTTGTAACATGACTGTCTCTTGAATGTGCGATTTTTTCTCTCCACAGCGTGACTTTCTTTTTCGATGCTTTGAACAAAGTGTTTCGCCTAATTATGCCGATAAAGCGGGCCTGAGGGGAACTAACTAGCGGGGCCAGGCTTAATTGGATCCGGTCGGATGCATACCGTGTCAACTCGAGAGACTAAGCTTAATTCTACGACCCTGGAGACCAAACTTCCTCGCATGTACAAAAACGGGTTTCCGGGTAAAAATTGTTATCCGTTATATCAACTGATTCAATAAGTTGAGACAGATCTTAACTCAAGCTAGGAAGCTTAACCCCCACAAAGCTTAGCTTAGCTCGGACGCTAGATACTCTCGTTTTCTGTAATCTATCTATGTGCTGTAAGTACCATTGAGTAGGTTTCTTTCAAATTAGGAAGTTCGTAACTTGGACAGTCGTTTTTAGCCCCATATTTGAAAAGTTTTCTCCAACAGTTGGTGACTTTGGGCCCAAGCGGAGCAATTCTCGTATAGATTCGCCGATGATAGCCCATCTGTCTAGCCTGTCATCCAAGCAGACTTGAGCTATATGTATATATTGTATCTCTGCAAGTATCATTATCTACTCAATCAAATAGAGCACTGCATTCATATACTTTATCAAGATGCCGTGAGTCCTCACTTATACCCGATCCGTTTGAGAATTGAACACCCAGACGTATATCGAACCTAACAAATAACAGAGAACTCAATTTTACATCCCGATTCATTAAACTTGAGCAGTCACTGCCATATATCGTTGCGCCTGCCCTCTTTCTGTCAATTGTACTACAAAAATTTATAAATTTTGACAAATTGGATCAAGATGCCCTATTTTGGTCCCAAGTATGCTTCAGCTCAAACCTCTGCTACTATGTCTATAGACAGTAAGTTTTTCGTTCTCCATTTACAGAGATTGGATTTTAACAAGATTTGGATAATTAGACCAAATACACCACAGCATCACCCGTTGATAGAAGCGCAAGAAGAGAAGACAAATTGACGAGATATGAAGAAGTGGCCCTGAGCGACAGGCTGAGAAGGCATGTATTGGTGGAGAGATATTGAAGAAGAAATTTCAATCTTAGATCTGTGAAGGAGTTACTAGTTATTCTATGACATGTGTTCCACTCTTACCTCTACTTGTATACTCTTCATTAGAGAAACGCAAATATTGCATGAATGCTGTAGATTGTGTAACTTCGTTCATACGTGCTCTTAAAGCCTGTAACTGTAAGGAAAGGATCTTGAATGACTATAGTATAATTCCGCAGGTATAATGTGACTCGGTGTAAATTGAGTACCCCAGTTTCGGACTAACATTTTTCGGATCAGCATTATACAGCAAAAATGATCATTTTAACCTATCAATAACTCTATCAGTATTGAGTATTATGGGATTAGATCTTCAATATAGAGTTCCTGAATAAACATCAAGTGAAGATGAATGATACCGGGCTGCCGGGGAATGAGGCCACGGCGTTGTTATTCGTCGATTCAGCCACTGCGACCAACAAAAGTATTCCTCAGCTCTCCACTGAATCAGATCATAGTGGTAAGATAGCCGACTATTGCCTTGAAGCAAGTTCATAGGAGGAGAGTGGTACTTAATATATAGGATATAATGTGTACTAATGAGTGAATACTTTTAGGGGGATAGTATTTGGGCGCCGAATCTTAATTGCGCGTGTGTTATAGACGAGGAAAAGCGAATGCATTGAATTTGTTGAAAAGCTTTCAACTTTTAATAAGCCTACTCTTAACGGCAGGTTACCCTCATGCCCTAGAATTGAGAAGTCATTTGCTCTCATGCCTTTTAGATTCTATGATAGAATTCGTCCATCTCAGGCTAGAATCTGATGTGGAGGGGGGGGGGAGATTCGATGATAGGAGGGTAATCTAGTCACTTTAAACTAGATTCTATAGTTTGAGGGTAGATTCTAATCATTTTAGGCCAAAATCTATAAGTGGAGGATAGATTCTTCGGGTATATTACTACTTTCCCTTTAAACCTTTTTATCGAATTCCTCTTTTCTTTTTGATTATTATAGGCTAGAATCGATGTAGAATGTAAGGGACGTGAGAGCAAAACAAGTGTCGCTCGGGGGGCATGAGGGTAATTTGTCGTACTTTTAGATACATTGCGTAGCCCTGAGGTAAAACATTTCAAATTCAGTGTACATTTTCATTTTAAAATTCGAATGGAAAGAGAGGATTTTAGATACCGAAAGTAAAGTTTCTTAGGATTCAAGTTGTTCTTTATATCATTAACAATTAATTTTGATATATGTTTGTAATAAAGAACTAAGGCCAGTAAATACATATGTTATTTACTATATGGTAAATGTTCAAATGATAGCCGAAAGTAGAGCTATCATTCCCCTTTTCGTGTTAGACTTTATCAAAAGTCAACTACTCATTGAATTAAGCTTTTAATGATACATTTGGTCGCTCTTTAGGAGGGTAACTTTGTTAAAATTCGGAAGCTTTCTGACAAATAACCAGTGCTGTTCAGCATGTTGTTACAAGGATTGAATGATGTAGCATCATTTCTAAAAGATTCATCTTCTTTCTCCCGGTAAAGGTACTGAATTCACTGAAAAATAGCTGCTCCAAGAGAATGTAAAGGGTGGCATACAAATGCAAATTCGACTCCCACTTCAAAAATAAAATCATTGTTCATTAGGTTCAGCATGGATTTGTATAGCCAAACTCGTTCTGAACGCTTGGAATGATATAGTGACTTCCAATCGCTCACTTGAACAAATGGGATGCGAATACAATAAGTTATAAAGTTATGATATGCTGAAACAAATATTGAATTTCATTATCATAAAACAGTACTGTGACTACAAATGTCGTAATCTACAGTTCAAAAACATCAAAGACCATTCTCAGGCCAACGAGCAACTAAATTTGTGTCGCAAAAACAATCGATCCTCGCTCCAGTTCCACTCTTATACAAAATTTTCCCATCTAATCCATCCCAGTTCATAATCTCATATCCCAAGCAATGCTCTGTGCCATGTTGGCCAACACTTTACTTCTTGATGGGTTCTCCCCAAGCATTCAACTGTTGACCACCACTTCCACCACTTCCTCCAGTGGCACCTCCAACGCCTCCAAGAACGCCACCCAAAGCACCAGTAGCTCCGCCAGCAACATTTCCAACAGTGTTGGTAGCGCCACCAGCTACATCACCAACGCCGCGAACAGTAGTGTTCAATGTGTTTCCGAGTCCTTCAGTTGTCTTGCCGAGGGCACCGCCGACTCCGCCGAGAAGGCCACCTTGTCCGTTTGCTTGGGCGCCGCCTGTGAGAGTGTTATCGAGTGCGCCGACGAGTCCGCCGAGGAGTCCCCCACCTTGAGACATGATTATTTTGGTTTGAGGGGTTGGGTTTGTTTTGATTTGGAGGAGGGACTTAGTGTTTGATTTTGATTTGAGATTTAAAAATCGTGTGTAGATTTGCAGATGATTTGTTTGTTGATGAGAAGGAGAAATTACCCGGCAGAAAGCCCCCAGATATATAGTTCTCCAGCTCAACTATTCTCGTCTAAACCCCGTGTTGGCATATGCATATTGACGCCACAAATGGTGGATCACTTCCATCATCTTCTCGATCTTGGGTCAATGGTAATTTCAGGATTTTCCTGTTTTTTCCAAAAATCAAGGCTAGGATCCATGTTGGACCCTGACGTAGATCGGATATTAAAAATGACTGGGATGTTGGACGGTCCAACCAACGGTCTTCCAGAACGCATGTCATGAGTAAACACCTGTCAGACATCAATGGTGGGGTAGTCTGATGATAGGGAGGGATTGAGATTGACGTAATTGATGGAAAGAATGGGTACGGGATCTAGATTATGCATGAGATCGTGATGAAGAGGGTCGCAAATGGGGCAAGGAAGGTCGAACCGAGTCACAGCCACAAAGATTATCATAAGGGACTTCCAAGGTTGCCTTTACCTAGGTAGCGACCTATGTGATGAATTCTTGTTGCAAGCCTTGCTTACAGCTCGTCTGGTGAACGATCGGTTGGAGCCCAAGAATAATAACGTGAGTTTCACGTGATATTTCGGACATTTTCCACAACTCCGCCAAAAAAGGTTGAATGATACCATGAAATGGAAAAAAATAACGAAGCAAATTGCGACGAGGCTCTTCTGAATGACTCGTGTGATGGAACTAGAAGATTGGGAGTCGGCCGATAATGTTTGATATCTAACAAGAATCTAATCATGGTCAAGCCATTCTTCTTCCAGTATGTGAGGGACTCGAAGACCTTATTCTCTAGAGTAACCCATATCCACTCATATTAAAACCTCCAGGAATAATCCCTTAAAATCCGCCTATTCATCTTTAAATAGCCTTGTAACAAAAATCGCTACCGTCACTCGGATATTTATCCGAAAAGAAGGTCCCACTATCATCACTCAAAACCACATAACCCGTAGTATCACCCGTGTTAAAGTCATCCATCCATGAATTGTACAACGTGCAGTTACTGGTCAAGGGCGTCCATGAGTATGATATACATGCTGTTACACCACGACAAGTAGATTGACATTTCAGAATGTCGGCGTAAGGGCCTGATCCGAAATATCGTGCGGCAAGGGCTGTGTCGGCTGTACCTTGGACATTGCAACCATTGATAGTTTTAGTGGCAATTGCGGCGGAGGAAGTGGTGGTAGTTGTAGGGATACTGGTTGTAGTGGGTACATCAGTGGTGGTGGATAAATCAGTTGTGGTGGCTGTAATGGTTGTGGTTGGTGTATCGTCTTGGGGTGCTGCAGTTCGGGCGATGATTTCCACAGCGGGATTCAGTGGAGAAGCAATCGCGAGAGATGCACTCATAAGGAGGAAGAAAGTTGAAGTTAGGCGAGCCATCTTTTCTGTTTTGCGGTCGTAGTCTTCGAGAATTTGAATCGAATGTAGTTCGAGAATATAAATATCTTTGAAAATGAGGAATTGTAGATTTATTTATGAAAAATTATGGCCTTGTACCGAAGATTTCGCGATGACCCTGGGATCTAGAATAAGCAAAATTGAATACTACCATAGATGATTACCATTTGTCAGAGAAATTGGTTCTTTTGCAGGTGCGTTAATTCAGCCTGAATAATTATGGTCTTACAAACTGCACAGAGCCTCGTATCATGCACTTTCGTTGACAGTCATTTCTTCATTCGTCTACCCTGTTTGTTTTTACCTTGCAAAGAATACGAGGAAACCACTAATAGTCAGCAGCTGTGCCGATATTCAAGCTTTTCTCATACGGCAATCAGCTGCAAGCCACTAAATATTTTCACCGCCTTGGGGATTTTATTCAGCTCGTTGTTCACGAACTTGCGTCAATAACGTTCCATGCTGAAGTGCGTTCCGAACATTAGACATAGCAAGGGCTTCTGATTTGTGCTACTTTTCGTTAGTTGAAGAATGCAATTGAAAGTATTGGTGCTTACAACTGTTTCGACAGTGCCAGCAGCCATATGCGGAGTCAGGACAACATTCTCATTTGCTAGCAGCTTGGGATGTACTTGAGGCTCATTCTCAAAAACATCCAAACCAGCGCTGTATAGTTTACCAGACTCAAGGGCTTCGACCAAAGCTTGCTCATCAATTATAGGCCCACGCGAAGTATTGATCAGAATGGCTCCGTCCTTCATTTGTGCAAATTCGTTTGAGCCGAGCGTATACTTAGTATCATCCGAGAGTGGAAGGTGTACTGAAATGACATCGCTTGTCCGGAGAAGTTCTTCAAAAGAAACGTATTTGGTGCCCGGAGGTGTCCTTTCCACGGGAAGGGGATTTCGGTTGTAATATTGAATATGCATGTCAAACGCTGCGGCTCGTTTGGCTACTACACTACCAATATTGCCCATGCCGAGTATCCCCAGAACTTTGCCTTCAGGATCATGTCCTAACCCAGCATGTCCACGCCATTGGCCATTTCGGATTGACAAAGAAGAAATCCACGATCTGCGTAAAGCACCAAGCAAGAGGTATATGGTAGCATCGGCCGTCGCGTTACCAATATTTGCTGGCGAGTTTGAAACGGCGATGCCTGCAAAAATATGTTACAAATCGTACGAAATACGTATGTACTTTGAAATCTTTTCTACCTTGGATAGTGCAGGTATCGATATCAATTTGATCGTACCCAACCTGAGGAGCACAAACGAATTTGACCGATTTCGGCAAAGATTGAATAAGATCGGTGTCAAAACGACCAGTGTACTATTTCTGTAAGCCCATGTCGGCTGAAATGTAAGCTCATGTACTTTGTAAGCATCTTCGCATCTTATTATTACTACCACTCGATCGTAATGCCCGGAATGGCAACCATTGCGGAAAGTATCTCTGTCTCCATCCTTAAGATGCTATTATCTCAGATTAGCATCGCGAACATTTTTCGTGACAAATGAACACTCACAATTAATTCCGCGATATCCGACAAATTGCTCCATTCCGAAGATGCACAATAAATTGTTCCTATGAGCAGCACTTTAGGTAAATCCATCACGACTGTCAAGATTGATTTTTAAAACGACCAGGTCTCTGTGGGATTAAAATGCAGTGAAAATTTGAGAGGGATGGTTAAAGAAGAAATGAGATGAACATCTTACTATTCTATCCAAGAATCAATATCCAGCTGAACTGTCTTGTGGTAAATAGATTGATTCTGCCGAACAGTTGGATTTGTGGATGCATCAATCGTATATGCAATGCGCGACGAGCCAAGTTGAGGGCACGCGTCTCTACCGAGGTAAGGTAGTGGAAAAATCTCACGGATCAGTGAGGCCCATCAAATCTTCGATTGGTATTCAATTACTCTTCACTACCGTCTCGTTAATTGGTGACTTGACAACCGGGTGAAGATGTAGACGACGCAAACGCCTACGACTTGCTCAGCGGGCGACATTTGCCTGCCTTGCTAATTGCAACCTTGCAAATATAGCGAGCAAATGTCCCTGTCAACCATCATCAATCCTGCCCTCCGTCGGATGGCTTTAAGGGGGAGCAGTTGAAGAATGAATCGAGAAACAGACTGAAAATCTTCATTTCGCGAATGAATATCAAATTGACTTCGAGAGAGTAAGTACTCTGTGACCGGAGTATATCCGAGGTCCGAGACAATTCGACGGTCCATGCGGATATTGAGCTGAGGAAGATGTCGATAAGATAAGATAAGATAAGATGATAAGATGAGACTAATACAGAATCTCCGTGAGCTCCAACCATTACAACCTCAAACTCAACCTTGCATCAACTTTGTTTCACAAGACTAGCGTCGTCGTTGAGAGCGTTTCAGGTATATATTTATATAGTCAAACCCCCAAAGGAGGAGGATGAATACATGCATGAAGCAGATGAGAAATTCCGTTGCATGTCTGGTTTTTGGATATTCACCGTTGAAATAGAGAATTTCATTCATTTAGTTTGGTAAATTGTTCTGTTGCACATCTGATTCTTGCGCATCGACCGTTCGAAGTACTGAGTTTACATGCATGATTGATCATTTTGAGTGATGCTGTGGTGTATACCAACATAACAATAATAAGAAAGCAAAGCTACCTACCTGATATTCACTGACGTAATGATTGGAGGGCCAATGTCACAGCCCAGAGTCCCCCTTTTCAAATGGGCTTAATGTAACTAATGATTATTTGCCATAATTATAAAATTTCATTACAAGAAAACAACGCTACATAATCGTATACTCGTAGTTCCAAACACTGAGAAACCAAAATAAATCACTTCAGTTGAGTCCCTAAAAAAGTTAGGGGATTATTGACCATGTCGCAATTAATCGACTGAACTCACTATGATTATCGACTTTCGACTCATCCATTCTACCATCATTATTCTCAACAGCCTCCTCAACCTCTTCCCCTTTCTTCTTCGAGGAAAACAACGAACCAAATGACCATACAGATCCCTTCTTATTTTCTGTTCTCACATCATCATCGGCATCAATGGTTACAGATTCACTTGGTTCTTCCTTCTCCAGGGGCCCATCAGTATCTGCCTTCTTGGCCTTATTTGAGCTCCAGAAAGAGCTAACTCCTTTGGATGCATAAGTGGGAATAGCTGCTCCAGCCTTTAAGCCTGTTGAAGCTGCGCCAGTGAGGCCAGATCCAGCAGCAGATGCGTATCCAGATACACCGGATCCTGCTCTTTGAGAAATCCGGTAAAGACTTTGAAGGTATGATTCTCGCTGCTTTGTATCGAGGTTATTTTCTTGGATATCTGGCAGTGGAATCGCTGCAGCCGCGGCCACAATATCAAGAGGCGAGTCATCGACTCCGTCCATGTCTAAATTAGGAATCGATTCGGTGTCTGTAGCCGTTGCCGTCTCAACATCTTCTTTCTGCACATCTGTAGCATCTTTCGCCGGTGCAGTATCTGGAGAAGGTTCTGGTGGTGGTGGAATATCCACGAGTTTGTTGTCGGCCTGGAACCATTCAACAACTAGATCTCTTGCCTGTTCCGACATTGCATCATAGTTATCGTTGGTCTGTGGCTTGAACATACTCATATGAGCTTGAACTTCATCCTCGACTGCCCCATTAACAGTTCGAATGAAAAGATCGTGAGACTTTTGTCCTGATGCAGGTATTGCAGAGAAAGTTCTCTCCGGAACGAAATATCCACCTGTCCAGTATCCGTTTTCTCCCAATGAAGTATAGAAATTTCGAATTCCAACTCCTTCAATCTTGGACAGTCTTTCAAGTCTTTGGACCATCTCTTTTTGTCTCATCAAAGCACCTACAAACTTCAGGTGGCTTGACAACCATGCGAAAGATTGACCGACGCTATCTCGATTGATGTATGCGAGCCCCTGTCCCAATGCATCGTAACCTTGCTCCGCTCCATCCTTGAGAGAGTTTTTGTTCAAATTCTTGACGCCTGAGATAATAGTCTCGCGATTTCTATATGCCGCCACACCACCAGCAGCAATTGCTCCTACGACACCGGATTTGACTGCAATTCCTTCCCAGATCTTCCATCCTGGACTTGCAGTCCTAGTTGTAGCTGTCAAAGAGCTTCCTGCTTGTCTGGCAGCTTGTTTCGCAGTCATGGTCCCTAAGGATCTAGCACTAATAAGGCCAGCTGATGCCGCTGACATTACATTCCAGATGTTGCTAACCTGCATCGAAGTCAGTACTCATCAAACCAGGGAGGGTTTAGCTCTTACTTTATTATATTGTGAGAAAGCACCATAGACAAACATGGAACGAGCGAGACCATTGTAAGGGGTATCAAAAGCAAGAATTCCTTGGATAAGAGGAAATATGACATGATTGGAGTCCTCATCCTCTTTATCATGATGATCATTAAGAATTGAGAATAGTGCATCAGATGCTACAAACCCTCTGAATATATTGTCAGTATAACTGCAAAAATATGATGATAGAGCTGGCTTTTACCCCATTGAATGTGCAACCAAGATAACTCCCACAGATCTGTCATTTGGTGGCCATGGAGCTTCAGTCTTCTCTTTCCGAACTTCCATAACCTTTGCTTTCAGCCTATGAAGTCAATTTGATTAGAAAATAATCCAAAAGCTATGGTTATTGCCACATACCATTCAAGAAATCGATCTGTACTGTCCAGCAGGTCACCTCTCGTCTCGTATTTTGGATATATCAGAAGTTCAACATCATCATCTGGTAGCTTATCTGCTACACTTTTCTGAAGGTTCTATCTCGAGGGTCAATACCTTCTTTCAAACTACGGATTTCATTATTGGCTTACCTGAGGGAACGTATAAAAGGTCTCTCCATTACCCTTGAACCCATGGATAAAACATAGGAGCAATGTTCGCTTCATTGTAAAGTCGTACGAGTGAATTACTAATAAAATTTCATGAAGAAAACGATCAGCCACGACAGTATGGGGCTTCAAGTATTAATATGGATATGATCATCTTGCTTCATAGATGGATGTGAGGTCGTTAGTGTGAGAAAGCCACTAGAAATCATGGAAACCGCAAACCACCAATTCAGGGTTTTAAGCTTTCACATTCACATGCATTTCTTCATGGATGATCTCATATATAAAGTTTATCAATCCTTACCGCCATGTACGTCATTTCAGCTCGACACACAAGGAATATCGCTGTCCTCATTTTGACGGACATGGGGTTTTCACAAATAGACGCGGGATTCAAGAGAAGGTATGGACAACAAAGGAAGGCGATGTTATTGGCAATGCACGTGATTTGACAATCTTGGCGAACATGAAAAAGACGAAGGCGAGATAAGTTGCAAGTCAACCAAATTGTTTAAGAGTTGTCAAAATCTCATCTCAGATTTGAAATCGGGATACTGAGATCTCAAATTCATTATTGGTAACCTTAACATGGGTCGAAGAAATCTCATAACAAATCCATCTCAATCATCTCAAATGTTGTGAACATCATTGTAAATTTTTGCTAAAATACAGGAAGAACCAAAAAAGTCCGCTAAACATTAAGGATAAAAGAAATTACAGACCGATATTCCCAACATCCAAGACCGCTATAAAATACATGTACATTTTGGAGTAATTTGTAAAGCAAACCGCTCGTAAAATTCGTCAAATCATTTATTTCTTCTTCTTGCCAGTGATGGAATCAACCACCATTCCAAGTCCAAGGCCGTTCAACAGTCCCTTAAGACCAAGACCTCCGAGAAGGTTGTCAAGCAAGCCACCAAGACCAAGTCCGTTGAGCTGTAAAAGTTGTTAGCATTTGTTTAGGAAAGGGGTAATGAGTTCACGTGATGTCTTACCAATTTACCAACTAATCCGAGAACACCACTCAAAAGCAAGCCAACAGCGGCGAGAATTTGAGCAAGTGGCTCTGAAAGAAGGTTCCATAGAGGGTTGATTTCTTTCTTGGCGTGTGGCATGCCTTCAATCTTTCTCTTGGCATTCTCGATGGTCTCACTGACAGTGCCGGTAAGCTATAAATGATGATTAGTAAATGTTCATGTCATCACCGTATCAGACATGGACAAAACATACCTCTTTGAGACAATCAGCGAGATGATACTCTGCTGGAGTGGCTTCATGAGCTGCTGTCTTAGCCTTGGCTTGAGAAGCAAGTCTTCCACCAGGGTCAAGAGCACGGATGGAGGCATTAGCCTCAGAAAGGATACGACCACCTTCTTCGATCAATGGCTTGACCTTGTTGACAAGGTCTTCTTCATCAAGCTCGTCTTTTGGTGTACGCTCGGCTTTGTCGATGTGTGAAATGATCTGTTTCAGAACTGGCTTGATCTTGCCAAGGGCATCTTCGACGCAGTAGATCATCTGACCACAGATCTTTTCATCGAGTGCAGCTTCCTCTCTCTTCTTCTTCTCTTCCTCAGTCTCCTCTGGCTCAGCTTCAGGCTCTTCTACCTCTGGTTCTGGCTCTACCTCTGGCTCTGGCTCGGGTTCATCTTCAACGATATCCTCGAGAAGAGTCACGTGTCCGAGTGAGTTACCCTTTTGATCGACAACATCTCCGTCGTCATCAATCTTCTTGCCCGCACAGAGCTTGAGATCACCAGTTGTCAATTTACCAATGATATCACCATTCTCGTCAACAACATTACCCTCTTTGTTAACTTTGCGACCAGCCATTGGGCTGACATCCTTCTGGACTTCCTCCTCTTTCCATCTCTCAGCTCTACCAAGGACGTTACCGTTCTTGTCAACAATCTCGCCATCATCATCAACAGCACGACCGAAGAGAACGTTGGCATCGCCAGAGACCAATCGACCAACGACTTCTCCAGATGAGGTAACAACTTTACCTTCCTTGTTGACAGTGCAACCGTCGAAGTCTGTGAAAGGACCTTCCTTCAAACCTTCACGGTCACCCTCTGGAACGACCTCGCACTTTCCAATGATATCTCCTCCCTCATTTCTGACAAAACCTTGCTTATCGCACATTTTACCAGCGAGTTGCTTGATATCACCTTCAACAACGCGACCGTAGATCTCTCCAGATTTGTTGACAACGTTACCGGCTTTGTTGACACGCTTTCCAGCCAAGGAAGAGTTGTCGACTTCTGGCTCTGGTTCGGCTTCAGGGGCTTCCCATCTTTCAGCCTTACCAAGAACGTTGCCGCTGGCAGACAAAATATCTCCGTCTGCGTCAACCTTCTTGCCCTTGAGTTTCTTGGCATCACCTTCAATGACCTTGCCAATAACTTCACCATTGTGAACAACATCGCCGTTGGACTCAACAGTAGCATCTGGGAAATCCTCAAATGGTGCTGGCTCTTTGAGTTCTTCCTTCTCTGCTTCTGGAATTGGCTCAGCTTGACCAATCTTCTTTCCGCTGTCACCCCAGATAGCACCGTCCTTGTCACATCGGCGACCGATCATGTTCTTCAAAGCACCTTGAATGATGCGACCAACAACACGCCCGGAATCATCAGTGACATTTCCGAGCTTGTTTACCTTCTTGTCAAAAAGGACAGAGTAATCTGGTCCCTCTGGCTCTGGCTCTGGCTCTTCTTCGGTACGCTCTGCCTTTCCAATGACGTTGCCGTTCTTGTCAAGGATGTCACCATCCTCATCGACAGTCTTGCCAATCATCTTCTTGACATCACCCTCAACAACTTGACCAATGACTTGACCCTCGTAAACGATCTTGCCAGATTTCTCAACAATTGCACCAGGGAAGTCTTCGAATGGTGCTGATCCATTCTCTTCGACTTCTGGGAGAGGTTCGGCACGGCCAATAACCTTACCGGTATCGTTGTAAATCTTTCCCTCCTTGTCGCACTTCTTGCCAGCAAGCTTCTTAGCATCACCTTCAACAAGTTGACCAACTGGGTTTCCATCTCTATCGACAATCTTTCCGGACTTGTTGACCTTGAGACCCTCGAGAATGGAGACAGGTGGAATGTCGGATTCAGCTTCCTCCTGGACGTCTTCAGCAGTATCTTTGGCCTCATCTGTAGCGCCTTCGACATCTGCCTTAGCCTCGTCAGTTGCTCCCTCGAGACCTTCCTTTCTTTCCTCAACGGCGCCTTCAACACCTTCCTTGGTGCCCTCAACGCCCTCCTTGACTTCTTCGCCCTCTGGGACCTGGGATCCGAGATCAGCCTTGGAATCAAGATCAGCCTTGGAACCAAGATCAGCTTTGGAGCCTTCGACCTTGGAGCCAAGCTTGCTTCCGAGCTGGCTAGCGCCTTCTGCGACACCAACGTTCATGATTCGCTCTCTGACGCTTTCTGGAATGGGGAGTTGATCAACTGGAAGTAAATCGACCTTTCCAATGATGGTGCCATTCTCTCCAACAAGGTTTCCCTCATCATCGACATTTACGCCTTGCTTGCCGACCAAAGATTTGAGATCAACATCATCTTGGAGTTTTCCAATGGCCTTTTTGTCGGCATCTAGAATCTCACCAGACTCTTGGATCTCGAATGGACCCTTGAGTTTGGATTGTGGGATGATTGGCTCTTCGACTGGATCGGCATCTGGTTTCGAGACAGCATCTTCGGCTTTGGATTTGGTATCGTTAACTTGTTCTTTAGCACCCTCGGCGGCATCTTTAAGATCTGGCTTCTCGCCTTCGAGACCAGATTTTGCGCTGTCAGCTGGTGACTTGGCACCATCGGCAACCTCTCCAAGAGCATCTTCGGCATCATCGATTGGGTCTGCAGATCCGATGATTTGGCCTTCTTTGTCCAAGACATCTCCTTCCTCATTGACAATGCTGTCCTTGAGTTTGGATGCGTCAATATCGGTTTCGTTGACTTTACCAATGACGTTTCCATCGTCGTCAACGACTTCACCCTTCTCATTAACCTTTCCAGCAGCTTCAGTATCTTCTGCAATTGCACCGGCCTCTTTGCCAGTATCCTCAGCAGTTTCCTTAACGTCGCCAGCTTTGGATTCGAGAGTGTCCTTGACATCTCCAGCCTTGGACTTGGTGGTTTCCTTAGCATCTCCAGCTTTAGATTCGGTGGTCTCCTTAGCATCTCCAGCCTTGGATTCGGTAGTTTCCTTGGCATCTTTGCCAGTCTCAGAAGCCTTATCCTTGACATCTTCACCTGCCTCGGTGGCCTTTTCTTGGACACCATCGGCAACACCATCGACTTCTTTCTCGTCTGAAGCATGGGAAGCCTGAGAAGCCTTGTCTGTGGCCTCTCCAACGTTGCGGGAATCTTCATTTGGATCGCGCTCAGTGAGTTCTTCCTCTTCTTCTACTGGGGCTTCCTCGTCATCTTCTTCTCTTCCTTCCTCTTCTCCCTCGGCAACACCATTCTCCTCGGTTCCTTCATCATCTTCCTCGTACTCTTCTTGCTCTCCATTAGTGAGGTGATCCTCATTGTCTGAAATGGCTGATGGAGCCATTCTCTCTGGAGAATCGGGAGGTTCTGAGCGGGTTTGTACTGGCTCCGGTGTTGATGGAGCTTTTGGAACGTTCTTCTTAACACTCTTTGGTGCAGGTGATTTTGCAGGAGTCTTGGTTGGAGTCTTTGGTGTCTTAGATGCGCTCTTGGGAGTTTTCAAAGTTTGCTTTGGGGATTCTTCGGTGTCTGTCATTATCGGTTGTTTGGGTATCTTTGTAAATTGTAGTAATAGTTGTGTTTAAAGTATTGTACTGTTTATTCAAAAGTAGTGGTCATACAGAAAAAAAGATAGGCTTCGTACAGAACCCGTGAGCTCTTCTTGTATTGGAATATCAGACTGCTAATTTCCGGTTTACTTGGAAGCAAAGCAGCTTGGATAGCTTGCCTATGATGTAAGTACGTCACAGCTTGGGAGCTATGATGCTGCACAGTATCAGCTTCCAGGCTCTATACGTCAGCCACTTAGAGCTGATAGATTGAAATGTCTGGGATGGTGAGCCACACCATGTTGAAATTCCTCAAAGCTGGAAGGCCGCATCTTTCCTGGAAATGTGCGTCATGGCATTCGCCATGGCAATGTAGTGGAGGTGATCACTTGCTCATCATTGGTCGGCTTATTTTGTACCACCCCGCGACATTGTGCTCGAAAATCCTGATGCATCGCGAATCGGTAGACTACCTTTGATCGACAATAGATTTGCTAAAAGAGTGGTTACAAGCTTTATTTTTGGTATGGCCAAAAGCAACCCTGAAAAGATCATAAATTCGTAACCATGGGTCTCTCCTGAAATCGACATGACATCAAACTAATGATGCATGCAATAGTTAAGAAGTTCAAAGCTCCCCCCCCAGTTTTACAACCAAGATATAGAACTCTTTTCAATCCCGCGAAATCTAGCCCCGAATGGCCATCCAAAACGCGTTTCCAGGAACCGAGTGCTCAATCCTTCGACCGCGTTGTCCCACTCGATAGAGTACGTACAGTACAAGGAAGGCAAGCTGCAGGAGACATCTCCTTCAAAATTCAGGCGCCACCAACATCAAGCCACAATTTTTCTTTTCTTGGTTTGATAGAGTATCTCCACTTCTCCATTGGATTCGAGCCCCTGGATCCACCCATTGTTCTGACACGAAACGGTTAATCGCTCCGTCTTTCATTAGCCACATTGCAAGGAATATTTCCTGTTATCAAAAATGTGCGTCGTGATGATAACCATACAGACGCGTGCGATATATTAACATCGCGGAGATTACATCACTAGACCAAGTTTAGTTGGGCCGTGCCGCGCAAAGCACTCGCCACATGCAAATTGGTGGGGACATCTCGGTTAGGCCTTCCCCTTCATTTCGGGTCGAAGCGACAATGTTCTTGTTTTTATAGACTCGGTAACAGGATTTATGCCTGGAAATTATTTTTTGTCATTTTGGTTGGTTACATCATTTGAATTCCTTTTGAATGGATAAATATTCAAGTGCAATTTGAAGATTCAGGATTTGAGTGGTGGGTCGTGGGGTGATTTATTGGGTGAGCGAGTTTTGCATATGCCCTCCTCTACTATGATTGCCATGTTTCTTAATCCAATTTGATTCTCGCATTGTATTAGATACACGCGTATTTCGTGCTCAATGTGCTCGTGTTCATGGTCTCGTGATTTCCCGGCATAGTTCCCCTTGCGAGAATGACCAAGATCTTACAAGAGTCTAGATGCAGCTATTCAAGACCAGATTGGAAAAAGGGGTTTTCAAATATAGACACATCAACAATAACTCGTGTTGGATGGAGAAGAACGTACATTTTTTCCGTCATCTTGTCCATTGGATGAAAATTAGATCGAGTCCAAGTTTCCAGCAAGATCACAATTATAAATGAACTCAGAAGATTTGACCAAGTCGCAAATATTACCAAATTTTTGATTAAGTGAACAGTAGAGCTACATATACATGAATGTTAAACGCTGAAATAACACGCTGGCTTTTGAATCGTAAATTCCGTGTGCTGAAACCATTAATGAAACATAAACTTCAAAAGACTAAACCAAACCAAACCATCCCAGTACCCATCCATCCATACTCATTACCATCCAGCCTGACAGATCCGTCCATTCCGCGAAATATTACCCTACCATAACCATAGCGCCGACCCTAATTACCAGGTCTCATCATAAACGCAGTAGGAATTCTGATTTGCAGACTGATCCCCTCATTTGTACTCTTGACATCCAAGAAAATTTCACTTGGACTACTTGCAGCAGCAGCATCCGCGTTTTGCCCTGATGCGCCGGCCAGAGATCCTACATCTCCAGATGTCGGTCCATCGAGTTTTGGCTTCTCAATGTTGCCGATAGATTGAACTTGTTGTGTTGCTCTGGCCTCCAATTCCTTAGATTTGAAAGAACCAATTGCCTTCCCTGAAAAGTTGGAAGTAGCTTGACCAATAACATTTCCTTGGTCGTCAAAGAGGTAGCCGTCTTTGATAACAGAGATACTCTTACCGACAATGTCATTGATGTTTGGAATGTTAACTTGAAAGTCCTTGGCACTGTCTGTTGCTCCCTCAGCTTGGTCCTTGACTCCATTCACAGCATCGGTAGCCTTATCAGTGCCAGGGATTCCTCCCAATGCACCCTTAGCTTTTTCGCTACTTTCACCCAAAGTTTTCTGGGCATCATCTGTGGACGGTAAACCACCCTTGACATCATCAGTTGAGCCCTTAACGCCATCGAGCTTCTCTCCAGCGGTGTCTTTAGCATCGCCAAGCTTCTTTTGCGCATCATCTTTGGCATTTCCAACTTTGTCTTTGACATCGCCGGCGACTCCGTTGACTTTTGACTTAGTATCATTGACTTTACCCTGGGCACCATCGGTGGCATCCGAGGATTTGTCCTTTAAGTCACTCGCAACTCCATTGACCTTGTCACTAGCATCTTTGCCGAGCTTGGATGCTTCATCGGTTTTTCCTTGTGTAGCATTTTTGACCTCACTGGTAGCCTTTTCAGCATTGTCCTTTACCTTCGATCCAGCATCTTGAGCCTTGGAAGTTGCACCATCAGCAGCACTGGTGGCTTGATCAGCGTCCGGAACTTTTTCAGTAGTCTCCTTGACTTTATCAACTCCTTCCTTGGATACTTTAGATGCTTTGTCTCCAGTATCTTTGGCTTTGTCGGTTGCGCCGGATGCAGTATCCTTAACTTGGTCAGCGCCAGGTGCAGTATCGACAGTGTCTTGAGCTTTCTTGGAGCTGTCATCCGCAAAACCATTGACTTGGCCTTGGGCTTTTTGGGCAGCCTTGGAAGCCTTGCTTAGGAATTTCTTTGGTCGTTTAGCAGCTTCCTTTGCAGGCTCAGGGACCGAGTCTTTTGCGTCTTCGATAGACTTTGTAACTTGCTTAGTAGGCTCAGACTTAGTTACTGACTTGAGAGGCTCGATGCTTTCCTTGAAGTCGTCTGGGATAGGAGGTGCTGAGGTAATAACATCTGGTTGGACATCGGGAATAGCTTCAGCCAATTCATTTTCCTCTTCCTCTTCTTCTTCATTTTCCTCATCTTGATCATCTCCTTCCTCTTCATCCTCTTCTTCCTCGCTGACATCTTGTTCCTCGTCATCTTGAACATCGGAATCGTCATCTACTTCGCCCTCATTTTCGGCTTCATCTTCATTATCTTCCCCGTCTTCCTCACCATCTGCCATTTCGATACCTTCATCATGTTCCTCCTTCTTATTTGCCTTGATTGGTTCTTCTTGTTCAGCCTCACCCTCGGATTCTTCGTTTTGACCTTGGGGTTCCGGCTTGGGTTGAGACTTTTTGGTCTTTGAAAATTTCTTCGGTCGAGGTGCTTCCTCCTTTTGTTCTACCTTCTCTGGCTCTTCCTGTTCACCTTCAGCCTCGGCTTCAGATTCCTGATCTTGCTCTTCAGGTTCTGGCTTTGGTTCAGGTTTCTTGGTTTTTGAAAACTTCTTTGGCCGAGGGGCCTCCTTCTTTGGCTCAGGCTCAACGTGGTCTTCATCTTGTTCAGGCTCGTTGTCTGCTTCCTCGTCATGATCTGGCTCGTCTTGCTCAGGTTGAGGCTCAGGCTCAGATTTCTTAGCCTTTGAAAATTTCTTTGGCTTAGATTTTGGCTTCTCAGACTGGGGCTCCTCCTTCTCAGATTGGTCGTTATCGTCTTGTTCGCCGTCTTTCTCTTGTTCCTCTGGCTCAGGAACTGGCTCGGGGTTTTCGACTGGCTTTTTGAATTTCTTGATCTTTGGCTTGCTTTGGGATTTTGGCGCTGGCGAAGGAGATGTCACTTCAGGGTGTGGTATGTTTTTGTCAGCTGGTGGTGTTGCTGGTAATTTAGGTGCGAATTTCTTGGCCTACGTTGTTTCAATGTTAGCCTTCTGACTTGAATTGAATATTCTTTCAGTCTTTCTTTTTTCCTCTTGCTTTCCTTCTCATCCCTTTGATAAGGTCCTCCTTTGGGTGGAACCAGAGGTGAAGGCCAGGAATTTTGTCCGGAAACAAAGAGGAGTATAACGGTCGGCGAAAGAAGGCATATAAGCCAGAGCAGGAAACTTACTTTGGTGGTGGAGCCCTGCTTTGCGGATTTCGTTACATCGCTGGTATCTTTTGGGACAGTTGGTGTGTTTGGAACCGATGGCTTTTCACTCGGTACTGAAGAGGTATCTGCTTTAGGAGTCGAAGGCTTCTTCTTGATAGGAGTTTTGTTAGTCTTCTTCAAGGCTTTTTTAGGAGCTTCTTGTGTGTCTGCCATTTCTGTGATTTTTGCGGTTGTGGATGATGTGAATTGTATGGAATCTGGATCGTAGCGAGAGGTGCGTTGCTTGACTAAAAGCGTCCACTGATAACGAACAATAAAGTGAGGAGACAGTTTGACGGATACCTTTCACAGGTATATAGAGGCTTCAGTGGTGTAACAGTTAATGGCACTAAAGTCGAATGCTGTGTTCATCTTAGTAATTAGATGCGCAAAGAATGATCTCACTGTCTCCAAGGTGTCCCGAAAACCAAGGCTGGGACCAACTATGACCCAAGTTCTGATTGGAATACATCATTGCGTCAACTTTACAAGAGCTTACAGGCTTCCCCAGAGTAGAACAAGGAAGTTTGGCCCCAGAGTGGATAGCTATAGCAACTTGCATCATATATATGCAACCTTGTAGGATAAGGAAGCTAATTGGACCTGATCCTTCAGCTTACACGCCACAATAGCAAAAAGGAGCGATTCTACGGGGATTGTTCGAAGCCCTGTTGTGATTTCCTAGAAATCATTGATCCCTTTTCGATTTGTCGTTGGTATAAACGTGTCCGATGGACGAGACATATTGCGCACCAAGCGAAGATACCTACCTAGGTAGGAATCATGAAGTGTTTCATTGTCTCGGAGCAAATTCGACAAAGCAATGATACATTTCAATGCATATTTGACACTTTGATGATTTGATGTTCCATCGAGATTTGACACATGATGTAGGCTTACAATTTTCTTCATGTGGAACTAGCAAGGATAGTAGTCTGCGGCAATACTTGCACTCACCAGCCACATTTCATAAATAGCAACACGTGAAAAGAGGACCTCAAGCTAGAAAAACCAACTTGTCGTCCCAGTCTTTTAGTGCAACGCCAATCGTCTAATTGTTTCACATGGACGGACAATAAAATCGGAGATATGTGCTATGAAGTTTTTCGAACGCTATTGAATAATCCGATACCATGCTGAAAGTGACAAAGTTTTTGGAATACAAGTAGTTCGGAGAGATTTCCTATGCACAAAGGACTCTTGCATTTGAGTAACATGATACAAAGCGTTAAAGATCTCATGTTCACGTTCTGAGCGTTGTGCAGTGCTACAACCTACAAACAGAGGGAATAAGTTGGCAATACGAAGAAGCAATTAGCCATGGTTACCAAAATGAAAGTAGAAAAGTTGGAAATTCGACAGGGTCCAGCGGTATCAATTTTCCAATCCGGATATCTGCCAACTAATTTGCTTCATTACCTAAGTTGCTTATGTTGGGAGGGAACACAATCTGCAAGCCACAAAATCACGAGATACTAAGAATCTAACGCCGAGGGCGGGGTGAAAAGAAGAAAGTCTCCGTAGCGATTCCTTCATTGCGTGAAATCGCCATGGTGTATAGAAGCTTCTAATTACACCCCGTATTTGAAATGAGTGGAAAAGGTGACGGCTCGTGATAGTTTCCGACTAGAGATGGACGGCAAAACAATTTCGTAAATTTGATAATAGAAAAGTTGAGATTGCTTTCAAATTTACTGCCTAGATTCTTTGAGACATGACTCAAGTAGTTTTGACAGCAGGGCTAATTTAGAGGGACTCGTGGAAACGACGTGTGCCGTTAGGCTAGTACACGCTATTGTGATTACGACACAGGCTAGAAGATCACTGAAGGTTCGGATGGATTGGTCTATGTATCTGATAACAATTTTTCAATTCCTGTCGGATAATGTTCTCGGTATTTCTGCAACATAATCTCTGCACTTCAACAATAAACGTAACAATCTAAAAGTACAATGACCGTGGAAATTCTTGGTTTTTGATATTGAAAATAAAATCACGACAATCAATATATCGACCAATACGAGCATCTCATGAAACTTCCATATCCAAGATTTTTGATCATTAAATCTAAAAGTACAATGCCATTCATTATCATCCAAATATCCCGAACCCCACCACACCCAAAGCACCGCAGCCCATATCATGAAGAGATACAGTAACACCAAAGAAATATGTGAAAAGCTCTCCATATAACGCACGGTAAATCCAATTGCCTCTAGCAAACATGCTCTCCACTCTATCCAGAACTAAGCAACACGATAGATGTTAGAATGGATAATTTTTGCGTTCAAGACCTGTTGAAAATAATCAGCTCGACCGAGCTCGTAAATTGTATTGAGAGGTACTTGTTCTCAACATTTACACTGAGTAGGATTGAAGATTACGATATATAAGGGGAAGTGGGCGAAGGGGAATGGGAATTGGGATAGAACGTACAATAATGCCAATGTCAAATCACCATGAATCTTGGCTTTCAACTCAATCTCAATTTCAAGATTGACATCTAATCTCAACTTCAAAGGTTGCTTTCCTTGCTCTTTCGCAGCACCACCACCTTGTTGTTGCTGTTGCATTTGCATCATTTGCATTTGCTGTTCGTGTTGTTGTTGCATCATTTGCATCTGTTGTTTATAATCGTTTCCGCCATCTTGTTCGAGGAATTGAGGACGATCTCTCCTCTTACGACGGGGTTTGCGTGCAGGAGCTTCCTCTTCTTCCTCCTCTTCTTCTGGCTCAGGCTCCTTGACCTTACGACGGCGATGCTTCTTCTTCTTCTTTTCCGGTTCAGGTTCAGGTTCGGGCTCGTTGTGAACGGCAGTATCCTCACTCTCTTCTACTTCCTTTTCAGGCTCTTCGTCTTGAGCTTCTTCGCCGCCTTCATTCTCGTCAGCAGTGGCTTCGGCACCAGTTTCTGCCCCTCCATCACTACCAGCTTGTTCTCCTTCATTGTCGTCTTCTACTGATGCCTGTGCCTTCTGCTCCGTACCTTCTTGTTCTTCCTCATCTTGTTCCTCTTCTCCATCCTCGTTTTGTTCCTCATCTTGAGCTTCCTCTTCTTGCTCTACTTGCTCGTTTTCTTCGTTGTCTCTGTCAGGGGTGGCATCAGGAGTTGGCGCTCCCTTTTTACCACCAATCGGTGTACTCTCCTTTGGCGGCATATTGGCTTGTGGATTTGTGATATGTGCTTAGGTGGTGCAGTGAAGGATTTAGAAGATGAGGAAACCCCGTGTACGTGAGGAAAAGGGTATATAGCTAAGAGTCAAAGATATAGACTCAAGAAATTCTTTCAAAATTAGATACGGGGAGGAATCTCACTTAGCACCGTTGTAGTTTTGTCTTATATGAAAGCCAAAAAATGTAAACTTGGAAATTCATGCCAAATTCTATGGAGCAAGCTTTCAAACAACTCAACTATGACATAACCGCTGCCTTCATTTTTATCCTTGTAACAGGTGTAAGATACAGGGGGTTATTGCGTTTTTGGACATAATGGAGGTCAAGAATCTTGGATTAGATGATTTATCGCAAGGATTTTGGTGATAATTGTGGATTTTGACAAACCAACGTATGCGTGTGGGTCATTAAAAGCTACAGGGCTGCTACTTGTACCAAAAAGGTCGAGTCCATCCGTCCACCAATTCGAATCTCCGAGTCTAGAGGCGCATATTTCTGAAAAATCAAGGCTAAAGAGTACTCGAACAAGAACAATAGTAAATAATTCAATGTTTCCTGTTGTCTCCTAAAACTTTTCAGGGTATTTTGGGTGTGAAAACTTACACACTCTCAGTAGCTGTACAGCCTTTACAAGAAGTAAGCCACCGGCCACTAATACCTTGTTCTTCAAAATGTCAAAAAAGCTACCTCCACGAGGCTAGCACAAGTAATGTTTTCGGGTTTCATGATTACATCCGCATGATATCATTTTCAATTGAAGTAGTGAGGGGCTAATTCAGCATTAGACATGGGGTTTGAAGAGATAAGTTGTGGCTGGTGAGCAACCAAATCGACATCTTCCGTCCCCACAGCACCTTTCTAACACTGAATTCAATTAATTATACACTGTTCCAGTATCCACTTCCACTTCCACAAGACCTACCATACATACAATACCACGATAATACAATTTTACGATAACGTTCAACCTTGAGGACAACAAGTCAGATGAAAATCACGAGATGGCATTGTTTTTGATGTTAGTAAATGCCATACCGACGGTGATCGGTACCGCTGAAGCATTAGATGTTCAGAAGAAGGAGGATCTGGCTCAGAAGCACAAAGCAAAGTTTTTCATGACGGCGAATTTTGCTCTGGATGGCAAGGCTGCTCATGAAAAAGAAGCACAGGTCGTTCTACGCGATAATAGGGTATGTTACCACGAGTTTCTATGTGCTAACATCAATATCATGGTGAATATTGAAGAAAGATACTGATTTCGAACGATCTGTAGATGTATCTAAACCACCCCGATGCGCCGAAAGAAGGACATCGATTTTGTGGTTACTATTTCATGTATCCAGGCACCGAAGAACATGGCTTGGTATCGACGATTCAAGATAATCCTCCGATGCTAAATTGGATATTTGTCGACTCAAATACTTTAGAGGTGCGATATGGTGGGCGAGCAGATACAGTGGGCAACTTAGCACACCCATGGGAATGGTCAGAGGATGAAGTAAATTTGACGCTGGAAGAAGATGAAGGATTTGTTGCAGTGGAAGTTGAGCCTGGAATATGGCAAATATATTTTGATAGAAATGGGGATTTCTCTGGTCTTCCCACAGGAAAGAAAATCCAGGAAGTCTGTTTGCTCCGGCGGATGATGTGTGGATGGAATAGTCAGCTAGTACCAGCCGACAGGAAAAAGGAGGGCGGTTAATAATCTCATCACTGGAAAATCACATAACACAAAATGAAAATCTCATGATACCCATCCGAAGTCTTCCCATTCACGCTGCACTGTCAAGCCTAGACCAAAATACTCACGTTACAAACACGCACGAGACTCGACAAATTCAAACTCTTGAAGGATCAATCCTGTACAACAATTCAAAAATAATCAATTCACATGCAATATGACGAAATCCTGCCTCTTTCAATCGAACATGGGGAAAAATCGCGCGAGGTAATGCCTGTAAATGCTTGTATCTGACCCACTAGGATCAATATATTCTTCCCAGCCACAGAACAACTGTTTCGCAATTTGCCAACTTTGACACTGCATGGTTGGTGAAAACTTGCCAAAGAAGGACCTGGAGAAATTAGCTACAAGCTATTACCCCGAAAAACAAGAAAACGGCTTTGGCCGGCAAGGGGGTCTGCATCAAATGGGATGATGACGTGGAATCAGCGCAAGCAGGTTCGATTCTCGAGAAATCCACTCAGTCTTTCTTTTAAAGAACACAGGTTCGAGTCAATCATATCCTCATTCTCCTCATTCAAACAAACATCTTTCCATTTTCTTCATATCCTTTTAGGATAATCCAACCCCCGTTTTTAATTTTCAACACCCTTTCATTCGGAGGTCTCTCGCAGAGCTCTACTTCGACAATGGCTAGTCAAGCCAAGCCAAAGGCTGCTGCCACCAAGACTGCCACAAAAGGAAAAAAGGCTCCTCCCAAAAAGAGACAGCCAGAGCCTGAATCCGAATCGGAAACCGATTCCGATGATTATACCTCCGACGAAGAATCAGAAGAAGAAGCACCACCCCCACGTCGACCGGCAAAGCAAAAGCAAAAGCAACAAGGTGGTGGAGGCGGAGGCGGACCACTCGGTGGTGTCAGTGATATGGTTCCTTTGAATCAAGTTGGTGACACCGTCGGAGGGGCTGCCGGCCAAGTTGGAAATACCCTTGGTAACGTTGCTGGCGGTGTCTTGGGTGGTGGTGGTGAAAAGAAGGGAGACGACAAAGAAGATACACTTAGATTACGGTTGGATTTGAATCTCGAGGTAGAGATCACGCTGAAAGCGAAGATCCATGGTGATCTTGAATTGGCACTATTGTAAGTTCACACCACCTTTATTATTTCCTCAACCCCTCCTGTTCTGACGTTAGTACAAGGGATACTGGTGGATAAACATCTCTTACATGAGTATTTGTTGCAGAAACGGTTAATAATGTCGTCCGTCCCCATTGCAGCTTGATGTAGTCGCAGCTTACTGTATGAACCGACCTTTCGTTATCTTCGAACATTTGATCTTTTCATCATCTGAAAAGTCTTCCATGAGGACGCAACTTGTTAGAAACTGCTGCTAACAAGTTCTTCGTAGGAACTAATTGGCTTTTCGATATTTTGTTGCTGGGAATAGGATCTTTGGATTCTTCGGAGTGGGACATGGGAGGTTAGGACCGGATTCTGATGTTTCGAAGGAGTTTTTGAGTGCATGGAGAATGGGAGATTGGGAGATTGGGATCGGGTTTTGACATGTTCCACACGTATTATATACCCATTATCTAAAGTGGGAAATTTAATGCCTGAATGACTTTTCCAAGCTTGCTTGAATTTATATGAAGTGACCATGTGTGATGATGTAGTTTTTAGGATTCTATGACTGTGTGACGTCGTTGGTGCTATTCCTTCGCGACTTCAGGGGGAGATCCGGAGTGAATCGACCGGAGGATTGATTACAAGAGAGATAAGATGCTCGGTGAATTCAACTGGAGCGATTCTTGCTGTAAGTAACTATTTAGAAGTAGATGACAAGATCGGAATTGCAAATTCTACCATCGCCGTTGTCAAATTGCCAGATTTTTGAGCAAACGTATGCTGCATGATTGTTCGAACAATGGAAAAGATCAAATTTGTAATTGTATCTGAAGCCAGAATTTCTCATTTTTCCTAGGCAAAGAACTCTGCCCCCAAAGGAGAACACCTATAAAGTATACTGGAAATATACAATGCTACCAAGATAGTCGCACATACAATTGGGACTCCGTACTGGAGGCTATCTCGTCCAACGTCATGGAAATTCCACGCCAAAATTCTAGCATACTCGCTAAATTCCACAAACGAGGCCACACATCTTTCAATGCTATATTTAACTTGCAAAAAAGGAGTTAAAATTAGATGTCATGTAGGTTTTCTACAGACAAAAGAGTGGAAAGTAGGAGAGTGATGATGCACGTAATCCGGGGTAATATACCATAACTTCAACTCAACATCTCATTCAGCCATACAAAGCCCCGTGTCTATATAAGTAGTTGCTGGCTGTATCTAGTAGCCGTGGCAAAGAGTCCACAAATGAAATAAAGTTCAGTATTGCAAAATGTTTCAATGCCTCACTGAGATGTTGGAATTCTACCCTCCACCCAAAAAAGTCTGAATTGTTGACCATTCTACCTACAGATAATTGTAGCCACTTATCTTACGCTTTTGCAATATGAAGTAGTCCTGATCGGAGTCTCTGATGCGTTATGAACAGGAATTTACTGGGTTTTTCCTTGAGTTGTTCGGCTTTGAACACCTAGTCAGAGAGGGCCATGTGTAGATCACCAGTCCTCTAGCGAGAAAGATATTCATGAAGACCAAATGTAATAGATTACTTTAATTTGGAAGATCGTTCGTTCACATTCTGTTTGAGCATATCGCTTCCTACAGTAATCTCTCTTCCTTGTGTGTCTTGCAGCTTTAGCAAATTTTACCTCGAATATAATTACTCGAAGGGTGTATGATAGGAGACCTATCTCTAGCTTGGCTCAGCTCATGCTACGCGATAAGGGTACTTTTGTTTGGGTTCTCGCTCCGATCCCTTGTGCAAGCGATTTACATCATTCCTGGGGAAGGGAACAGTTCTTTTTTCTAAGTCCCTCCAAGGGAGACCGATGCTCATTGCAAGGTTGTAGCTCAAAATTTGCTGTTTCTATCAGTGAAAATTCTCCTCTCTCTTTGTAGTACTGTACCAGTAGAAGGTCAAAATGTCATTAAACAATATGCACCGAGATCTTCATGCTCGAGATTCTACAAGTACCTTTCGGGGGGCATATTCCGGGATTACTATTGGCCAACGAGTTTGCTAATCGGCCCCCTAATCCTTCACTTCGGCGGCTCAATGACAGCAACACAATGTCTCAGCGAAGCATTCAAAAAATGTGAATTATAGTTATAAAGAAAGTGTCGTGTATAAATCAATGTCTTCAAAAGCCACCAAACGGTAGAGTCAAATTCAATCATGCTTCCACAAAAAGGAAAATGAACAACGAAACCAAATCATCCCGAGACAATCCCTAAGCCATATTTCAAACTCCTAGACCTAAGCAAAAGACTCCGCAGCCGTAAGAACTGCCGCCGCATCACTCCATAGATATTCCACAGCCTCTAAAACATCAGAAACAGCCGGTAACCAGAACATTACGGTTCCGATGTCTCCATCACCGAATACGTTATCGGTTCCGACACATCTTTTCTTGTTAATTACGCCAAGTATCTTTTGAAAATTGCCATCGCTGAACGCAATAGTATGTTGCAGTGGCTCAGTGTCAGTATAAAGGCTAAGAGCTCTTATATCGACTGCGATGCAATTGCACGTCGCGGTGCCGAGCCATTTGTAGTATTTGTCCTCGTTTCTAGGTAGACGTGTTAGGAGAGACTGGAAAAGAGAAGTTATATTTTTTGACTTCAACTGGAGAGACTAACGCGCAGGCACTGTCGGTGGCCAAACAAATGAAACTCAACAATTATCTCTTATACCAATTAAGAATTCTTCAGTCGATCTTTTTCAAACTTTACTTGAGCTCGTGATATATCATCCAACACATGTGATCCATCATTTAGAGAGATATAGATGCTCAGTTTGCCCAAAGTTTGGCGGATATCCAAAATGGGATCTACTGTCTTTTGGATGTACTATTCAATAAAGGTTTAGGTACCGTTGATTCATGTTGCGCTCGATATAACATGAGCGTTGATCGCATTGTAATGAGTATTCATTTCCACAGTAGATATTCTCAAATTGTTGTAGATCTATGCGGGTAGGGAAGAGAGATCGAACAACGCAAGCCCAGGGGTGACCGAAGAATTGGCACGCATCTTGCACGAATGATACACTTCAGCGAAATTGTGATCATGCACTCGCCCAAACGCCTCCGCTGGAAATAACCACATGCCAATCGCCGTCATATCATCCCGGTGTACCATCACATTTCGCTCTCGAAACCATGATTCATCAAATGCGCTCTCGCTGAGTGGCCGCATCAAGTTAACCCAGTAATTGATGGCTCTCTCCCACTCGTCCTTTTCCATCTGTTGATTGGATTCGACTAATTGGCGTACTCTGAGCTCTACCCCTGTAGATTGGGTCATATGTCCCGTAATTCCCGCCGGAGCTAACTCGGAAAACACGCAAGCAAAGACACGAAAAGGTGTGACATGTCTCACACCTAGGGATTCCTCGATTGCCTTCCAACTATGCAGGTATCGTCGCGGATCCTTAAAAAATGGCATGTTACTAATGTCCGGTTCTATAGGTCTGGGATCATTCTCGATCCACTCGAAGTTGAGATATGATATGCCCAATCTACTCAAGGGAGGCAGCATCGGTAAAGTCTCCATCCACTGGGGCATTCCTACTGGACGATCGAATATTCCTGGACCGTAAACCCGCGTTCGAGTGTACATCTTTTGAACACACCACAACGTTCGAAGTTTTGTGCCGAGGATGTCAGTGAGAGATGCTTGGGCTATGGAATGGCTCAAGGCAATCTTTCCTGCACCTCCAGCGCTCGTACTATCAATAGGCCTATTCGACCCGCAGCTTCCAACCTCTCCCGTAAAGGGCTGTTTGTCTGGAAACAGAGTATCTCCAAGTATAGCTAAGTGCTTGATGCCTTGGTCTCTTGGATCGTATGCTTTGATATCATGGAGGATAGCAGCAAGCATGTTGATATCACGGATGTCATGACCAGGGTGGAAAAACAGAACATCGTGATCAGGGTTAACTCGGATATGGCGGTTGTTTGCGAGTGGTAGACGAAGACAGAAGTAGTCTAGCGCCACCCATCTTGATTCTTTGGAGGTCGAGAAGATTGTGTTGCCCATCTGATTCGCGGCGGACTCATTGATTGCGAGTTCATAGTAGCTACCGCTTATGATATTGCCCATGGAATTGCGAGTAGTGTACATTTGAGACTGAATGTGCTGGATTTCAGTCTGATCAAGAGTTGTGAGATGGATGTGAATTGAGATGAAGCGGGGTCGTGGTTGAAGTGCGAGTAGCCAAATACGTAGACGGATTTCTTTGGGAAGAATGGAAAATTGATGAAAAGACGTGATTTCAATGGAAGGTTCATTCTGTTTCGCTGATACGAAGTGTAGATCGTTGAATAACGTAGTCATGTTTGCCCTACCAAGTGGTTGGCTTATTTTTTCAAACGTTTGTGGATGGTAAAGGTAATTGTAGGGTAGAGTCTTGCTATTTGCGCCGCAAGATACAGGAGCAAAACTGTTTAACGTATATCATTGAGAGAGTCGAGATCAAGATATCTGTCTCCTCTTCTAAGCTGTGCTGAGGTAGCTTCATTAAATGTCCAACAGTTGTTTTTGTTTCAGGATCCGTCAGCCAATCAAGACTGTTGACTCCCACAGGCACATCATGGGGTGATAAGCCCACATTCTCTGTACCCTCAGAGAGGAGTAGTAGACTGAAAGCACTGGGGCAAAAATATCTCGAGGGTAGAAGAATCATTTTGAGTAAAATTATCACATGATCTATGATACGAATCAGATCATGTGATTATCTAAGGATTTATCCGGATTTGACCAGGATTTCTGTCTCAGATAGTAGGTTAACCAATGGAAAAGATCCTGATTTCCTACGGCAGTCCTGTATATGTCAACATCACTAAACGCAATTTCTCCTTTTCTTGATGGGAAGTGTGAATTCTTTCGACTCATTTGTTCAGGAAACGGCGATTGCCTGGAGCAAAATTACCAACATTCATATCACTTACCTACATGAGCATAGACTCCATGAAGACGCTATGAAGAGCTAGGCTGTTCAGCTGTTATGGGTTTACAGATAATGCCAGAGGAAAAATCAATCCTCGAAATGACAACTCACATTTCACGGGTAGCCGCTGACTTATCCGCATAATCATCGATTCCCACGGTAAAAAGCTAGGGACATGAACAAACGCATTTAGCCCACTGCATCATCCAAGCCCAATCAAACTTGCAAACAGAACAAAGCGCGCTTTCCTTTTCCCAAACTATGTTCTCGGACCATAGCTGATCATGCTTCCACATCTCCATCGAAGTCCGATCCGGAATCAACAGCAGTCCCCCTACTCGCAACAGTTTCCTGAGTTAACTCGGTTTCTTGAGTTTCCCCATTTTCACCTGATTCCTCAATCTTGATGTCATATTCCTCATCACTCGTACCTGCCTGAAAGAGGGATATCAGTAAGCATAGTAAGAAATAGCCAGATGAAGTGTACTCACATCCTTGATCGGAGACCTGGCTTTTGCTTTTCTACCTGGGAGACTTCGTGCTGGTGTCTCTGGGGCAATCTTGTTCTCTTTCTCATCGTAGTTATCGAATTCTAATTCTTCGTCGTCGTCGTCACTGTCAACTTTCGAGCGCTTTTGCTTTTTCAAGGGGCTGCCTTTGGGAGCTTTGCTTTTCGTCGGAGATTGTCTTTTTCTTGGTGTTGCTAGTGGCGAGGAATTCCCATTGCCGTTTTGTTCTTGGTTGAAGTCGGGCAACGTCTTTTTGAATCTCTGCCATCGCATTTGTGCAGCTGACTTGGTGGGAACGCTGAGATCCTTTGCAACTCTGTCCCAATCGATGTGGCCAATATTGGCTTGCCTAAGAATGGAAACTAACAACTTCTTTTCTGCGTCGCTAGACATGACTGAATCTGAAGGTACGATGGTGTTGTGAGAATCTACATCAATGTATGTGTGGTGTGAAGGGACTGATGAACAACAAATAAGAACGGATCACTGATAATTAAGTATTTATCACCCCGCAAACTTCATACAGTCTCAAAGAAGTAAATTCTTGAGCTGAATCATTCTCCTACTTCAAATTCTCAAGGTGGATATCGTCATCAGTTGGAAACAATAAACACCCGCTTGGACACTGGTCTCCCCATCAACCTCCTCAATATTGCTTAACAATCTGAGCTATCGTTTTCCTCAGCATAAAAGTCCTAATCAGAGACATCCTCCTCCTCCTCCTCATCCTCATCCTTGACGACCTTTCTTTTCTTTGATGCAGCCTTCTTCTCTCCGTTTGTACTTTCTGCCGCATTCCCTGTCTTTTTGCCGTTTCCCGCCTTCGGTGTAACATTCATGCAGTTCTCCATTTCACCACTAACCTCGTTCTTGGCCGATTTTCCCGCAACAAGACCATGTTTTTGCTTGTATCGTATCCAACGCTTGCCTGCAGCTTTTCCTGGATGCATAGCTTTGATTCCAAGGTCCTTTGCTAGTTGCTCGTAATCTAAAATTATCTCGGCAAGCTTGATTTGTTTGAATACGGCTGCGATAAGTCTTTGGTCTTCGGCGGATTCGGTAGACATTGTGATGGGTCTTGGATTCTTTGTTGGGCACGGGACTGCTGATCAAATACATTAGTCTTGTAATGAAGAGAGGAAGTTACCAATAAGGCGTTACTGACCGAATGTGACTTTACGCTTGGATTTCGCAACTGCGGTGGTTGTTTGGGAGATGTGATATAAAGGTAGACATGCATTTATATAGATACACAAGGCAATGTCTAGATTTTGTTACAAGGGTGCTGAGATAAGGGAATAATTTCATTGCTTATTGTGTTTCTCCCTGTGCATTTGCATCAGAAGCCAAAGAAATACGTGTGGCTGCAGAATCTCAAGCCTCTTGTCCTGACAACAACTCATCCAGCATGTTCCCACCATCCCCAGTCTCCAGCCATTGCATACCAATCTCGAACTGGCCATTTTCCTGCTTAACCGCACCCAGCCCTTCCAATGGTTCCTTGTCTTTGTTTGTCTTCCTGCCTTTGCCTAATCCCGGTTTCGAAGTAGACGCATTCAAAGAATTGCCGATCGACTTATCGATTTTCTTGCGCTGAGCAGGTGGCTCATTTGGTCCCTCCGTCACAGCTGCTCGCTTCCGTCCTCCATTCTTGCCCCTCTTTTTGTTGTCAATTACCGCGGCTGCCTGTCCAATATCCACATCATCAGCAGGTATTTTGTCTCCAGCTGAATCGACAAGTGCCGCCGTTGTCCGTTCAACTTTCATATCATCTCCGGATTTATTGTTCTCGCTGCCCTTGAGCAGTTTTGCCTTGAATCGATGCCAGCGCACAGCAGCAGTTCCGGGCTTGATTCCAAGAAGTGCGCCTAGTTTATTGTTGTCGACAGATGGAAGAGGATCCCAAAGACTGAGAACGGCAATGAGAAGTTTTTCGTCGTCACTCTTCTCAGAGGCGTTAGCTTTTGGAGGCATGGTTGTACACCTTTCGTAGATTTTGTGAAGTGATGGTGATTATTTGTTGGCCCTGTGTTATGATAATGGTGAAGGTCGTTTGGAAATGTAAATGTGTGTAAAGCTGTGAACATTATATCAACAGAATGCAAGCGGTTTCACAGTCTCAATAAGTAATCGTCGAATGTAAATCTGAGCTCCAGTTGATTCTTTATGCATACATGCGACTGCCTATTTGAAAGACCCCTACTCCAGCATTCAGAGACCGAGTTCCATGTGGCTCTGAATCCCTGCAAAGATCTTAAGCCTCCCAAGCATCGTCCGGCCAGCCCCTCTCATTGTACGGCCATCCAAAAACCCCTGACTCTGTGCTATTTGTTCCTTTCTCCGAAGCAATCTGGTTTTCGGCTGGGTCGCTTCGTGGATTATCTCTCTCTCTCTCTTGCTGTTGGACTATCCTAGCATCCCCCTCCGGACGCACCTTGTACCTCCACCAACGCATGGCTGCAGCTCTAGGGTTGATTTCGAGATCTGCACCAAGCAGCGTATAATCGAGTCTAGGTAAAAGCCTTTCCTGATTTATGATGGCGGTAAGGAGTGCTATATCCGCGATTGTTGGCCCTTCTCCAGTACGGAGCCTCGCTTTAAGTCGAAACAGACGCATACCTGCAGCGCCGCCATTGATACCGAGATCTTCCCCTAGCTTATTTGTATCTATACGAGCATATTGCCATTGCTTGAAGACCGCGATAAGAAGCTGGGTATTGTCGCTGCGTGTCATAGCGCTACTTTTTGCTGTGCTGTGGATGCGGAAATGTATCTTTAGTGGATTTATGTAATAGGTTATCGTAGGGTGTGGGTTGATAGATGCTTAGGACTATCTTGCATAGATTTATTCTCACAGTCATTCAAATAGTAAAGCAAAATTCATTAGAGAGTTAACTTCAGGTGTTTCATTGATCAATTCGTCAGCTGATTATGTTGACTTCCTGAAGATTCCATGCAGTTCCCAACTGTCTCAATGATGACCCCGAAACTCTAGTAGACTTCATCCTTTAAGACCCTGCATTATGTTTAAACCAAATCAGAGTCATCAGGGACATCAAATCCAGAGCCTTCTCCTCCGTTCATGAATCTCTCCTCTTTCATCTCCTTCTCCGCCTTTCTACCAGCGCCACCAGCCTTCTTGCGAGGAGCTAGGTGCTTCTGCTTCTTAGTAGGAGAAGCGACGTCGTCCATGCCCTCAATTTCATCTTCGATGCCAGCCTCTTCCTTGTTGCGCTTTTGTGCTTTGCCAGTACTAGCGATCTTTAACTCTCCAACTGTACCATTTTTTATCATTGTTACCATACGACCCCACTAGTAAAGGAGACATCAGTAATTGACCATAGTAAGAGTGTGAAATTGAAAGGGAGAGAAAACTTACACGAATGCGAGCCGCATCGGGTGTCGGAAGACCCAGATCTTCAGCGAGCTTGTCATAGTTCAACTTGGGAACTTTGCCCTCCGAGACAATTTGACTAAATACCGCGGTATAACATTTTTCTTTATCGGTCAAGGGGGTTTGGGACTTTGGTGGCATCCTTGTAGATTTAATTGGATAGTATGGTTGAATTAGCTTGGGTTCGAAAGAAGTTTGTGTGGGCGTGCAAAATTGTTCGTTGGAGGAAATTGTTGATGACAATTGTATGAACGTGGATGTATGTTTGTGGGATTGTGCGGAAATATCGAACCGAAAGGTGATAGGAAATTTACAGGGTAAGAGACTCGCGAAGAGATCGGTTCGGATAGTACTAGACTAGAAGGAGCTAGTACCATATAGATAGATCGAGGCTCTCTCGAATGACTTTACGCATCTTTGCGTGCTTGAATGTTCACTATTGGGCGCAACCCTCGCTGTCTCTAGTTTCTCTTGATTATCATTCCTAGAGAACTTCACACTCAAATAAGACATTCTATAAAGATCTTCGACGGCTGTTCAATCATGATTCATTGACTAACTCCATGCTTGCTATCCGAAATGCATTAACCCATCATGGGATTCCTCGCAGCACACCAAGTGACTGTACGCCCATCCTCCCGTCTGTCTCCTTTCCGCATAGTCTCAGACCTCATCCTCACCAATCTCCTCCTTGACAGCTTTCTTTTGCTTGCCTTTTCCTTTTCCCGCTTTCTGGGCACCTCTGTATACGATGAGATTAGCATGCTTCACTTGAGAAATGAGAACAGACGTTAAGAACCTACTTGACTTTCTTGGTAGGAGAAGGCGCGGACTCGTCCATATACCCCTCAACTGGTACCTCGACTACTGGTCGCTTCCTTGCCGCAGCTTCATTAGGTTCCCTCGAAGCGATAAGATCCCCCATATCTCCAAAATCTCCATCTCTGAACTTCTTCATGAGATTAGACCATCTATTTTTAGAAATTACCCGGTCGCGAAGGCCAATGGCTTCTGCCAATCTCAAGTGGTCAGGTGAGGGAAGGGGTTTGTTCTCAGGGGCGAATTGTACCAGGACTGCAATGAGCATTTTGAGGTCGTCGACACTTGGACTTGCAGGCATATTGAGGTATCTTGTGCTAATTTGATTTGAGGGTTTGTTGTCGGATGTTGTTGTTGTGGAATCGGAGGAGAAGTATGGTATTAAGGGACGTGGAGTTGAAAATGAGATTGGAAATAATGAGCTAACATCTAGGATCCTACACAATTAATATACTGCATCTCAGATGTCAGAAAGTCTCACAAATAGTTCTTCAGTTGTCCATGTAGGTCTGCATGGGTCCAGATGCTTGCATTTGATACTAACTAGACTGGTCTAGTCATGCACTTCCTTTTCCAAGAAAGTCTGACCATCGATACAATTCTCCGACACCCCCACTTTCTGTAGTCTTCCATTGCTTAATACCATGCGCAGACTCAAGCCTCGTTATCCGGGTACCAGCTTCACCCAGCCGGGCTCCGACCTTATAACTTCTCCTTTCGATTCGCTTCCTGCTTTGGTGGTTCATTTTCTGGCGGCGCGTTTGCCGACATTGACTTTCGATCGTTTGGTAGGGGAGGACTCAGGCTCGTTTGCCATGTTGTCCGATTCCTCGGCTGCTCGTTTTTTGACCGGAGACTTTTCTTCGTATTGCTGGGCAGGACTATACTTCTTCTTTTTGTCTGCTTCCGGATCCCGAATCTTGAGATCTCCCTTCGCTCCCTCTTTGAGTTCGTCCGTGAGTCGTTTCCATACTCCTTGCGCAGATGCATAGCTAGGCAATCCGAGTTGTTCTGCGAGAACGGTGTAGTTGGGAACTGGAAAAAGTTCTTTGTCGTTACTTGAGAACTGCGACATTGCAGCCATAAGAATCTTGAATTTATGTTCTATTGGTTGGGGTGGCATGATGATGGAATTTCGCGTGGTGGAATTTGTGTGGTTGATGTGTGGTTCTCGAGATTGGGATGAAATTGCTTGAGAATTATACTATCGCAAAGGCATTTCACACAATTAAATACTGTCTATCACATTTTCCAAGTGCTTGTAAAAAATGAATAATTCACCCCATACCCCAGAACAATCTAGCAATATGATTTCTTTGCCTCGCATATCCGCCCCTTATGCAGAGCACAGACAATCCCCTGTCAGCCACCAACCACCAATATATGCACGACTCCTTCCAGCTTAGGCTTCAGCCCTGCACAATCTAAATCCCAGCAAGCCATTATCTCAAGCCTCATCATCGGGACCATAAGCAAAGATAGCATCCTCAAACGCTTTGTCCCTTTTATCGCTGATCTCCAACTTCACAACTGCCTTTCCCTGTCCTTTGTCTTTCCTTTTCGTCGGGCTCGGGGGTTCAGACTCGTCGTTGTCTTCGATGTTGACCTTTCGCTTTCTACCTCTCCCACTTCCATTGCCAGCTCTATTGACAGCTCTGTTTGCTTCTTTCTTCGGCGAGACGTTGGGGCTGGTAGGAGGAGGCTCGATTCCATGTCGTTGCTTCAGGCCTTTCCAGCGTATTCGAAGACTCTCAACCATGGCTCGGGTGATTTCTGCAGGTTCTAGCTCGGGGTGGAGAGATTGGGCGAGGGCTTTGAAATCGACTCTGTCGATCTGTTGGAGGACTCCAATCATAATTTGTTTGTCGTTGTCGTTCATTGTGGGTGGTATTGGGAAGTGTTGAAGTGACTTTGTGCTCTGTGGAAAAGAATTGGTTTGGTTGTGTTCTGACACTTATTGCACAGAGAAATAGACGTTAATATACTAATTGAGTTCTACTGTAAATTCTATGAATGGATTAGATATGCAAAGATTGGACATTAGAAGAAGAAGCGTGAAGGTTTGCTTTTCGAAGCCTGCAAGTATTCCATTTGTTTCCCGCGTCCCCGGCTGTTACCTAGTTGACCTGAAAAATATCTATCACATTCTCACATAGCCTACGCCTCGTCCTCATTCTGATATCCTCCATCATCTTCATCCTTGACAGCCAAATCTTTCATTCCTTCAACTTCCGCGCCAACATGCACCTCCCCATCCTCCTCTTCCTGCTCATCCTCTGCATCACTAGTCTCTTCCACAAACTTCGTAACCCTTGCTCGTCGGGACGGCAACCTGCGTGATGGTGTGACTGGCTCTTCCATTTTGACACCGAGATCCGGAGCATTTTTGTCGTAATCCATTTCCTCGTCCTCGTCTATGTCTAATTCCTCTTCCTCTTCGTCGCTCTCTTCCTTGATTCGACCGCGTGACTTCTTGGAACTTCCGTGGTTGTTCTTCTTCGGACTACCTCCTGCCTTCTTTGGTGAGACTAATCCAATTTTCTTGCCGACTCCAGCTGCCTTCTTCGGAGTGATTGTTGGTGCCCCCTTTGTAAGTTTTTGTTTGTAGCGATCCCATCTGCAGCGAGCGGCCTTGGATGTAGCCACGCCGATGTAGTTTGCAAGCTCTGTAGATAGTGTCAGGTTAGCTTTTGATGGCATGATTTTGCAATGAACGATGATTTGGGAATGATTGAGGGGGAAACTGTATACCTTCGTAATCAATGCGGCCAACTTCGATTTGGGTCAACACTCCCATGAGGAGCTTCTCTTCCATGGATGCCATCCTGAGAAATAAGATCGATTGTGTATTGAAATGCTTGTGTGCGATTTAAGAGGCTTGATTCTCTCAAGAACGGACTAAGTAGGTTGATAATGCTTTCGAAAGACAAAATCGAGATTGACGAAATTACCGAAGCTTCTCGTCTACGAAACGAAATAGATATCTGCTGATGGGCATCAAGCTCTTTATAGTGGTGTTTTGCCGTTTTTCGAACGAAGCTAGACCGAAAGAGAAGAATTTCTTTTGCTGATCCCAATAGACGAAGTAGGAATACTCCCGGGGGATACACGGGCTACTCGGTTTCACAGTTATGCACCAAAAGTTCATGAAATTGCCTTCTGGCATGAATTATGTCTGTATTCTAAGATCAAGCTTCAAAGTCCACAGCAAAGACGAATTCCAATCGAATTCCGCAAACAAAATCCATCCCGATACCAAACCACATACCCCATTCTCAAATACTGCAAGATACCCACAACACCAAACCCGGAATAGTCTCAAAGTCAAGCCAGATCGGTGGAAATTCAACTTGTATCTAAGCTTCCCAATCTTCCTCGTCACTGTATTCGTCGACCACTCCACCCCTTCTCTTCTTCTTGTCAGGAATTTTTGTGTAGTCGATGTCCTCAAATCCAGACTCAAACCCCTCATCTTGACCATGCCCATTGTAGCCTTCCCCGGTACCGTCACTCGTCTGTATAGTACTCTTTCTCTTTTTGCTACTCTTCGTCGCACTCTTCAGAAATTTTCTCGCCGGCATTTGCATCAACCTCGCCCCCTCTTTCTCTTCAGTCAAATTTCCATCCGGGTCCTCCATCTTTCTCTTGCCAATTTTCTTAGGTGACTCTAGACCGGTTCCCTCCCTTTTGATTTCAAACTTTAGTGGAGAGCCAGGCAGACTTAATCTAGTAGCTTTGGTATTCGCTTCGACTTTTACGGGGCTATTTGCTGCTTCGTCGCTCTCCTTTCTGTCCTCTTCCCCATCTTTGTTTCCAGACTTTATTCTGTGCTTCTTCTCGTCATCTCCGCCATTATCTCCACCCGCCCTGCTTGGTCTGCTAATCCCAAAACTATTCAAAAGCCGGATCCACCTATGCCTCGCAGCATTTTGACCATTAACGCCCATGTCTTGCGCCAAGCGTGCGAAGTCGATCCTGCCAATCTCGATTTGCTTGAAAAGGGCCCTCATAACGAGATTGTTGTTGTTGACATCGGCAGGAGTGGGACGTACCCCATCAGTTCTAGTAAAACATCTTTTGAATCGGTGGAAGCGATGCCGAGCAGCATTCTGACCATTGACACCCATATCTTCTGCTAGACGTTTGAAATTGATGGCACCATGTGCGCCAATATCGATTTGTTTAAAGAGAGCTGTAAGAACGAGATTGATGTTCTGGGTTTCTGCGTCGGTCGACATGATTACTGCGTGTTCGAGTTGGTTGAATGCAAAAGTCAAGGTTGAGGGTGTCACTTTGGCGGAGAGAAGATGCCGTTGACGTTTGGATGTACACGAGGATGTGATTAATTTACGAACGGCAGGTTCGAGTTGATACATCACGGTTACCTGCAGCTAGAACCAGCTCGAGTGAAACTTAAACTTTCTTTAGTTTTACGTGATCAATTGTCTGAATATTTTGATGCAAAATTTACTTTTTTGAAATAAAACCCCTCGATTGTTCTAGCAAAATTGTCTAATCAATGAGACAAAAGGAATATTGATAACGGATGTAGCTTCAATGGTCCCCGCATACAAGGATACATGCATGGATGATGACAGAATTCTATCACATTCGGAATAATGAGTTACAGATGAGTTTTCTTTGCGCCAAATGCCACTGTTTGTATTGATTACGAGAAAAACAAATGGGAAGTTGGAGGTGATGCCTATCTAGAACCTTTCCCCAAGTTCGCTATCGCTGGCATCCTAGCTTCGTCCTTCAAGCCAAACGCCCCAACCTGTATGAATTTTCCAAATCTAGTCAGAAAGCTGCCTCATCATCGTCAAAACCCTCGTCGGATTCTTCTACCTTGATTTTGGTTTCAGCAGTGACCTCATCCTTGGCACGCTTGTTGCCACGCTTGTCCTTTGTGACAGTCTTCTTCTTGACAACCTTGTCCTTAGAGACCTTGTTCTTGACAAGAGATTTGTGATTACGCTTGGGTGTGACACGGAGTGCCTTGACATCCTTTCCACCGACATCCTTGCCACCAACATGCTTTCCACCATTGTCCTTTTTGATAATCTCCTGATCCTCACCACTGGCTTCGGCTTCGGTCCCCTCTGCAATGCCTGCGCCAACAACTCCCTTTTCGGCAGCCCCTTTTCCCTTGCGCACTCTAATTGCGAGACGGGACCATCGCTTTTCAGCAGCTGTCTTTCTGATTCCTAGATCTTGAGCCACGGCCTCCACGCTACCAGCCACGCACGCGTTGATCTGCTCCTTCGGAACTTTCTCGATGACCGCCCACAATAGCTCGATTTCGGCCTGAGTGAACTTGGCTTGGTGGGGTTTTTCCGACATGATTCTGGAGGGTGAAATTTCGGGTTAAGTGCGTGTGCGATTGACTTAAAGGAGGAGGTGACGAACACGTAGACTGCAATTGATGACAATCTAAGATTCTCGATGATTCGAAGAGCCGGAAGATATTTCGATATTTGTTTTTCTTTGGAGGTGTTTTGGTGCTTGTGGAAGTATCAGAACTTCGGCTATTTTATGTGTGGTGAACTAGCGCACAGGCCTTCTTGAGATTGCAACAGCACTGGGAAATGAGAGAATACTAGATATCAGCCTTCTCTTTGAGAATTGAGGTCATGGATAGATACTCCTTGAATACTTTAGATTCAAGAAATATCAAGAGAATTGATTCCACGCATGTCTGATGGGAAGTTTATCCGGTATAATTCTGAATGACTGAAACTTGCAGCCGGTGGTAGATACTTTTGTCTAGAGCGCTGGTTCATGGGCGAGTGTTGCGTTTCACTATTTAGGCACCATTTCTTTCTCAACAAGGAAAAGTCTTTTCAGGCGCGAATTTCCATGGTGTTTATTCGAATGATCATAGAAAGCTTAAGAACCTTTCTTTGGTAGGAGATGTTTCTGCTTGTAGGTAATCATAAGGCTCACTACAAATAGAGACAAGTTGCCATCAAACGACTACTCTCCCAATCGCCACCTGTCAAGCATCTGAAGAACTGTCCGCAAGGCAATACCATATCGACAAGAAACATCAAGCTCGGATTCGACATCTTGACTCCAAACACAAACATGCCTCCCAACCCGAGAATTGACAACAACACTCTTGTTTGGAATGCTATATCCAAACAATTTGATATCGCAGATGAGTTCAGGGGAATCTGGAATAAGCTTGACCATGATCGCTTAATTGCAGATATGGGTGTTGCCAACAAGAATGCAGCCCATCATAGATTCAGGAGATGGATATCCTCGATGGCTGAACAAAGCGGCCAGTTGAGCCCGGATAATGAGGATATGGGGGAAGCTGCGAACAACGATGAACCGCCCGCGAGGGGTCGGAAGAGGGGCGTGAAGCGTTCATTGAAGAACGCGATCAAGGCGGAAGAAAATGTGCCCGTGTTGAACAAGAAAGTTGCAGGAAAGAAATTGGCTACTGGTACGAGAAAACAAATCAAAGGATAAGAACTTGGCTGACGAGGAACAGAGACAGTAATAGCAAAAGTCTCCTTAGACACCGACGAGGATGGCCAGGAAGAAATTTATTGAGATCGTGAACTAGGGGCTCAGGGACAAATGACTGAAGGCTAGCATGACCAAAGGCTAGCGAAGACTACACTGGTTGAAGGCTTAGGTCGAGGACTTGCACTACAATTATGTTATGGACTGGAAAAAGGGGCTAAAGGTGGGGGCTAAAGGTGGGGGCTAATAGTGATAAATATTTGAAAGTTTGGGGGCACATTGCGAGTGGCTGGTATTGCACTTCGGGGCCAGACTTTAGTTTGCAATTGGATCTGAAAGCTTTTCCTGTCCATCATTGAAGTTCCCCTTCATTTTCACCACTTGAATGGTTCTTGAAGAGCCATGTGCAACACCTTGCCTCCGCGCCCCTCAGATGCATGTCCTTCTCCTTGTTTTTACCTTGGTGCGAATACAATAGCTCCAAAAAGTCTTTGAGTCATTATGTATTCGTTGTGCCATAGTACAATGATGTAAGGCATGTGTGAGACAACTACAAAGCCAAAGATAGTTGCATTGAGGAGATTGATTGTTGTGTTCTGCGGTGTGTACCACTGTGATGATTATGGATACTCCTGATGTTCATCAAAGAACAGGTGGAAGATGTGAATGCTTCAATGGTTGAAGGTGTTCAGTTTTGTCAAGTAGCACTTACTGCTACTCCCAGATGGAACTCTCCAGCAGTAGGTAAGTAGTTGTTGGTTGTTTAGTCTACAGAGCTACAGAGGTCTTTTAGTTGTTTTGATGGTCGAGCACGGACCAACGGAACAACATTTAGGGTGCCCGACTTTGCACTTGGCCACAAGATCAATTTTATCTTTCTGAGGTCTTCCAACTTTCAAAATATCAACAACTACGATAATTATGGGAACAAAACAATCACAATGAAGTTAAAAACTCTGGATGAAATGCCACAAAGGAGATTTAGATAGGAAGAATGCTACATGGACCACTTTCCGATACTGTGTTTGCTTTTCTTGGCGAACGAGTAGACGGCCTCGCAATCCCATAGGTCAACTGAAACTCATAGACGGCAGCAGATGCTCACAAGCTCAAGAGATCTGCTTTCCTTTTTGAATCAGCGTATCATACTTCTTCTCAAATCCCGATCGAAATGCAGCTGCAACGAGTGGCACGGCTTCCAGGTCTTGATCAATTGCCTCACTTCTATCGATCTTCGGCTATATCTTAATTTGGGCTCTGGACTATCTACTTTCCTAGACCTATATCATATAAAGGGGGGAATTGTTCTAGAGGAGATCGAGGAGATCGACGTCTGAAGCGGGGTGTGCGGCTCATACCTGGGCAAGGGGAATGGCCAGTGCTTACATTGGGCCCGAGTTGCTGGGCTTTTGTGTACGATTGGGTTGCTACATTGACCTTCGCTCTCATTCATTTTGGAATTCTAGATGCACAAGAAAACTACTTATAGACATGTGCAATACAGTGGTTATTGAGTTACTCGTCTTCAAACACTCAAATGCCTTTGAGATGGCATTGCACATTATCTCATGCGGCATTCGCTACTATATTTCTATTTCTCGGGGGTTTTTTGATGTGTATTGCTTTCGTTCCTAAACCGATTCCAGAGGCTTCATTTAATGTTACCGTGAATACACACATACAGACAACGAGTGCTGTCTGCAACATCATGTTTTCGATTGTCTTGTATGACTTAGTACTGGGCTATTTCCATCTACAGCCCCTCCTGCTTCCTCGGTTGCTCGGTCGGGAGATGGTAAGAATAGGGAAGATTGCATGCTCGACAGATATCACATGTCGAATAGCGAAAAGATAGGATGAATAGCTGCGACCAGGAGAAGTGTATCTGGGTATTTTACACCTTCACAAAAATCCAGACGAGAGACCATGCCAGCATGATATCTATTTTTATCTCAGCATTTCTCTGCGTTCCTGAGACCCAGGAGAGATATTATCCTACGTATCCATTGGGATCCATAGATAATGCACTGTAAGGTTTCTGAGACTTGAAGATATCATCAGGTGATGTGTATCTCTGCATGAAATACGCGTTTTGTTTTGGAATAGTAGCCGAACACTAGCTAATTACAGATTACGGAAGGTACAAGTCCGTTGTACTATTTCGGCTGATTCTTCCGGTTCAATGCCTACGATCTGGTGACAATTAAATTTGAAAGATTTGGTACGGGTATGAAGAATTTCCTTGAACGCCGATTGGTGTTCATTACCCCAGATTTTGTGGAAATCGTGCATGTGCCTTGCGGATATCGTACCGCAAAGCCTGTGGAACTAGATGGATCGTCTAATCACCACGTCGTGGAGATCCACCCACTCGACTCCATCAATCAAATCAGCGGCTTGACACGAAAGAACAAACCTTATATTAAATTAATATCAATTTATGCAGTACTCTTCTTGTGGTCACAGAGAGGTTCTTCCGTGTACTCGAAAATAGTAACTATGGCTTCATGTACTCGTGATTTTCTTCACGAGCATTGCTTGATACGGAAGATTCGATGATTTTCCTTCAGTCACAACGTTTTCTTGCATTTAGTATGCACCGTAATCTTCATTTCCGGACCGACGGGATATAATTGTTCCCTTCGCATTTCTACCGCTGTCTAGGGTGGGTCGAAGTCAGTCTTTCGCCCCGTCTTGTTATTTACATAAATCATCGCTCTGCTCTATTCCTTCATCTTGGCCTGTATCATTCATTCCATTGTATTTCGATCAAAGATTTGATCAAAAGTCTTCAGAATGAAAGTATCAATTGCACTCATCACCTCTTGTGCGGTTGCTCTTGTCAGAGGCCAAGCTGCCGGATATGCAAAGTGTTAGTACTTATAATGATAAAGCTTTATACATGCTGATGATTGATAGGCGGTGGGCAGGGTTGGACAGGACCAACAACCTGCGTAACAGGATATACATGTGTATATTCAAATGAATTCTACTCTCAATGCATGCCAGGATCAGGTTAGATATCTCCCGGAGACAATCGTTGGCGTTCACTAATGTGGTACGCAGCATCCACAACTCTCACTACAAGCACCAAACCCGCCACTACATCAACTACATCAACTACCAAGCCAGGCACCACCTCAAGCACAAGCACTACAGCTGCACCAGCGAGCACCGCTACATCCATAACTGGTTATGCTAAAACTGCAGGAACTGTTTTCCAGATCAATGGGAAGAAAACATACTTTGCAGGAACAAATTGTTATTGGTGCGGTTTCTTGACCAACAATGCAGATGTTGACTTGGTTATGTCTCATCTTGCTTCTGTAAGTATAATAATGCCTTATCATATAGCAACTACTAATCCGTCATAGTCTGGTCTTAAAGTGCTTCGCGTCTGGGGTTTCAATGACGTCACAACAGCACAAGGTTCTGGTAGCGTTTGGTATCAATCGTTCATAGCAGGACAGTCACCTGTGATTAACACCGGTGCCAATGGCCTTCAACGTCTCGACTATGTCGTGCAATCGGCTCAGGCTCATGGAATCAGTCTCATCATCAATTTCGTTAACAACTGGAATGATTACGGCGGAATGCAAGCATATGCTACATACTACGGTATCTCATTGACAGATTGGTACACAAACGCAGCAGCTCAAGCCCAATATAAAGCATATATTGCTGCAGTAGTAGCCCGCTACAAGACAAATACCGCAGTTTTCGCTTGGGAACTTGCCAACGAGCCTAGATGTACTGGATGTGCTACTTCAGTCATCACAAATTGGGCTACCAGCATCTCTCAATATATCAAATCTCTCGACCCCAACCACATGGTAACAGTTGGGGACGAAGGATTTGGTCTCACCGTTGCAAACGATACTTCCTACCCATTCACTGCCAGCCCTGGTACATGGTTCACAGATCTCCTTGCTATTCCCACAATCGATTTCGCTACCATTCATCTTTACCCTGGTTCATGGGGAGAGGTTGATTCCTGGGGATCTTCTTGGATCTCAAGTCATGCTAATGTAACTGCTGCTGCTGGTAAACCATTAGTGTTGGAAGAATATGGCTCACCTACGCATCTCAATGAATTGCCTTGGCAAGGAACCGTCCTCGACACCGCAACTGCTGGAAGTATGTACTGGCAATACGGCGACACTCTTTCAACAGGCAAGACTTCAGATGATGGAAACACGATTTATTATGGAACAAGCGAATATACCACGTTGGTGACCAACCACGCCGCTGCATTGAACGCAAAAGCGGTTCCATAAAGTGGGAATGGGGTCCTGAGAGAGATTCAAGGAGAAGAAAAACAAAGGGGAGTAAGGTGGGACTGTACATAGCTTTCTTAGCTGTAATAAAAATTACACACTGTCGTTACTCACCACATCGTCAAATCACCCCGCTACGCGCCACAAGTTCCTATCTAATGATGTCTACATGAACCTTGGAGAAGAACTCAGAAAATCAATAAAACAACGTTCTTATTGTGCTTTTCTTTTGAGATTTGGCATCGTCAAATAAAATGGACGCGGACTTATAATTTTACAAAGTAAATGCCAACCTCGTTGTAATTCTTGGACACTCCTAAGGTATTTTAATATCGGCATACGCGTTTTGATGACTTATAAACACGTGCTTCTATACACCATCCGCCTTCTTCTTCCCGTGTCTAACCATCATACACTCCACGAAGTCACTCTTTCCATCTACTGGAACCACCAATCTCGCCTTCTCCTCAAACCCAAAATGCTCATAAACCTCCTTGCCAACTGGACTAGCCTCCAGATAACTCTCAACTCCGTCCTCGTCCGCCCTCTCTATTCCCCATCTCATGAGTTTTCCCGCAGCTCCATTGCCCTGATATTCTGGCTTCGTAGCTATTATCTCCAAATACCAATGTTTTCTCTCTCCCATAATCTCTCTACGTCTTTCTATCAATGTCCCGAAAAAGTGATTCGCAACTTCTACACCACAACCTTGAGGCCATTCTGGTAGATCGTTAACTGTAGCCACGGGAGCAGATGTGTCGTTCCACTTTGCGTAAGAGATGATCTCTGAAGTAGAAGAGGAAGAATCTTGAATGCAGAGGAAATGTGATGAGGGATCTTGGATTTCGGAGAGGATGGAGTTGTACCACCAGGTCCATGATACGGGAGAGCGAGGGAAACAGAGGAGAGATATTTCATCGGTGCTAAATGCTGAGAAGTAGATGTTTGTTAGGGCTTCTGCGTCAGCAGTGGTTGCGGGACGAAGTGTGAGATTCATGGTGGAATTGAGTTTGGGGGCCAGAGATGCGGGGTAGACTTTGGACTCAGGTTATAGTATTGTGCTGTCCCAAAGAAATGATAGAAATTGTGATTTTTTGGATTAATTGAGGACCATGAAGAATACCTATTGTTTTAAGTGAAAGCTCACAGTATGCCAAATAGAGGAATTGTTTCGCCGTCGACCTCATCGCCATCGTCGGCGTGAGTCAGCATCTATTCTGCATCATGATTTGTCATCGCTAGGTTAATTTTAGTCCGAACTCAGTGAACTTTTACCTTTTGTAACTTCACAAACATCTACATCTACAACTATCTCTAACAACGACAGCGACTTTGAATAATGTGTAGCTAAAGTTGTGATATAAAATTGAAACTGCAAGGTTGCAGTTCCACATCGCCAGACAGTGGGAGTGCGGGGCCCCACACACTCAGCTGACCTTCTGGCTCCTCTTATTCCTTATTTACCGGCAACTTATCCGAACTTATATCGGGATTTCGCCTCAACATCCGGGCCATCAACAAGCATAAATTAGACTTTTGATATATTAATCCGTTGGAGGAAAAATATACACCAAAGCTTGGGGCCACGGTCACTTTCTTCAATTTCCGTTATCCACTCTTGACCACTTTAATTTCTCGACGTTTCATCCAAGTGAATGATTCCTTTGAGCTTCTAATCTGTTTTCCTGTCGTTTGCAATATTTTGAAGAAGTCAACGTCAAGATGAAAGTTCCTTTTGCGCTTGCAGCTTTGTATCCTCTTTTTCTTTCAGCGTCTGCGAAAACGATACTTGATGTTGAACCAATATATATCGGCCATGTATTCTACCCGCCTTCCATGCATTTCTTGGCATGGACACCATCCCCTCCATCCGTCTCCAAAGAAGTAGCAGAATCACCAAAATCAACAACACCAGAATGGTGTCGAACAGCAATTGACGTATCAGACGCCGCCAACTTCTCAATTTCGCATCCTCAATTCACACGAGGCAATCTAACCAATTTGCGGTTCCACAACTACTTCTCGGAAGATGCATATATTGAGAGAAATGGGGAGCGATGGGGAGAATGTTATATTACACCTGAGAGTAGAGATATTGGGGGATGTACCACTGGAGATCGATGGTTTGGATGGGGAAAACGGACGTGGAGTTGTTGGCCTGTGATTGAGGATGTACCACATCATCAGATTATGGGAGAAGCAGAGGTGGAAATTGGGACAATGACGAGTTTGAGTGTTGGTAGTGGGTATACTGGAGCGATGGAACGACCTATATTGGCCCAAGAAACTGGAAGACCGATGGGTAGTGAAGTTAAGGCAGCATTTACGGCGGTGATGACGGGGTCCAATTATTGAATGAAAGGTTTTTGTTATCATGATCATTATTGAACAATTTTGCTGGGCTCCGCTTTATTTGTTCGTGAGCATTATCGATGAAGCAACAGCTGAAGTGTAACTATATGCTAATCATCCGCAAAATCAAGACTGCTCCCTTCGCCAGACTATTCACCTCGCTCAATATGTCTCGGATAAAATTTATCATAATCAGGACTGAGTCCACGTGGGATGACATGGTCCGCAAGTAGTGTCTTGTCGAAACATTCCTTTATTTCTCTAGTGCTTCTACCGTTTGTAGCTCTCCAAATTCAAGTATTTAAGACCCAATTGCGCTTCTTCCTTTGTTTTTATTACATCTTCAAAAAAGCTAATTTCCTTGCCGTGGCAACTGATGGGCAACTACCTTTTCTCACCTGATTCAATGGATGGTTTAAGAGGTGTGTAACCAATATACCCACACTAGTATGAACAGCACTTATGGGCCTCAAAATATTGTTATGGACTATGTCATGTTGTCGTTCAGCGTCTATTTCGAACACCATAGTTGCTGAAAGCATGAGTAGTTTGACAAGAACGGCAACAGAGAAAGATGCAACAACACCAAAAAAAAAAACACTATGGCAGTAAAAATAGACCTATTGTGTTTCCACGATAGTTCAACTAGCAGTCTTGCGCTTTAATCTAATCTGTAACGGAGAGTTGATGAAGTCTTTTCGCCTCGATAAACCAGCCCTTTCTTGGAATTAGTTTCATCACTGCACGGCAATACCTTCTTACAAAAGCCAAAGTTCAATTATATATATCTCTAGTGAGACTCCGGTCTGCCTTGATTTAGTAAATTTGATATGAATTCGAGTGAATTCTCTCATGTTTGGACCCATAATATATACCAACTGCCACGAATACTAGTTCGCCCACTATTCTATTCCTCAGATGCTGGAGGAACGCCTATAAAAGCTATCAAAGAGACTCTTTGTATGGAACAAGCAACATTAATCCAGCGAACGCAGATTGACTAGGAGTCAGTGGTGAAGTTGTAGATTGTTATATTTTAAAGCACTCCTACTCAACATGGTGTCTCAAACACTGAGAAATATCATTGCCCCCAGCGCGGAGAGGAATGTTTGATCGATTATTTTCATCTCGTAAAACGGGAATCTAGTGGCAATAGAGAGTCATAAGTGACAACAATGAGTGATTATCATACTATCATACAATGCCCAAGTCACTCCAAAATAATTGTAGCCATTAGCCAGAAACTAGACCTCTTAAGCACATTCATTCTCTCTTTTCTGGACTCAAAGCAACAAGTGCGTATTTGTAATGTTGTTAGCTAGTCTCTCTGCGGTCTCTATCACAGTGGCAATGTTGGAGAGTTATATACAGATATGAGGACAAATTAACGGACTTGTTGGCAGGAATTCACTCTTAGCCTTCGGTGGAAAGTCAAAAGTAGTACTTCCGCTTGATTTGTCGCAATTCTGTTTCTTCCAAGGACACTAATTTTGCATCAACCTGTTGTCCTTGATTTACCCTATCTCCTATCTTGATGCGTATTTCCGTCATTTCCAAAGGATATAAAAGAGACATTCTTCTCTTTTCTTAATGGCTATACAATGGACGAAAAAAGTTCACCAAGAAAATGGGGTTTTCGGATTTTCCGTGCTGTAAAAACGTCGAGGTCGGAGTTTCGGAAGGCACTTCGTTTTTACTGGTTTCCTATTACTTGCTTCAGAGGAATAAGTATAGAGAGGGGTAGCTGATATGAAAAGCGTGACAGTGCATGAAATCGACAATAGTAGTTACATTTCGGCGATGAAAATGCCATAGGATACGAATATTGAACAACAATCAAAAGAAAACGATGATCTTTCAGTAGCTTGAGTAAAGTACGGTACTAAACAACACCTGGAACAGAATATTAAATCTCCGCGCTTTGCATTCATTCTAAAACCTTCTCAAAATGGTCACCCTGCTTCGAAATGCAAGTTGCTACGAGAACAAAGGGATATGGAAATTGACCGTCTGGAGACATTTATATAGCGAAGGGCAGATCCTTTTATGGGTATCAGTATTGGTATTTGCAGAGAGTGGCAGTATTCACTCAAAACTATATGACTTGTGAAGTGTCTTCAGGAGTTGCACCCATGTTCATAAACTGTATAATAATTTTCAGATTATCCATCACCTTCCGTCTTCTACCACAAGGTCGAGTGCTCCTTCCACAACCATAATATTCATACCCACTCCCAGATCAAAGTTATCCACATCCACTCATCCCATTTACGTAACCAATATGAACGTCCATCAGACAAATTCGATAGGAGATATAGTTCAGTGGTAGAATACACGCCTCTCAGTGTGATTCCGAAGATTGAAAAGATTTATGAAAATGAGTCGTACCTTGACCCTGAGGCAGTTGGAAGATTCTACCGTGAGTGTGTGAGAGGGAAGTTCGATTCTTTCTGTCTCCATCTTTTGGCGCGGAATGCGATTTTGTGAAATTTTTATCTGTTCTTGCCAAATGTTGTTGTTCGGTAGCCCTTGCATTTTGTTTGGTCTACCCGCTTCAAGGTGAGTCAAAACGGATAACAACTAATTGAATAATTTATCCTGCATAGCATCGTGGGTACCTGGAGACAGATCATTCTGGCACATTGTCCTTCAGAGTTTGATTCGAATTATTTCTTCCTCTGTGAGCCATATCCACGAGCCCGAAATCTTTTCGCACAACCTGTATTTGTGGATCAGACCCTTTTATAAGAATGACAGTGATCTCCTTAGACATTTCCTCCATCGCGTCGGCGGTAGGTTTGCACCAAAACTCTGTGTTTGATCCTCTCATGATCAATGCCAACGGTGAGGATTTCCATACTGGTACTTGCTGTCTATCCATAACGGTAATCACAGCCACGAGACAGACCAGTGAAAGTACTGCCAAGGTTGCTGGAAATGCTATCCACGACCATTGAACGCGCAAACATGTTGCATAGTGTAGGACTTTCCCAACAGCGGGATCTGAAAAAGTACTGTTCCCATGTGTTTGTATCCAAGCCGTGATTATGTCTGAAATGTTTGAAAATGTTTCCTGTACATGTTCAAATTCAATGTAGCCATTATTATACAAGTCCAACATCATTCGAGGACCGACCAATCCATCAAATGAAGTTGTCCTATTATTTTCTCCATGAATTCCAAAATTTAGTCTCGAGCTTGATGCATCGCCCTGGAAGTTGTCGTGCATGAAATCATATAATAATGAATTTCCGCCCAACATATTTGCCATATATAAGCAATGGTGTGAAAAAAGGGATGATACTATGTCATCTTCAACTTGAGACGGGATGAAAGACCTGTTGAAAGCAAGCCATCGTGAAGAACTGTCAAATTTATAGCCTTGTTCTGACAATCCGTCCCTTTCACCTTCCGATATACAGTGTGTATCAATCATTCCGTTCCAATTCCATCCTTCACCGGTTTCATTATTGCCTCCTGAACTAAAGCCCCAGGAGTCAGTTGGACTGCTGGAGATCGAGTGTTCAGTAAGTCGAGTTCCGTTAATGCTCGCCTTGTAATTGCGGATACATGGCTGTAGCGAACATACTGCTGCACCATATCCTTGGAGTCGCCAAGGATTTGATGCCACTGTCATATTACCATCTATCCAAGGCCTCGATGACTCTGGATCTATTCTTTTAGTAGGATCTACAGTCCTCGGAACTATGATGTAGACTATCTCACCGGGGCGATTTAGTATACTGGAAATCATCGATCTTGCCAAGGGTTGGTCGGGGTCATCACTTTCATTGCTGGTTACATCGCTAATCGTCATGGTAATCCAAGAATCTCCTATGAGAATTTGGTTGTTGTGATAGAGTCTAAAACTCCGTCACAATATTCTGTTTCGGAAGTAACATTAGTTTTGGCATTTCCATCATAACAGGTAGTCTCGAAGATGAGTTTATCCGATATCTCTTCACAGCTGCTGCAGTATGCCAGTGTTCCATATGTGTCTGAAAATGTGCAGTTTCCTGTTGTACATTGCCAGGTCATCCAGTCTTCTGGGGCGTATATTGCAGATTTAATTGGTAATCCGGAAGTAGGGTCCGTCATTTTGCTGTGTATCTTGTCAAACTGAAAGGTTCTGGGCAAAGTCGCCTCAATATTTGGTGTTGCTACCTCGCAATCGTATGGCAAAACCAGTTGCTGAATCAAAGGATCAATAGCGACCGCAGCTATCAATATCATGGCACCAAGTCCAGTCAGTGGATTCCGAATATGCCCAGAGAACAATAACTGGATGGAGCCCCATGGTCCACGAGTAGCTCTATCATAACAAACGATGTCGTAAAGTGGACGACGGGAAGAAAACCAAAACCACTGAAGTTGTCCAATGCACGAAGCGACAATAAAAGTCAGACACGTTTTGAACACAAGACCATAGATAGATGGAAGTGTGTTGATTGATATTTGGAACGGCCACTCTGGTAAAGGCTTTCCGGCATTTGGGTATAGTGTCGCAACAATGATGCATGGACAAGCAATAACGATAACGCTTGCAAAGAATTCCCACTTCCAGTCAACATAATACTCCATCAAACACTGGCGAACATCATGGATTTTTGCTTGGGATCGCGATGAGATCGATTTGATAGCTATATCCGATGTACGACTACTGGAATCTAGAAGAGAAGATGCATCGCTGAATGAGGAAGGAAGTTGCGGTATCGATTCAAACTCGTGACCTATCGGTTTGCTCTGAGGCCGAGATTGACGTCTTAAGCTTGGTGGAGTGATATCGATTTCGCCGAAATCCAGGCTAGGGAGGCTCGGATGAGTTGCCACCGTATTCTCGGTGCTCTGATCGGACATTTCGAAAAAAGTTTCAAAGTTTGAAAGGAAAGCAAAGATTTCCACAATATTGATCCTAGAGGTTGAGAATCAATTGATGAATTTGAATAGATTGTGAGGCTTAAAGTAAACAGTGACTAAATCTGAATTCAGGCTTGGTAGGGCCAGTCCAGTCTTTTGAGAGTCTGTAGGTAAGATCATAGCGGCATTTTAAACATATTCTCGCAATCAAAGAAGAACGAAGTAAAATATGTTTGTCCGAGTTATGAGGAAATGTTTCTCTTGCAGATAAAATCCCCCACGAAATGCAGGAGAGGGGCATAGAAATTGTATATACTTTGCCGCATAAAATTTCCCAACGACTTTGTTGCCAATGCATCGAAGTGTGCCCATTCCAAGAAAAGGGGCATAGAGCTGCACCTGTGGATGGACGATTGGAGCTCGTGTAAGCAGTGAGAAATTTACTCTTAAGTTGTATTACCAGACATGCACTTCATTAATAAGATATCTAAAGATCACCAATTTTACGAAACACAGCCTTGTGGATAAAATTATCCCGGTACAAGTTGATTCGCATTGTCACGTTTTGCAAGTACTCGTGATGAGATAGCTTGTTAGGCTCTAGATTATATCCAAACCGCTAGAAATTCATCATCTAATTCAAAACATCTTCATATCACTCTCTTATCTTTTTCTCTATTCCATTGTTTCAGATGATAAAATTGGTTCTCCCATTCCATCATTCTTTCTTTTCGGATTCTCTCATCTATCTATTTGAGGTGTTCAGTTTGTATTTTTCTTTCGGTTTCAACACACTGTGAACCAAGTTGGAGAATACGAATATGAATAATTCAAAGATCTTATTGTAATAATCAGTTTTTTCGATGACACTTTCCTCCTACGGCAAGCTTCCAGTTCTCTCTTCTGGTGTTTTAATATTTACATTGTCAGTCTGAGAGCGACCCAATCAATTACATTCCAGTTAAAACTATTTATTTTAGAAGAAATGTATGTCGGCAGTTATATTAAGGCTCAGAATCATATCATATTTTTTAGTTTCAATTGGATCTCAAACTTCTAGGCTTTCGAGCTATGAGCTATATTGATACGTACAATCTTATACAGATGATTTGATTAAGAAGTTTTAAAAGCTTAGTTTCATCTTGTATTGTTTATAAGGATGAGTTTTTGAATAGAAATGCAGCCAAAAAGAGCTGACAAAGATATTGGAACTAACTAATGGGGTTGAAATATATTAAGTGAGATTTTTTGTAGATGTATCTTCTTCCTGGGCTATTTCTCAATGAAAGAAACTTTATAGAGAATATCAAACTCTCAAGTGTCTAGCTTTTCTACGGATCCACAACAGCTCACTCGAATTGACTCATTGAGAATTTTGTGAGAGGTATTTATCTAATGGGTGAATACACAATTTGTTATTGAATCATGGTTCCAAGCTCAACTTGTCATTGAGAAGTCTAACCTGCAGATTCACTCACTGTATGGAAAACTCAGCAGCAAGACTTCGATCCATCCTACACCCAATCCTATCACATTATCATGTAAACAGTACAACTGTCAATTCCAAGAATTCACAACACTATGAAGACTTATTATCCTTAAACTTCAAGGATCCAAGAATGAGTAAACCTTGAATTCGTACAGGGCTGGGTATCATCTAAAGCAAGAGGGTGGCATAAGTCAGCGCCAGATACAGAAATGCCAAGAAAATTTGATTCACAAGGCATGAGATTGAAGATCTGAATAACAGCATCTATTATTGACTTTTCAATGAAGAGGTAGAACACAACTGAAAATTTAGCTCATCTGATCAACCCCCAAAAAGCTATACAAAATATCAGGAAATGTAAATCTAATTACAGAAAGAGATTCAAATATAATATTGGCATTCAAGGACTGAGTTAAAAGCGCTTTCTGGTAGAAAGAAGAACGTTGTTCGCCTGAGTTCTTAAGTACGTCCCAATTCTCTATAAAGCGGGCCTCCTTAATTTAAGCGAAAGAATCTAAGTATGATCTTGTTTCCTTCCCCAGAAGTACAGTGCTGAGCTGAGACTCCCACTGGTAGTGCGGATCTGTAATGATTTTAATTGAATTTTCCGAAAATCCCTACTAGCCGCTTAATAAGGTCAATCTACCATTTTACTGTCAAAACTCAACCAAGAAGATTCAAAAATATTCCGCAATATCCTGCCCCACTCTTCACTTCAGCCTCCGCCCCCCCAGTCTTCCAACTTCAGTGTATATAAAGACTGAATAATCTTAATCACCCAACTATCAAGATAAAAGCATGAAGAAGCTTGCCACCATACTATTGGGGTATACTTGAAGACTTTTAATCAGCACACATTGATATGAAGTACAGATTTTTTATTCTCAAGTCAGGAGGGTTTAGGCTCGAACATTCATGGTCGGAATGAAGGTTGTGACTTCAAACTATGATCGTGATTATTAGGATTCTTCGACAGTGCTCATATTCGATGATGAGAAAACATATTTACATGCAAAAATAAAGATTCACGGCGATGAAAGAAAATCTCTGATCAAGAGTTGGTTAAGAACTTCACGTTCGTCTTGCCCAATTCAAACGCATCTTTAATCCACTCGCCATATTCCCCCATGTCGTCCTACCTTCTGCGCTCAGTCTTTTACTCTAGAGTAGCAGAATTGCTTTAATCCTCGACAATACTATACACCTGGTCTTAAGGATTTCGGGAAAGGGTTGTGTATTCGGTGAGTGAATCAATAATAGTCTACTCGATGTGCGGATTGCAAGCTTTGTATCACCTGATTCAAAAGAAAGTTGCCGAAACTGTGGATGTATTCACCACCCGGCAAGAATTTAGAAATTGAGAGAGAGCAGATGAAAGATTTCGTTTCTGTCTTCTATATATACCACAAACAAATTGAAGTAGGAGACGAATAAACCAAAGACTTCTCACTGCATCCAATAGGAATCAGCTTACCGAAGCTATAAAATAATAATTCAATCTCTACCGAACATGCAGCAATAGGACAGGTCCTATCTATCACTTCCAGAATGCCGAGTCCCTTCATCCCTCACAGAAAATTCTCGTTAAAATAAGCGAGATGTTTGAATAAAGGGCAAAGATTCGTTTTTTTTGACAGTCATTATTAATGAATGACAGTAACTGAGAGCGTGATTTATGACAAGTTCTTGCTACCATTGAAAGATGTAACACAGTTGACGACGACGGCAAAGAAGAAAAACTTTTAACAAGCCTCCAAATGTTCTGAGCAAAACCTCCGCAATGCGAGTGCACCCCCACAACTTGACGACGGGTGACAGAAATTCCAAAGCCGCATGACCACTATACCAGCATTTGTACTATTCTTTAATTGAAGCTTTAAACACCAAAGAAACTCAAGTATATATGCGTCGCGATTTCCCCAAACTCTTTCCCCCGTCCCCACTTTTGAAATCCGAATTTTTTCACTGAAGTTGATCATTCCACTCTAAACCAATTTTATTCTCCACAAAAATACAGCCGAAGTGAAATCGAGCCTAAATCATCTAATCTGAGCAAAGCCCGTCTCGGGATATGTATCCGTGTGAAATTTCACTCTCCATCCTCTGGGTCCCTGAACTTATTCTCCTGACTAGATATATCCGAACCAAAACTTAACTTCATTGTATGTCTGTCTATCAGCAGTTCTCGAGTAACTGAAATCTCTACAACATAACAGCCAAGTTAGAGTGTGAAAAGAAAGAAACAATCCACCAACAACGGAGGCGCCGCTAGCATCTCATTACAACATGTATAGGAATGGAGGATCATACATGGAGAAACACCTAGCACCTTACCCAGATTGACATTTCCCATTTTCGAATATCTCCCTTACGTTCTTCAAAACCTCCAATCACAATCTCATCTCCACTAATCTAACTCCATCACATGCCGCCCAACATTCCACTCGAGCCCCCCCCCCCAGATTCACTCGGACTAACCAATCCATCCATCCCACTACAGCCCTCCTAATTTTCCCCCTCCGTGCTCCTATATAAAGTCCCAACTCCCCAACTCCCCAACCCCCAAGATAAACATACCAACAAGAAACGCAATCGTATTGAAGGTGGTAACGTCAAAAGATATTTTGCCTGCTGTCTCAAATCACAATACGATACGATACCCTCGATACGATACCCCAGAAAGAACTACCTACCTACCGATCCTCAATTTCATTTCACGAAATATTCACCAACCAACCAATTCTATCCAATCTAAATTTCAACAATGAAGAATTTCCACGAACGACAGGAAAAGTTTCGAAACAGATATCCACAGCAAATACAATACGGTAACGATGAAATTACCTAGTAATCATCAATAAAAAACACCATCCACAAAAAAACACCATCCCTAACCCTAAAATGCTCTCCAAATCTCCATCAATCCCCTCCATCAATCCCCCTCCCCCATCAATCCCCTCCATCAATCCCCCTCCCCCACGAAATCAAACCCAAACTCCCCTCCACCCCAAACTCCCACCCAAAAAGTACCTAAGCAAACCCAAAACCCACAACCCAGCAGCGCTGTATTCCCTATTCGTCATATCCCATCCTGGTGATCCACATTGTACAATAATATCAATTATCAATCTACCCCTTCTGCGAACGATATTTATATTTATATATATATACCCTCCTCTCCCCTCCTCTCCCCGTTCCTTTCCCCATATATCCCAAAGAACCTTGGAATACATTGAATTACGCATTTACTCGTCAAATCTTTATTTCTTCTTTAATGTCCCGCTCTTCGCCGCCCATTAACCGCCCATCAATCGCAAAATTCGGTTAGAAATCCGCGGATACAATACACATATACACACATATACACCAACCAAGTATCCCCCCCTCCCATCCCCACAAACACCTCACCAAAAAACCAAGACCTTGAAAATAAATCATATACCTCAATCGCAAAATTCTCTTCAGAAGTTTTAAAATTCCTTCTTCATGTACTCTAGTAATTACCAAGAAAAAAAGATAATCGTATATTTATTTCATTAAATACCTACTTCTAGATACCTACCTAGCCTTTGCCATTCCCCTTTGCTAAGCCAGTTAATCTTCATTACCCAAAAACTTTCTTGGATCCAAACTGTGAATGTCTGCACTCTTTGCTTCCCCTTCAAATACAAATTCACTCATCAATTTTCCAGTTGCACAACTATTTTGAATACCCCAACATGTATGTCCTGCTGCGAGAAAAAGTCCTCGGATACCCGTATGTCCAATGAGAGGACCGCCACCACTACTAGCTAATGGTAGATAACATGCTTGTCTGGCTAGGACTTTTCCTTTTCGCAAAGGATCGGATATAGATCCTACGTAATCTAGAATATCATCACAACTAGATTCATCGCATACGACTAAATTTGAAGATTTAGGGAGAGGAATTCTCTCATCTCCTTCACCTGTACATTTATTCGTCAATACCAATCAAAAAGGATGAATGAAGAAATACATACCGCAAGCATATACTGTTCCATCAGGTCTAGCATACATCTCTGGATTGACCATCTTATCATGTTTTCTCTTCTTTGCTCCATCTTCACTTTTTCTTCCAAATCCCTTTGGTAAATCGATTTCTGTAAAGACTGCCCAAGGAGATACTTCTGCTTCAATCACAACACTATGCGCTCTTTGTGAAGTAATTGGTGCTTCTGGCCATACATGACTGGTCCAAGGACCCGCAGATAATATGACATCATTCGCAGGTAACATGTGAATATGTTTCGTCTCCTTGTCTTCATAAGTAACACCCTTTACATGATTCCCCGTGTAATCAATTGCGGTAACCGAACCATAAATAATTTCGACTCCCTTTTCCACCGCCAAATCTGCCATGGAAGTTGTGAATTGATATGGATGTACTTGTGCTGTGGTCTCTGGAGTTCCCATTTCCGAATACCATTTTAGATTATCATTTTCGAACCAATCTAAAGTCGTTGGAATATCATCTCCCTGATATTTCTTTTGTTTCTTCATATCGGTTTTGGGTAACTTTTTCCAAGCTTCTCCTTCATTTTCAGTTGGTTCTTTAGGATCGGCTTCCGAGATAAGTCGTGCCTTGGCTCCTATGGAACCACAATGCAATTGACGATAACCCCATCTTTTTGCCCCATCATGTTCTTTTGCCAGTTCGGCATGAAGTTTGTATGAAAGTGGTACAATTGCTGCTGGGCGTGCCCATAATGCAAGCAATCCACCTGCTTTTCCGGAAGCTGCTGATGCGATGGATTGAGCTTCGATGATGGTAATTTTTGTTGTAGAGGGGTTATATGAGGGGTGGCGAGTGAGGTAATAGGCAGATGTACAACCAATAATTCCACCACCTGTTGAGAGTTAGAATGATGAGGTGATGATTGAAGAAGCAGAGAATAACATGCCAATAATTACAATATTTCTTTTCGTTTCCGTAGGAGAAGTTGGAGAAGTTGCCGTTGCCATTGTTCGAATCAAGTGCTCGGATTGTTTCTTGAGCATAACAATGTTTATACAAATAGAGTTTCAGGATGGACAGGTCCTGAGTAGCCGTGCTATGGTAGCTTGAGAAAGGCTTGAGAAAGGCGTGAGCTAGAGTCAGATAAGACCCTTATCTTAGCCCGATGTGGTCTAAGCTGGGCTTACTTAGTCAGCTAAGTGAGTAGTCAGCCAGTCAAATACTAGCTGGTTGATGACTAATAATTAATAAGTTTCTAGTGGTCCCCTAGTCATTCCATTCCACGTGAGAATACTTACTAGCTACTAATGTTTCGAGTGCTTGATGCTTTTTTGCCGCTTCACCATACTGTTTTCATCTTCGGCATTCCCCGCTATATTTGCTAATCTAACCTCGGAATAAATGTTGATTTCTCCACTTTATACTCAGGTAAACTTTACAATTTACTAATTCCAACCAATGAAATCTCTCCATTCTCTAATTCCTCCACGGCATCAAAATAAATCCGAAATTCCTTCCCTTGCCTCAAATTCACACGGTCTAACCTCAAAACCCTCTCAGACCCCTCACAATCCCATACAAAAGCTGTACCATCTAGACCTCCAGAGCCTTCATTTTCTTACAAATATTCCCCTTCTTCAAACGTCATCCCATCTCTTTATGATACCCATACACACACACTTCCAATCCAAAGCGATTCGATCAATACGATTCCTTCATAAAACCCACTTCCCCTCACATTTCCAATCTTCTTCTCCTTTCTCTTCTCTCTCATACCTCTTCGTCGCATTCTCTCGACGAAGTACCTCATCATCCAATATTTGGACATCACGCAAAACAGATTTAACTTTCAAAAAACATTCCCAAAATTACGTGCAACAACATATCAGAAATATCACCATGTCGTCCGCAGCTACCATTTACGAGTTTGAACCTTTGAATAGTATGTTTTCTTTTCCGCATTACTTTGCATCACATTGCATCGCATAACATCTCGTCGCATTCCATCGCAATCCATGGCACATCATCCCACCGCATCCCACCGCATCCCATTGCATCTCATCCCATTCTTGCATACATCCTACCCCTCATGTTCGCACACGAGTAATCTTCACCATCATTATACTAACCACCCATCTCCTTACAGAAAAAGGCGAACCAACACCCCTCTCAGAATACAAAGGCAAAGTCCTCTTAATTGTCAATACAGCTTCCAAATGTGGTTTCACTCCTCAATATGAAGGACTCGAGAAATTATACAAAGATATGAAGGAGAAGCACGGTGATGATTTTGTCATCTTGGGTTTTCCTTGTAATCAATTTGGAGGTCAAGATCCCGGTTCTGATGAGGAAATTCAAAGTTTCTGTCAAATTAACTATGGTGTCTCTTTCCCAATTGTACGTTCTCTGCATACTCCTTCTTTGGATTATGACATGCCATCTATTCTTGACATTGAATCAATTGGAACTTTTACTAACAATTAATACACAGATGAAAAAAATCGACGTAAATGGCGATAATGCCGCTCCTCTCTTCCAATGGCTCAAATCAGAAAAACCAGGTCTCCTCGGTCTTCAACGCGTCAAGTGGAATTTCGAAAAGTGGTTAGTCGGTAGAGATGGAAAGGTCAAGCAAAGATGGGCTTCCACCACCAAACCAGAGGCTTTGGAGAAAGCAGTCACAGAGGCTTTGAATGACGCCAAGTCTGAGCTTTAAAGGGATTTGAAAATTGTGTGGATGTATGATTGATTGCGAAGAAGATGAGAAATCTTTTGGACATTTTCAAATGGGTTTTGCTTGCTTGGTGTTGGTCATTTGAGATCTGGAAATCTGATTAATTCGTGGTTGTGAATTTTGTCTGCGGGGATTATACCATAGAATGAGAAAGCTTTTTGATTTGATTGGTGGATTGGTTCTTTTTACCTGTGCTGGAGATTGTATGTATGTACGTGCGTGTTACTTTGCAAGATCATTAATACGAAGTGAACTGGTGGGGCTCAAAGTGGACACCCTCCCCCTCTTTCATTCTTCTAAGAAAGTTCCTCACCTTCCTATACTTTCCAAAATATATATCGCGAATCAGCAACTCATACGTCGGTCGCTCATCTAGTGGAATCTCCTCATGCGGGATGTTGTATATTGTTTGTGGAAGACTATTTGGTGTCGAGGATTGAAGGATTCTAGTAGTTTAATGATGAAGTAGTTGTTTACCGATGGGGGTTGTTTACCGATGGGGGTTGTTTACCGATGAGGTTGTTGTCGTCGTTGTTGGCGTGGATATTTCCTTTTCTCTGCTTCTCTCCATATTCATATCCATATCCATCCATCCCCCAGAAAAAAAGAATACAAACACTCACCCTCCCAATAATCCAAATCCCTAAACGCAACCCCTCACCCCCTCCAAAAAATCTCAGTTTACTCTTGTATTTCATTCAAACTATACATATTGAGATTGCGCTATACTGATTTGTTGTTGGTTGATTTTGAGGGGGGGAGGGGAGGGAGTTATTGTGGATTTAGGGCTTTATTTTTAAATGGATATTTTGGAATTGTTTATTGTCGGCGCGGAATTCTTGGATTTTTGGGATATGGTTGGCGAAAGGATGGATAGTTGAGTGGGAAGGGATGGATGCTTGATGGTATTGAGAGGTGAAGCAGGCAGAGTGAGGATCGAGGAGTGAGGAGTGAGGAGTAGAGGTGGAATAGAGAGGGAGATGGAGATAGAGATAGAGATGGAGGGGAGAAAGAAGTTCAATGATTCTTTACAAGTGTGTTTGGAGGATTTACTGGATGGTTTCTAAGGGGAAATAGGAGGGGAGTTTATAGGGTTGAGATGGGTTTTTTAGGGTGAGGAATAAAGAGTAGGTGAATTAGATGGGTAGTATTGTGAGCTATTAGGAGATATATAATGCGGGGCCCTTTGGAGAAGAAGTCGTGATTTCTGAGATCATGAATCGATCCCCAAAAAAGATAAAAACGGCTGCTACCAACTAGATTGTAGAAACAGAGTGTTATCTACGCTAGAGACCTTCATTTTCAGGGACTAGAGAATTCTCGGAAGCGTATGAGATGTGGAGTTTTTCCTTCTTTCTCTGGCTTTGGGTGGATTGTGGTGCTACTCTGTTGAGGAGTTTCCACGTCATGCTGTCGTTGAGAATTTTGATTGTTGGTGAGCGGTGTTGTTACTTTGTCTTGATCAACTTTCGTGCTCTCGCCATACCGTAATATCTCTTCAGGATCAATTATAGCTTTCTATTTCCTCTTCATTTTTCAGAAGTCTCAGAGAGTCGAAGAGTCAAATGAATTTCCAAATTTCTACTTTCCAGCTCTTGAATATTCTCTTTACTGCTCACCAGAGTTGTCTATCGTTTCGAAGTTGATGAGGAGGTTATTTTATACCTCGAAAACTACAAATCAGTGTGTGAAAAAAGTCTGTCTGAGATTAGCCGACTCGAGTTTTCAGGGAGATTAGACGATTATACTCCTTATTCACCTCGTTAAGCAAATCGATGTTGTGAATCATCGATCCACACTCCTCAGTCCTACTCCGATACTTTTGCACTACATCTCTTGATACACGAAAAAAATCAGAATGAGAGGCATATATACATAGTACCACTTTTCTGACCACTAAAGCCACTAACTTTTAGAAAGATGGTTGACTAGAAATTTCAAGATGACGCAGTGTTTTAGTGAGAGGTTTTATACCGTCGAAGGAATGCATCTGAATGGGTTGGAAAATCTGTAGATACAATCGATTCCATTCGTAATATCCAATCACTACTACCCTTGGTTTATGATATGTTCTCACTGTTGCCAAGAATTTTGTGCTGTACGTATCTGTCAGAAATTCAATAGTAATCTACCTGTTTTCGTTGTCAAAACTACCACAAACTCAATTCCTCGGAATGTAATTCATTCGTACTATCGACTATTAAGACTTAATGATTGGGAGATTGCAAATAATGAGAGCCTTTTGTTTATAAATCCTTCTTCATTATCTCCTTTGTTAGAGTCGCTCACTTCTTATTTACTGTTTACCTAGTACTCTTAGCATTTCGGCTGTATTTATATCACCACCTGCCTTGAGATTTCTCGCTTGAGTAGAGAGACACCTAACGCTAGTATTGAGAGAGTAATAGGTGAAATGCTGGGTGGTGAAGAAGAATGGATATGAGGATTGATTGAGTGAAGGAGATTGCGTTATCTTTAGTGCCTTCATCATGTACGGTAAGTTAATTTCTTGTATTCACTTTACCATATACGTTTCGTAGCGCTAGCTTTTAGAACCTGAAGCAATATAACAATAGTGTGAACCATAGTACAATATTATCTTCACCATCCCCATGGCGACAGGAAGAAAAACAAGAAAATGTATTGAAACGGTCTGTCAATTCAGCATGACTTACTCTCTACATTACTATTCTAGCTTATGGATCTCAGGATATGGATATAACCAGTCAAGGAGTAGAAATTCGAGATCACCGTGGAGAACCTTTCGTGGAGGGATGAGAAAATTTGTTGTCGATTACCCAGTACTTTCTTCTCCGTTAAGTTTTGAGTGTCATTGTCATTCAAAAATTCACGCTGTGATAGATTGTAGATTGTGATCACACTCAAAAATGTATTTGGAAACTCTAGGGTCAGATTCTATCAGTGTGTTTGGTTATTATTTGAGAGTCACACCAACTTAAAAGACTGTTTGGGTCTGAATCTTGGGAGATAGCTTCGTTCTTACTGCCTATTTGTGAAATCGATTTCTGGAATATACTTACTTCAGGTAAGAAGCGGAAAATATCTATACTATTTAATAGCTGATATCGTGATACTTCGGAGTATGAGGTCGATCTTGTACGGTAGAGATGTTCTCTATAGTTGGGGTTTGGTGGGGGTCATACCCCTCACTCTCAATTCACCTCTCTTTTCTCTTCATGTCCACAATCAAGATGAGACCTCTTTCCAATATTGGGGTATACATATAAACATCCCCCTTATTGATTCACAAACAGTATACAGCATAGATTGACACCTCCGACTTAGGAGACTCGGCAAGGGGAATGTCGGTGATGAATTATTTATTCTAGAACTCTCTTGGGGGACTTCAACAGAGGTTATTCACGTCTTGATTTGAAAATATTGGTGGAAGATGCCACTTTTTATTGTCGCTGACCGGGGATCTATTGTCGTTGAGTTTGAATTAGAGACAATTTTCGTTTACGCATTCACATCAGCAATACCGCCAGGAAACTTTTCTTGTCGATCCACTAGAGCAAAGAAAAATACAATGCATGGGAGGAAGAATACTCGCAACCAGGTAAAATTACTTATTTTCATGTTCTTTACACATTGAAAAAAATCTTTCTTTGAGAACTGATCCTCTTTGATGGGGAAATTGAACAGGAAGATATTCGGTGCTTCTTATATTTGGGAATTGGACTGCTCGTATTCACAGGAGTTTTAACACGTCATCTTCCTCCAATTGATTCAAACAGCTAATCTGAGATTACCAGAGTGGACTCCAAGATCGATCGACAATTCATTCACTGACTTATTATACACGAACCGCGTACATCTCTCACTTAGCGAACAGTCTTCCTCTTGGTACCTATATAAAGAAGTCCTTCTGTCACTCCGAGACATTATAGTTTGTGGGCATTCCTCTTTTCCAATACAATGATGACGCATTCATACCTATTAAATTTCCTGTATATTCGATATTACCAGAGAAGTGTTGTCCAACAAGTTAACCCATTGCACCGGAACTTGATCTAAGTTCCCGTCGTCAGTCTTCCCCGAATCACGTCGATCTTGCGATTGTTGTCACTTCCCTCGATTCTATTGCTATAAATTATCAGCTTATAGAACGAATTCTTACACCCTTCCATTCTCATTCTCATACGGGTGAATATGACGGATAATTTTCTTAGGCATAAGAAATTTGCTTGTTCTGTTCTCGTCTCATGCGCCATTGAAAATATGAATTTTTCTAGTTAATTAATATATTGCACTCCTCACTCTTGGCTCTCTGGTATGTTTTTATAATGATAGATGGGATGTGGGCCTTCGAGAAGCTCTTCTGGGAGTAGGCGCTAGTGTAATAAAGAGCTCGTGTCGCTCGCTTAGGAACAAGGCGGGGGGAAATTTAAGGTGTTTCTTGCATTGCTAAGTATATAATTCTCGCTGTCTCCATGCACCCAAAGTAAATTGCGCCAGAGACTACACCAAAGTAACAAGCGTTGATTCAGGTTGCCTGATTTGTGCATGAATACCCGATTGTTCACGATTGAGTACATCAGGGAGCGGGCTCGAACTATCAAGATATAGTTCTTGTCATTGTCGTCGTCGCAGCTAATTACTGGCGTTGAAGACACATAGGCGCGGATTGTTTGTTTGATTATGTTGTCGCTTCCGAAATTGTTGTCTGGTAAGGCAAGAAGCTCATTGGATATACATCCCTGAATCTCTCATGCAGTCCATAAGAATCTATTTAAAACTATCCTGAATATTTTTGAAACAGTGTCCTCTGTCCTCTGTCGTCGAAATATCCGCTCCTTTCTATACAGTAACATCTGATCCATCTAAAGCCTGCTCGCTATCTGAACTCACCCCAATTTCGGGCGTAAATATCCTATAAACGCTGGCCGCAATCACCCAAAGTTCAAAACCACGCCTAGTCCATATTCTTCCGACATTGCACTTTTTCGCACTCTTTTCAACATGCATAAAGTCCGAGAGATTTCAATCTGGCCCTTTTTCCACAAATGCCTAGAAATGCACTTGAATCTCCCCTTTTATCTCTTTTCCAACCACTCTACTCATACCCTCACTATATTCACAGCGCTCGGAAATCAATAGAAACAGAAAGAGCCCCTCATTAATCCCATTATCAGAGATGCTACTACACATTGGCGATCAATATGTAAGTTAAGATTTTATAGAGATCGAACATACCTGCCAGGGTTCTCGCCATCTCATATTCTACTTACCGTGTCGTCGTACTGTCTAATTAAAAGCCTTGTCTTAGATTCAAAGAAGGTCACATACAACTCGCGTGGCTTTCTTTGTTGCGCATGTCTGATTTGGCGAGTAGTCGGTGCCTATAAATTTTGAATGTGAGGGTTTAGTTGGATATTTCAATATGATGGTTGTCAAATTTTTTGATTGTAGTTCAGGTAAATGAGATACTTTTGTACATTATTTGTGGTCCTCGTTACCCGGGTCGATTTTGGGACACGAAGTGAAGCCATAGTTAATAAGTAAAGGATTAGACGAGAGACCCGTGGGCAAATTATTAGTCCAGTCCTCCGATATCAAGAGCGCATTTCTCTTGAAATAGAATCTCCTCATCTGATGAACAATTTAACACTCTGCGAGGTTTTAGCTCTCCATTCGAAAATTGCAAAAATGTCATTCGTCGCACCTTGGACGAATGGTGGATTAGAGGAGAACCGGTTTGTGCTTTTCACAAAAAAAGTTTTTCTTGTCTTGAGTATCTTGAGGCTCTTGCTTCTCTTTGGCTTCCAAATCAACTTCAACACGTGGCCTGATGCTGAATGATAACATATTTCATTGTGTCTTGGGCTGGATCAGTACTTCGACATCATTGAGCTAACCTGACTTCGTGTTTTGTTGAGATGAGATGTAGAATTTTTGAAATCTTATATGGTTGCTATGTGAACGACGGAGTTACGGGATGGCGTATTCACTTATACAGCTTTGTATTGAATGAGCTAATGATGGATTTTGAAAAAAAGAAAGAAGAAGAAAATTCAGCCCCACTTTTACAGCTGTACCTTGGCAAGTATTACAAAGTAAGCAGTAGTGGCACTGGTAAGCTTTTCCTTCTAATACTTCCTCCACAAACACTTTACCTTTCTCGAAATCCACACCAATTTCAAACACCACTTCCTCTTGTATCTTTCGCACCACAGTCCCTAACGTCCTGCCAGGTAGGTAATCTGTCTTAGAAACTTTAAGGATATTTAAATTTAACAAATCTACAAACAGATCAGTTCTTGCACTCCCAAAGTGCTACTCTCAAAGGTCTTTCAACTTCCAGAAACTTTGGTATCACACAGCCTCACACAATACTGGCCATCAACAACTAGTCATGGATCCTCCTACTGCGATTATTGTTTATAACAATAAGGAACAAGTCGGGGTGCATGAAGAATCATCAGATACTTCCCAACAAAGAGAAGACACCCGGAGTAAGACTTCAACCCCCCATCATTCAGAAAAACATGAGCCGACCTCATCCTCATTCAAAAGATCTTCGAATTCTCCTGTCGGCTTCCTCGACTTGTCACTTGAAATCCGACGCATGATCTATGATGAATACTTTATCTTCACCGAACCGATCTCATTCCAAACTGGACCGTCTCCATCGCTGGCCTTGCATCTTGATAAGAACTATGGTCTTCATACCGCACTTCTTCGTGCAAACAAAAAAATACACAGTGAAGCCACATCATATCTTTACTCCAATCCGGTTTTCAATTTGGTTGGCATCTGCCCTACACAACTACTACCCACTACCGATGCAGCTTTTGCTCATTTTTTAAGACAAATTGGTGTTCCTAACGCAAAGCTTCTTCGTCACCTCGTTATCGAATTTCCCGAATTCGATCCTTCTCCTCAAGATTACTACCGCCTTGGAGAAGTCCCCAAGCCCGTTGAAGATTATGTAAGATTATTGAAGCAAATTCACGAACAGTGTACAGAACTTGTAACACTTAAAATGGCATTACATCAATTACATGATTTTTTTCGGGCATTCATGGATCCCGCTTGGTCTGATAAATTCTCGATTGCTACAGACTGGCTACACAAGCAATTACAGGGCATGCCGTTCTTGAAAGATATCGTCGTTCATCTTCAAATCATCAACCCGAACCTTAGAGGTAGTTATCAGGGCTGGATAGACAAGTCGCGGGACTATGGATGGAGTTTTAAGGTCACGAAGTATGAACTCACGGGAAATAAGGAGGAGGCTCGGGGTGAAATTGTAGAAGCTATTGGGGAACTGGCTCGGATGGGAGTAACCAGGCGCGTAATGCAGCGAGGATATTATATTAATAGACAGACCTCCGATGGAGGATCTGAGATTGACTACGAATTGTCATATCGTGCGGCTTGTTGCAAGATTGAGGAGGGTCTCCTTCAATCAGCATAGGATAAGTCCACTATCATTCGACAATTTCATTCTTAAGCGCGCACCCAACAACTTCCCCAAGATTTTCACCCACACTCAACAGCCATTGTCGTCAGCTTATGTGGTTCTATGATCCGCACCAAAATTCTCATCTGACGGTTGGATAGGAACGAATATGGGGCCTCAGATAGGACTTCTTGAAAAGTCATTAGCTAGTTCCCAAAGTATTCCAGTTCAAAAATTGTCCTTATCCATCCATGTGACATGGATTTATAATAAAGGAGGCAGACCAGTGTAGTGAATTCAATTTTGAACACGTAAATTGATTGCATTGAGCTAAATCTAGAAGAAGTGATGGAGGCATGCAGCGCCAGTGTAATAAGTGCCACGATCTTCCAGCAATATGTTATAATACAACTTTTTTTCTCATGTGTCTAACTACTAAGATGGAACATGTATGATGAACAACTCGTTCGAGAATCCAAACCACGCCAAGCCCCAGATTAACTTACTGGCCTCTTACAGTTCTGTTGGGATTGCTTTGATTGGTTAGTATCTACAGTTGAGACACAGAGTTGGATAGGATAACCTAGATAAGTCTTTCTTCACCCGGGAATTTTTTCGTCCTCACATGGCAGGCTTTTGACCCGCTAGGCACCAAGTTCTGTCACAATGTTACATCTGTAAAAGGATGGTCTAATATAATCTATCAAGAATAGAGATTGTATAAGCAGCAATCTCGACAAATATAGCGAGCGGAAGTTTCTGGAAAGAACGCGCTCTGAAAATCAGGGATATGTTTTTACTTGCATCAAGTCAAAGGGATATAGGTCCCAATAGAATAGCCAGGGCTTTTCTGTTGTCAATACTACCAATTAATGACAGTTCAACATATAGAGATTCACCATGCAAAGATTGCCAATGTTATATACTATGTTCTATTGTTGTTACGACGAGTACCTACTCTCTCGAATATTGACCCATGGAAAGAAAATACGGGAGATTCTCAATTAGAGTACTCGATACCAACTCAACAATCTTGATCGTAAAAACTTTGAACATGTAAAGAGAGGAAACAAGTGAATTCAAGAGTCTAGATCCCTATAATTGAGAAGGTGAATACAAAGAGGCCGTTGAGAGTTTGCTTCGCATGTGGAATCTCAAACATGACGCAATAGTGGTTGAAGCAATATTGAGGGAATGAGAAGGGAGTAGATTGTTATAAGTACTCCTTGAGAAGAAGGATTGTAACAATACATAGATTGAGACAATATGGAACTAATATGGTATGGGGGATGAGAGATTGTGCAAAGAGCATATTCTGGCTCCTGATATAGAACATCCACTTTAATCTGAAAAAGAGTCGAGAGTTGGAGAGTCAATGTTGAATACCGAAAGAGAAAACAAGATTATGAACAACAACAACAAATAAACAAATATCAATAGATGGCATAACGTGTACAAGCGACAACAAGACAAGATATCCCAAAACACATATTAAAGGCAAAAAGATAGTCAAATCGAAGATCAAAAACTCCTAAATTCTCATCTAAAGTTCATCCCATCATATGTGGCGATGGCCAAATATGCATTGTGCATACACATTATATACTGGCGAGTATTAGTTCTCAGCCGACTATCCAAACATAAAGTCGTGATTTCATCCGAAACTCTCATCTACCAGATGCAACAACCACAACCTCCGTGAAATTCATTTACAAGCTGAACTCGACCTTCATAACCTCATCAATTCCATCCTTAATAGCACTAGTCTTAACCTCATCCAATTTCTTCAAAGGTGATCTTGGGTATCCGCCATATCCATAGTAGCTTTGAATGGCACTCTTGGTACCAGCAATAGCGGCCTTAGTAAGGACCCAATCACCCTTACTCAAAATCTTTTGCAACTCAAAAGCCTCATCCCTCTTTCCCTCCCTGTACAACTCCCAAATCTTAACACAGACCTTTGGCATAACATTTGCACCGCCGGCAATGATACCCGAACCACCGGAAACCAAGGTTTGAGCAGTGAAATCACAAATACCACCGAAAGCCATGTAGCCAGAACCTTCCGAGAAGACAGTTTTGGCATTGGTAGCCAAGGCAACTCTGGTAAGTTTTCCTGTGCTACCACAGGTGAATTTGGTACCGATAATGTTGCGGTGTTTGGCCAGACGGATCAAAAGATCCGAATCCATATCAATACCGGCAACGGCGCCTGGGTAATTGTATAGGATGATAGGTAAAGGTGATGCATCAGCTACTTGAATGAAATAGTTGTAGACAGAATCTTCATCCATGAGACCACGGAAATAAGAAGGGGGTAGTAACAGAACGTATTCTCCACCCGCTGCTTCTGATTCTTTGATGAGCTCGATGGTACCGCGAACGGATCCTTCGGTAGCTCCGACAATGATAGGAACTTGATCAAAGCCCGCGGCATCTAGAGCTTCACGAGTTGCACGTGTGACGGATTGTTTTTCGGCGCGGGAGAGATGGACAGCCTCACCGTTGGATCCCATGGTTACGAGACCCACGAGACCGGCTTCGGCGAGACGAACGGCATGTTTCTTGATGGTGGGAATGTCGAGTTCTTCAGTCTCAGGGACAAAGAATGTCATAGTTGGAGCGTAAATTCCATCTCTGAGAGGTCTACGTGTAGCGTGACCGTTGGAGCCGTTGGTTGCCGCCATTGTTATGACTTTTTATATGTGTAGATGAAGAGAAAGTGGGGGTCTAGAGTGGGACGTGAGGTGTTGAGAATTCAGATATAGAAGAGAAAAAATATATCTTCAGAGGGTATATGTAAGGTAGTATGAAGAGAAAAAGAATAAGAGGATGAAAGACTGAAGTAGGAAAGAGTATCTTATGTATATGCTAGCAGCAAAAAATGATGAGCAATCCTCTGAATGACTTGACAAAAATCTATACTAAATTAGTCCGAGGACCGGTGACCTATCTTTTTGTGAATAGTATTAAAAATAAGATTGAGTTGTTTTCTATCAACATGCCGAATCTAGGAGGTCCATGAGCTCGAGCCTGGAATAGTGTGCCGGACTTCCCTGGTAGTTTCTCAATTTATGATCTAAATTTGTGGAAGTGGTGGGGGGACTTTCTAACTTCCCCGTCTAAGATTCTTCCGATTTGCGTGTCAACCATGCATTGACAACGTTAATTGGCAAGAACAAGAAGTTTGAGAAAAAGCGGGTTAAAGTAGAAGGGATTCATAACTTTGAAAGATTTCTGCTTCAGGGTGTACATAACAATGTTCTTGAATTGGCATCTGGTCGTTTTCCCAGTTGCCATGTATGTATCTTTGTACGTATTATTCTTGTTCATCATTTCCTGGCTGTCTAGACGATGATGCACGGCACATCCCATGACTAACGGTCTACTGTAATAGATTTATGCATGTTAAAATGACAATCAATATGGTATGATCAATGCCGTCTGAGCCATTCAGAAGTGTTCCAATTGATGGTAGTGATTGAGCGTTGTTCGAAACATGTGGACTAAAATTGTCAATTCAACATTCTGAGTGTCGTTGATGCTGGAAACTATTTTTCCACCAATAAACTTGCTGATGATGCTAAGGGCGTGGGGTAGAAATGTGGCCAAATTGACATTAGTCCAGGCTACTAAAAAGGGATGCGGGGCAAACTTGGGGAGTGGGAGAGATGTTTCTGGGTATAGAATGGGGAAAAAACCTCATGATCAAAAAGTTATTGTGGATTGTCTTAAGATGATATAAAATCTAGCTAGACGTTGAGGCTCAATCATGCAATATGATCCGTCTAATTTCAAGACTAAGAGAAAAGATGCAGAAGACGTTTACAAATAGGAATGGGAGCACAAGATGCTGTACCTATGAAATCAAGATCGCGGGGTAAAAGTCTTGAATGATTGGAGAATGGTTATATGATGATGTTCCTAGTCGGTATGAAAGCCCTTAACTCGAGGAATTGAGAGATCGTGGTAGTTGTTCCTGAAATGTAACACAATAATGCAGAAATGCTTATTTACGATTGAATCCAAGACTATAGAAGAGTTACACTCTAAGAAAGTGTCGACTTTCCTTCCATGTAGAGTCTCATCCAGGATTCTTCTAGATATCCGAGCCAACCCCTTCATCCCGCAATTTTTCTCGCTTTTTAGCCCCGGATAATTAAGCAGCGAGCAACTCCGATATTGACCCCTCAAATTCTCCGCCAAAACTCGTGATCCAACAATTTGTTCCACAGTGATTCTTTCCTTTATGGTTAAACAAATTAATGCTTGGAAGCTAAGGGTAATTATACCACCACTTTCACTATGAAGTCGACATCATCCCCCACTATCTTAAGCTCTCCATTCACTTGCATCTCAATTGGCTTTGGCTAAATCTTTACTTGTTCTTCATCTTTTCAGAAATTTCAAATACACTTCACACAAACAGGAATCTTAACACTGTCATCATGGCTTCAGATTTGAAACCCCTCAATGTCCTCATGGTGGGAACTGGTGAATATACCACCGGTTTCGTAGGAGGTGGGGCTTCAGGATCAGACAAGAAAGTGGGAGTTGTAGGACTTTCATTATTTGATCTGCGAAGACGTGGAAAGGTTGATAAATTGTCTATGGTTGGCACATCTGGTGGAAAATTCCCAGCTATTCGTTTGTCTCCCACCTCCATCTAAAGGTGTATCTTATTCCCTGCATCACCCACTGACAGAATTGACCAGGCGAACATCTTAACAAGAACATTTCCCAAGTTTACAACAATCTCGACACATCCTTCGATTCCTTCCCAGCAAATGATAAAACAGATCCAGCAGCCTATAAAACTGCCATCGATGCGCTTTCCCCAGGTGATGCCATCACAATCTTTACTCCCGATACAACCCACTACCCCATTGCCCTCTACGCCATCGAACGTAAAATCCACGTTTTGATCACCAAGCCTGCAGTCAAAATTCTCTCTCAGCATCTCGAGCTTCTCGAAGCTGCCAAAAAGAATGGTGTCTTTGTTTACATCGAGCACC